AAGAGAGACTGAAACACCGTTGAGCTAGTATCTCTCTTTTTATGTTGCGAAAGATCGAAATCGATCTTTGGGGGAGATACAGCCCACGGTGGAGTCTCAAAGAGAGGGGTATTCGCGATACTGTCAAGACTGATACCAGCCTCAGACAAAAGGGGTTGAATTCGAATGACGTTAGTCTTAACAAGATATAAATGCTCATGAAGAGGTCTAAATATGGTGTTAAATGAAATATGGTTTGGAAGTGATGCAATTTTCGTAGCATACTGCAGGGCCAGTTTATCACGTCTGTTGTGCAGTGAGGGCTCATGCGCCTCGACGTATAAACTGTCCACTGGAGATGTACGAAATGCTCCTAAACTGATTCTAAGTCCCTGGTTGTGTATGGTGTCGAGCTCTTTGAGATAAGACTCGTGGGCAGACCCATACACAAAACACCCATAATCGAGTTTTGATCTTATAAGAGCTCGATATAATCGGAGCAAGACCTTACGGTCTGCTCCCCAGTCAGTATTTGATAAGACTCTCAATATGTTGAGCGGTTTCAGGCATTTCTTTTTTAGGTTTTTAATTTGGGGGATAAATGATAATTTCTTATCAAATATCAGCCCCAGAAATTTGGTTTCATCCACAACTGGAAGGCGGTTGCCATCCAAGAAAAGTTCTGGATCTGGATGTAAACCTCGTTTCTGACAGAAATGCATGCAGACAGTCGTGGATTTCGAAAAACGAAATCCATTTTCGGTTGCCCATTGTTGAAGTGAATTCAAACAAAGCTGCAACTTACGTTCGATTATCCGCATGTCTGTAGAACCATAGCACATCTGAAAGTCATCAACATAGAGAGCCGATTTTGATGAAACTTGAAATTAATATTTATCACCCATAGATCTTGGTTCCTTTCGATTTTCGCGCATATCAAATCATAACATCCTAAATTATAGTTTATCACACATATAATATAAATTTTGGAAACCAGGGATAAATGTGCATCGGCTGTCACTGGTGGCGGGCATTTACTTCTGAATAGGACCTACGCACGATTATAACACTGGGCCCTTATTCACGAAAACTTAAACTAAGATACAATCAAAATTTTAAGAAATACTGCAATTCGATTGGCTGACCAGTAAAATCAATTTGCATATATCCAATTTGCATATTGGTCAGCCAATCGAATTGATTAATTGATCGTAAAATAATTACTGTAAATGAAATTTACGGGTGCTGTAATTGATGACCTCGTTTCCAAATATACTATTCAAAAAAAGTAGGGGATATTTGATTTTTAAGTGTTATTAAAGTCACCTAATGAAACTGACGAAGAAACAAATGACAAAATGAAATGAAGTTCACATTCATCGATTTATTCCAAATGATCGTTAGACTAAGTAAGGCACAGACTGACCATTATAAGGGTAAAATGATACCCGGGGTCAAACAGCAAAGTTACCACAGCATCACAACCAAGTCAGTAATGGGTAAATCCTCCTCTGTTTGCCAAACAAGCATTGATCCGACGTGGCATACTCCTAATGAGACGTCTAAGGTCATTTTGGTCCAGATTGTCCCATTCCTGTTGCAACGCAGCAGCAAGTTCTTGGACATTGGCAGGACGTTGTTGACGTTGACGTAACCTCTGTCCAAGCATGTCCCAGACATGCTCAATGGGGGAGAGGTCGGGACTCAGTGCTGGCCAAGGTAATGTGGTGATGTTCTGTTGTTGGAGGTAACCTGTAACGATCCTGGCCCTGTGACATCTTGCATTGTCATCCTGGAAGATGAAACAGCGGCCATGACGTCGTGCGAACGGCACAACATGGACTGCCAAGATGTTGTCCCGGTAGTACTGGCCTGTAACACGCCCTGCAACAACATGTAAAGCCGTTCTTCCAGCAACAGTGATGCCTCCCCACACCATAACAGAACCACCCCCAAATCGATCATGTCTGATGACGTTAACGTCTTGGAAGCGCTCGTTTCGACGACGCCACACCCTCCTACGTCTGTCCAAAAAATCAACAGTGAACCTTGACTCATCTGAAAACATCACATTGCTCCAGCGTCGATTATCCTAGTGTTGACGATCCCTACACCAACGACGTCTTGCCTGAATGTGATGATCTCTCAAACAAGGGATCACGCGAGGACGTCGGGCGCGAAGGTGACCCCTATGCAGTCGATTCCGAATCGTCTGGCCACTCACTCTCACACCAGTGTCTGTTTGAAGACGAGCGCTGATCTGATTTGCTGTGATGACACGATTTCTCAAGGCCAAGGTACAGATAAATCGATCCTGGGCTTGAGTTGTCGCCCTTGGTCGACCTGAGCGTGGTCTGTCCTGTACAGATTCTGTATCACGGTATCTGGACCATAGCCTGCTTATGACAGACTGAGAAACATTCATCGTCCGCGCCACAACCCCCTGTGTTGTGCCGATCTGTAGCATGCCAAGGGCACGTAACCTTTCATTTTGGGTAAGCCGACGCATATCAAAATTTGTTTTCTGGTCACTAAAACAATTAAACTGATGTTTCCACCCTGGAATTCAATGCCACAATGACTGTAACATTCAAAGTCAGAGTCGTGCAAATCTTGGGTTGGACCCCCATGATGATCCCAAGCATCACCTGCATTCCATGCGGTAGCTATTGGTGCGTTTGGGCGTCACATGTAACTGGAAATGTTTCTTCTGTTAGGTTCTATAGTGACTTTTTTCGTAGTCATTTGCATATTTTAGTATTATGCCCCCAAAATCAAATATCCCCTACTTTTTTTGAATAGTATAATATGACTATTGAAACCCGTGTGTTATGTTTGAGAACATTTCCATTCTATCACAATATCATACCATATAATAGGTGATTATCGGGATATATCGGCAAAAATTTTGATGTTGAGTTATTCATAAGATTAGACATCATTTTAAACATGTAGTTAATATTACTTAGCACGTGTTCGTGGATTACGCACGGTGATCGACGAATAAAATAAACGTCTATGAAATTGTCTACTTGAGGAAATAAGCGTGATTAATTAATGGAAATTAAAAACATTTCGTCTTTCAAAGTATTCTCTTTCACAAATTACAAATCTTTATATGCTGTTATTAAAATGCTTGCAATGAAAAATGACATTTTTATGTTTTGTAATTTCGGTGAAATTTCAAAGAAATTTGCAATATGAAAATTTCAGTGAAATTCCAGTAGACCAAAATATATTTTATTTCAGTGAAATTTCAGTAGACCAAAAAATATTTTTTATTTCAATGAAATTTCAGTAATAGACTAAAATATATTTTGATTTCAGTGAGATTTTGGTGAGATTTCAGTGAAATTTGGTAATTTCAGTGAGATTGGGCAAAATTTTCAAATTTCACTGAATTTCACTGAAATCTCACTGAAATTTCATTATCATTTTCTCTGGGGATGACACTTAAAATATATCTTTATATCCCAAAGATCTCCGTCCCTTTCGACATTTGCACATTTCAGACCATAATGTCTTGGATTATGTCCCCTGGTTGTACGAAAAATCATGTTGTTTTTTTTAGCGTGTTTTCTATCCATCTCTTCCAAAATGTGGGCTTATCCTGCCTGGCAGCTGGTTTACGTCTAGGGTCATGGCCCTTGTTTCACTTTGTTGACCTTATGAACGCTCTAATGAAATTTATATGCATCGTTGTTTAGATTAGTGAAACCACAAAGCCTATTGAATTTCAGCATTTTACAATAATTACTTCTAGAGTTATGGCCCTTGTTTCACTTTGTTCAACCTTTTTTAATGCTCGATTGATAAAAGTTATCATCCGGTATGTAAGAAATTTATATGCATCATTTAGATTTGCGAAACGGAGGTCTATTGAATTTCAGCAATTTCCGTCAATTACTTTACAACCCTTGTTTTACTTTGTGAACCTTGTGAAGATTCGAATGACAAAAGTTGTCATTCTTTCTGTATGAAATTTATATGCATTATTTAAATTAGTAAAACAAAAAAGCCTGTCAAATTCCAAAATTTGTTTCAGTTTGTAGATCCTTGTTAACCCTCAAACGACAAAAATTATAATCTGATCTGTATGGAATTGTCTTGTAAATGCCCCCAAATTACCTACAAAAGAATAAATATGTGACAACCCTCATCGACCGTTCGGACGATTTAGCTGCTGTGGGTGTATGTTGTTTTTTTTTTTAAAATGGGGTATAAATCACTTTATATACATTCATATTTCATTAATATGTACTTTTAGACCCATTTTCTTCTACTTTCCAAAATAGAGCTAATTTCTAACAAGAATAAAGAACGTCATTAACTGAGATGCAATTTCTAACTCAAAGTTTCTCCTTTGAATACAAAATGAGATGATTGACTGACACAGTTATTTCTACTGGAAGGTTACATCAACAAATTATCTTCAGATTTATGTTCGTATTTGTAAATTGCTAAGATCTCCAGATGATGTTTCAATACCTGGCAGGATTGTTAATTAGGATATAATGAAAAACTGAATATTTTGAGAGAGAGAGAAATGGGGTTTAAAGTCCATTAAACACAAACTAGGTCATTTCAGGACTAACACATGGTTCAATTTTATTTCAATAATTCGCTTGCGTGTAGGGGTCTTTAGCAGTGGGAGGAAATAGGAGAAAACCCACAAGGTTGGAGAGGCAACCCTACTCCTTGTCACATACAACCAGGGAATTGAAACCATGCCAGTTGACTCAATGACAGACCTTATGATACAGCGTGCACATGTTAACCATTCGGCCATTCAAACCCCCTCGAAAAAAAAAATATTTTGAAATTCAAAATTTCGCCATGTATCGGTTTTATTTTCAGCCATGATCGAAATACATGAAGTGATTCAATACAGTATCTGTTTTTTTGCTGGTCTGAAAAATTTTGCTGTTGGTTGGTGTCTAACAGAATCTGGCAAACCAAAGTCTATGTTAATTAGATAATGAAGACATCAAAAACTGATATTTTATTTTTTACATTTTTAGCAAAAATGCAAGTGAACGACCATGGTATAGACCGAATGAAACAGATGAACGAAATGAGAAGGCTCGGCTAGCATACCAGTCTCTTATGACGGTCACTTTGAGGAAACCCAACAGTCCAGAATACAGAATGTTTTCCAAAGAGGTGAAGAAACGTGCTAAAGCCCTGTATGATAACTTTACCTATGGAGAAGAAGAGGTAAGCAGATTTCTGGATGATCCAACCTTCATATTTTTCAGAATGGCGCTCCATTGTTCATAACATTGATGCTAATTCACCCGTATATTAACAAAAATACAATATCAATTTCTTTTGCAACACATCTCTAGTGTTTTTTTCTGATAAAAAAGTTTAAAACTCACAGTCTATTTAAAGAACTACCAGAGTAAAAATACTGCTTTCAATGAAGTTAAAAATGCATTAGGTAAGAGCTAAATCTGACAATTGAAGGTCTTTCTTTCTGGCTTCAAATGCTAAATTAAAAATTATTATTTATACACTTAATAACAAACTGTTTAGCCATCGGATGAGTTAGATAATTAGTGGATTACACAATACTTGCCAAATTTTTGTTAAACAATGATATATCTGCTACTAACAGACTAACAGAGACTGCCAATTGAAGGAATGAAAATCAAGACTTGGTTTATTATTGTGGCAATGGTACAAGTTTCACAATCATGAATATGAATATAAGGCTATTTTCAATATGCATTTTGCATTATCTATTTTTGCACTATTATAGGAAGAACGACCAGCTCTTTATTTAAATCTTGCATAATGCATCTTTAACATTCAGATGATGGAAGAAAGGTTATACAAACTCTAATTAATTAAAAGCTAATCACCATTTATATACCAGTATTTTGTATGTTGTGTTGTTGTAGTTGAAGTTTTTTTTTATTATATGGCTCTGTTTCCTTGAATCTTAAGTCATTAAAAGAACTATTAAGGGAATCTGGCGTAAACATATGAACAACTTCAACCATATACAATGTAAGCATAAATGTACTGAATGATAAGAGTGTTTTATGATCAGATCTTTGATTTCTGACAAATTTTAGAGGATTAAATTTTATGGTTGTAAAGATCTAATTAAGTACACCAAGGGTTATTTGTCGCTGACGTCATATAGTGCTTTGGCGACAATCTGTCAGAATTTTACTTCACAAAGAGGTTTCTTTGTCAATGGCATTTTGTCCCCAAGAACTCCCCCATCAAATTGATGGTTACATGATGATGTTTCTGTAGGACTTCAGGAAACAATATCCATTTTGAAAGCATGCATTCAGAAATAGATTTTATCAGCCCCAGATTACAAAGTCTATATAACTGTTCATTTTGAAATATTAAACAGAGGTCAGTTTGTTCACTTATTTTAGTTACAATGCAAAGAGGTCTAGTAATGGCTATTTAGACATTATATTAGTTTATATTGATTTCACTTCACCATCTTTATTTTTCTTGGGTAAATAAGGTAATAATAATTGAGTGTCTGTTCTTACCAGTCAAGCCATTCTTCGTGAAGGTTTTTATACGCCCACATTTTCATGTGGACGTATATTGTCATCGCCCCTGTCCGTTTGTGGACACTCTACAGGTCACAATTTTTATCTGATTTTGATGAAACTTGAAATATAGGTCTATCTCCCAAAAATCTTGGTTCCTTTCGATATTGGCATATATCGGACGATAACTTCATGGATTATGGCCCCTGATTGTACGAAAAATCACGTTTTTAACTTGTGGACACTCTAGAGGTCACAATTTTCGTCCGATTTTAATGAAACTTGAAATGCATGTTTATAACCCAAAGATCTTAGTTCCTTTGTAGTTTTGCGCACATCGGATTGTAACTTCCTGAATTATGGCCCTTGATTTTACGAAAAATCGCTTTTTGTTTAGCTTGTTCTCTATCCATCTCTTGCAAAATGCGGGCGTATCCTGCTTAATTCCAAAATAAATAAAATAGTACAGTATATTTTTATATATGAACTATGTGACATGTTGTGTCTTAAACATTGCTTAATTTTCTATTTAAGTTTCAAGATTTTTTTGCAGTTTTAAACAGAAGATATAATATATTCCTTTCCAGTAAGCTTTGAAAAAAAATGTTGTTTCTTAATGATCATCACTGATTTTCCCTTAATGATGAAGTTGCTTCTCTTTATCTTTTTTTAGGTGAACAGTTTTGTTGGGGCGTTCCACGATGCCGTTATTCTTTATGCCTTGGCTTTAAATGAGACTCTAGAGGCCAATATCCCGATCTCAAATGGCTCACATATAACTCAACGAATGTGGAACAGGACATTTGAAGGTAAGCTTTATAATTTGTGACCAGGTGGTGCAGGGCTCTCAATTGTTGAGAAGAAATTGATTGGTACTTGAATTCAGAAAGAACTGGAGAGGGGATATATTTAGACAATTGCCTTTAATAAGCAGCACTGAAACGTAGGAGTAAATTTATTAAGTAACTTGCAAGGATAAATTTGCAGAAAAAAGATGAACAAATCAGAGGTGTTTCACTGACCTGAAATTGAGCACTGGATGGTTGGTTGATTATTGTTCTTTGAACTCTTCCCTATACCTTGTAACGAAAGCTGTTTAGCGTCTCGATGATTAATTTACTACAATAATTTTGAGATCGATCAGGTAGTTATTCAATGAACAGTCCCGAATTTCTCCAGCTATCATTTTTTTTTCCACACTATGGCTTTAATTCATATGTTGCACTGACCGTTTTTCTCTACCTATGTTTTCTCGCCTTTTCTAGTGTTGAGGGAAATGTTTCTTGGTGCGGATATTTTACACCTCGGCTTTATTCAGAGGGATGAAAGTTGATCGCACCTATTACCTCTCACCAATACAATCTGTTACATTAAACTATCTCCTGTATTTACGTCACATTTGGAAGATACAATTCATGTGCATTTCAATAATTTCTCTAGGTTGGTTTGTTCACAGCACAGAACCAAAGTCATATGGTGACATGGTGACTAAAAATTCATGGGCACCTCAGTCATTGAGTCAAGTGGAGTAATTCCACCTGTCCAACCCATGGGTTTTCTATGGGTCATTCGGTTTCCCCCCACTGCTAAAGACCCCTATGCGCAGGTGAATTATTAAAAAAGAAATTGAACCATGTTAGTCCCAAAATGATTGTTTGTGTCAAGTAGACGTTAATCTCCATTTTTCTCTCTCTCTTTCAAATGTTTACTAGTGTTTATAGTTTATAAATGGATGTTCACAATTTTTTATTAGGAATTTTCCACCTGTATTATATAAGTAAAAGAAGTAATGGATTTTGATAATGTAAACTTATAAATAAAATTACCAGATTTTTAACAGTTAGCAGTAGTGATCGAATCTGTAATTTCGTATTTCCCGTATCAAGAGGTTATCTAGTTTGTCGTTAATGCATTTTTTTTTTGCTGTGTGCAAACATCTGTATTATAACTCGTGAGATCTTTGCAGATTCCGTTAAAAATATGAGGACTAGTTGAAATCCTGATAAATTGATAGCATATGAAGCAATAACAATGTTGGTCTCAGAGTAGCATGTAAAAAAAATCCATTCTATGCCAATTACCACACAGTGCTTTGTGACTCAATCCGTGGATTACACAATCTTTGCGTGCAGTATTTATCCGAGGAAACAATAATTTCCTGAGTTCTATCCCTCCATTCCTCTTATCTAATAGTAAGATTCTAGCGGCTAAACCATGATTTCATACCGATAAATTTCTTAGAAGTCTTCATCTTTACTCGATAGAATCTCTGTGTAAATTTCCAACAAACAGAATTATTCTGTGAAAAAAAATAGCATTATTATAAGGTAATGTATTTGTATAAAGCTGATGTTATAATTTGTCTGTTTTGCAAAGGATCAAAAACAATATATCACCATGGAAGCATATTTGTATTAAAGAAAATACAACTTTTTTATTAGTTGTTGACATTCTGTATTACTTTATCTGAACCAAAAATTTTCTTTCCTTTTTGAGGCAAGGTAAACTGTTTTTGTATTCACTTATGAACTGCCATAGTGAGGGAAGGTATCTTATTTTTTTCATTATCGTTAATTAAAGACATTTTGTCGTCAAAGCAATATGGTTCTTTGATTTCGCCCTTGATTTACATTTGTGATTGTCTTTTAGAATATCCGCCTTGCATTCTACATCAACAAAAAAAGAAGCATTTAAACTTTGATATATTTTTAGACATCACAGGCAAGAGTTCTGTTGTGTAGCATACTTTTTTAATATATTTTAGAATCGAACGTGAAATGTGTTAAACGTCTTGTGCTATAGCCGCACAACTTGTGAGATATTTCTAAAATTTAAGTACTAGTAGTATTTTTAATATAAAGCCAGTAAAAAAGTGTTTAATCTTGTGTAAAATCTAAGATAACATCTTGATTAACTTGGTAAATAAGGTAAGCTTAAACCTCCTTCAGACTGTGTTGCATAGCTACTGATTTTTACCTTAAATCAAATCAGATTTACAGGTAGATATGGTTATTAAAAAATGTAAAATAAGAACTGGATAGGCGTGGTTCCCCCTTGTCAGTGATGCAGGACCGAGGGCCTGACAAGGACAGCTGTCTAGTCCTTCGGATGAGACGGAAAACCGAGGTCCTGTGTATATATTGGAATGCACGTAAAAGATCCCCTGGCAGTTGGAATTCAATATAAGAGTAGGCTATAGTGCCGCTGCCCGGGCAAAATTTCCCTCATAGCACACTGTATGGTGTTAAACGGTTTAACTTAAACCCCATTTCATTTCATTTCAAGAACTGGATACAGCCTTGATGACAGGGGACTCATGTCTACCATCCCCTCTCCAACAGGATTTGCTGTGGATATAATTTTAAGCATCTCTAGCATAAATTTATCTAAAAAACCAAACATATTTGGGGCACAAACTGTTCTGGAAAAACTAGGGGCAAGGTAATAAGACCCCAGCTGTTTTAATCACACACGCACAGGTTGCCACTACCCATGGAATATCCCATTACAAAATCTGTGCTGATTAATGACAATAATATATGTTACATAAACTCATTGTTACTTAAATTACATTGAAATATACACAAATGTTTACATAACTCTAAAATGAGAATGGCAAATTGCCGTAAAGAATGATCATAATGCACTTTATTTGTTTACTTTTATTGCTTGCTTGTCATTTATCTTGATTTTGATTTTTGTTAAAGGTATAACAGGAACAGTGAGTATTGATGCTAATGGTGATAGAAATGCTGATTACTCGTTACTAGACATGAACCCTGAGAATGACAAATTTGAGGTAAGTTTCGTAATCATAATTTTACATGTATATCCGATGTGGCAGTTGGACTGTCTTGGAATGAAGCTGTACCTTATCTTCTTCTAGTTACAAAAAAGTGACCATAGTCTTGACATTTTTTCAAGTAAAATGGTTGATTTATATATTTTACACAAATAGATGTGCAATTGATACATTTTCATTTTCCAGTCCCCCGTCACATATGGAACCGATCCAAACTGGGTACTGAGTCAAACTGCAACAGTGAGATGGTATTCATGAAACATTAAACTTTCAGAATCCCAATTTAATCCTATAGAGGAATAGTTTTAGATAATGACTATGAAGTTACCTTCTCTGTAAGTTCTGATGGTTGTTGTGTGCAATGCAGGGTGTGGTTACTTTTCCCTAATCTACTGTCTATGATGGCCCAAAGCTATCTTCTAACCAGTAGTTTCAGCTAATATGGTCTGACTCTGAATTGTGGATGCTGTTTCACCCTTACAGCTATTAGCCAAAGCTAGGCTAGCTGTTAGTTAGTAGTGGTATCTTGTACAGTATAGGGTATGCTTCCTCTTTCTACAATGTCTGATACCACCTCTCATTTCAGTAAGTTGAATAAATACTTTTGTTTGTACTTTTAGGAGTAAAAACCCTAGTGGTGTTAATGATTTAAAGAATTTCCACCATTTCCTAACAAATCAAATGAATCTCTGTGGGATTATCAATCATCTAATCAATGAAATTATGTTAATAAATAAAATAGCGGTGACCGGAGTGAAGAGGACGGCACTTTAACTTTTAACTCTTGTGGTCGTGACACAACTCTTTCATATCTTTCAACTGTTAAAATTGGTTATAAATTCAGTAACTATATCTGGCTATTGTTTTAAATAGCTGAAAAAATTGCTTCAATTAATGACATCTTGTGGTGATATCTTGACGAAATTTGTGCTTGTTGTTTTCGAGTAACTTGATATAGTAATCATCCAACCACTGTATTAGATTGGGATGAAACGGAAACAATGTAATACAAGACTTCGGAAATCGTTTCTTGTTTCGTTAATGATGATTACATCATCACCTGTACGTACAAGTAATTATAGCTTTCTCGGGTCGAGTTATGAATTCAATTAATTAATAGAAAAACATAATGATATAGGGATTAATGTATGACCATTAAGACCCGGGAATCGAAACCACACCACTTGATTCAATGGCAGACCTTATGATCTAAAGTGCATATGTTAGACCATTGGCCGCCCAAATACCTGTATCAATAAGATAAATATGACTTTTAATAGAACACTGAATGTGGCTACTTTCCTTTGAACTGTTAGCATGTGGTAGTAGTTATGAATTCATTCTAGTTATTTGTATTGTTTCCTATTAAATTCTCACTAAGCGATTTCTCAAGGTTAAGTTATAAATTCATTTCTTTTGTAGAAAAACAAAATGATTGCTGGACATTAATCTGGTCATTAATGATATAATACCTATACCATTCTAATATTTATTAACTTCCTAATTTAATTAAACATAATAAGGTGTTTTATAAGCTGCCCTTCTTTTGATCCATTACCACAGGTCATCTTTACAAGTTAGTTAAATTACCATGAAGTAAATGATTCGGAAAATGACCAGACGGTCGGCACTCAGACATGTTATTAATACTTAGTTCCCTTTCAACCTGATCTTCGGACTGTCACCTGAGTTGTAGGTAGGTTTCTCCATCAAGATTCAAGTGAAATTTCCTTTGGTTGATTGTATAAGTGACAGAATCTTTGGTATATTTCGATTGAAGGATTAAAAAAATCCAAGTAATGACATTCAATTGTTAGTTGACTACGAGCCAGGCATAATCAACATAGTCTTCTTGCTTGAGCCATAAAAAAGTTACTGCCATTCCATTTATAAGGAAATCATGATAGAGATTTTTCTTAATATATAAAAATGTCTATTTATTGAGGAGTACTCAACAGAAATCCAAAATCAAAGAACACTACTGATGAGCATTGCTAATCTAATAATGCTAGCTCTACTAGTGTTATATGTAAGATACATTGTGCTGGCTTGGTGCATTCTATTCTGCAGAGTATGCTTACTGATCCCGGGACCCATACTACTTCACTTTTATTTATTTCTTTGTTGGGTTGGGTGGCCGAATGGTGTAACGGGTGTACGCTAGATCATGGTCTGTCATGGAGTCAAGTGATGTGGTTTCAATTCTCCACGTAACAAACAGTAGGGTCACCTGTCCAACCTCGTGGGTTTTCTTTGGGTCCTCCCATTTTCTCCCACATATAAAGCCACCCACGCAGAAACAAATTATTGAAATAGAACCATATATTAGTCCCGAAATGACCTAGTTTGTGTCAAGTGGATGTTAAACCCCATTGCTTTGTCTCCCACTGCAAAACAAAAAATTGGTAAATATCCAAAACTTACAGCTGGGGTATAGTCATGACTTTTAGTATCATCAAGTGTCGCATTATTAGAATAATTCCCATGAAAATATGATCGTTCTGGACACATAATTACAGTTAATGTCTGGCACTTCTAATGGAAGAGCTTTAACGCAGACTGCATAATTAAACATAATAATGGGATGCAATCACTTAAAATATCACTTCCAATTTGGTAAAGTCAAAAATCTCAGAATATATTTATTAACAGCCAACAAGGCCAAATAATCAGTGTTATTTACTAACATATGTCTGGTACAGACAACTCTTTTTAAGGTTAGTTTAAGTACAGTACAGTACAATTACTACAGTTCTAATGTGAGGAATATTTGTGTAATATAGACTTCATGATTAAAGGTACACTATTTTTGTGTACCAGTAATGCTATGATTCATTAACATATTAGACTTATTGCCATTGGGTAAAACATTATAGATCATTGTTAAAAGGACAATGTTTCAAACTGTCAGATAATATACACATTAAAAATCAGTTTCATCAATGGTATATTTGTCAGTCCTAATTAGTGAAATATAAAAGAACCATATGTTAGTCTAGAAATGACCTAATGTGTGTCAAGTGGACTTTTGTTTTCAACATTGTGTATTTTATATCAAACAAAATGGAACAATTGGGATGTTCTGGGTACGATACAGATACAGACAACAATCAAAGCTTATAGGGGGCTTATTTTTTTTTCTGATTTTAAAGGAACAGTTTGAATTATTCGTCCACTTTCACAAAACCTTTACCACCTCAACAGTTTTCATTTGGTACAAATTTCTTGTCACTGTTTCCAACTTCTTTTAAAACTGGCCAATTCATGTTGAAGTTGGAATGTTGATGTGAAATATAGAAGATGAATCTGACATATACGTCACTCCCACCATCAAACTCATTACCTTTTTTTTTACAAGAATAAGTCAGTCAAGTCTGACAGTCCCTTTAAAGTTCAGGTGCTAATAAATGAGGCGGCCGCTACAAAAACATTGGGTTTTTTTGATAACCTGGTAGTGGGATTTTTTTCTAAACTAGAATTATTGATGATTTTTATTAGCTTTAAAGTTTTTTTATGCATATTTTTTTGCTTGAAGAATTTTAGATAAAAAAGCAATACACATTTGTATCTGTCCGTAATTCCATAAAATTGTATGTTCAAACTATTCTATTTTAACGTTTTAAATGATATATAGAGCAGCCAAAATTATCAATCGTTGATTTGATTACATTTCATCGTTAACAGATTTGTACCGAATCTGTTTGTCACAAAAAAAGAAAATTCTTTAAGGTGCCAAAATTAGCTCGACAATTTTTAGAATTTAAAAAATTAATGTAGAAATTATTTGTCAAAAACCTCACATAAACTCTTTTGATTCAACCTTTTGGCATGTTCTGTGAGCGTATAATGCAATTATTGTAGTCTGTTTGGAAATAAAATTCATAGTAGCCATGTGTCATTTTGACAGAAATTGAACTGGGTTGCGTGCATGTCAAATTATTTGCTTCACACAATGCATAATAAATAGTTCTATTATTTGCATATATTGCTACCGTGCGGAAACATCTGAATTAATTAGAAAACCTGTCTTTTTTTTTCAAATGCAATTTCACAAACTGTCTAAATGCAGATAATGCTCCAAAGTAGTTGCTTTGGACCTGGGTTCAATTACAATAATTGTAAATATTAATCATCTAAAAATGTAGTTGTCGACGATATCACTTCCGTGGAAGTGGACATTACATAAAGCTATTTCACACACGATCTGAGGTTAATGTAGCTGAAAACTGAAGAAATTTATTTCACCCAAATTAAAAAAAAACTGGGTTAAGGGTTAGGATAAACAATATCCTATTATATATGGTTACCTGACTGTCCTTAAATCACCAAACATAGACATTTTCTCCCATTTCCCACATCCTATAAATCGGACATGGCTTGGTTTCTGCAGACATATTCCAACACTAACATTTTGGTTTTAACAACAGCCTGAATCTGGTTTAATTTCTGGAACTTTATTACACAGTAATTAAGTTCAAAATGTTAATAAATAAGTTATAAACATAAGCATTTTTCTTCAGTTATTATTAGGAGGGATGGTAGATGAGTGGCCTACATCATGAGACCGATTTAGTTTCAACTATTTCCATCAATTACTTCTAGATTTATGGCTCTTGTTTTACTTTGTGAACCTTGTAAATGTTCAAATCACAAAAGTTATCATCCGATCTGTATGAAATTTATATGCATTATTTAGATTAGTAAAACGAAAAAGCCTGTCAAATTTTTTACAATTCTGTAAATTACTTCCAAAGTTAAAGCCCTTATTTCAGTTTATAGAACCTTGTGAACCCTCGAACGACGAAAATTATAATCTGATCTGTATGAAATTGTCTTGTAAATGCCCTGAATTACCTACAAAGAATATGTATGTGACAACCATTGTCAACATCTCGGACAATTTAGCTTCTGTGGGCGTATGTTTCATTGCCTGGCAACCTTATACATACTTTAAGTGCAAACATCAAATTTTGGTTGTAAAGTTTTATGGTTTGCACAATATGAGTTGTATCCCCAGAGAATTGATAAACTAGTGATTAAATAGCATTATAATAAACTTGCCTCTATACTCTGGATGTACTTTCTATTAGATTAAATATGATTTATGCAAAATCTGATTTATATATTTCTGGATAGCCTAGAGAACACAGAGATATTAAACATTTGTTCATTGTTATTCATGGAACATTTATTTTAATAAACTTTAACATTATCACTGCCAGACTACACAGCCATTTCCCTTAAGTTCATTGAGTATGAAGGAAGCCTGTTTCTTTAATACAGTTCATTCCAATTTAAGTGACATTTTCAGATGGCATAGAATAAACCAGTTTGATATCAATGACTATAAACAAATTAAGATGCAGACCGGCTAACATTTGTTGGCCAAACAATGTTCGCAAGATCAAATTTTTTAGATTTTTAAAATCTGGTTCGGGTTTCTTTTGCTTTGAATCTCAGCAAAGAGCAAAACATTTTTACGGACATCCAGTCAATATTTCGTTGATGATCATGTGGTACAGAAATGGCTGACATCACCATGTTGTTACCACATGATGTTTGGGTCAATCATGTGACATACACGTTGTCTCTTTTGAACAAATCTTTCCCTTGTCATTGGTGCAGGATAGAAGGCCTGACAAGGACAGCTGTCTAGTCATTTGGATGGTATGCAAAACCGAGGTCCCTTGTACACATTGGCGTGCATGTAAAAGATCCCTTGGCAGTTGGAATTCGGTATAAGAGTAGGCCGTAGTGCCGCTGTCTGGGCAAAATTACCTTCATATCACACTGTATGGTGTATGCCCATCTTCATCAGCCCAGTCGGAGCAGAACAGTAGAACGTTAAACCCCATTTCATTTCAATTCATTTCGTATGCCCATCTTCAGTATCCTATCGGTGCAGAAAAGTAGAATGTTAAACCCCATTTTATTTGATTTATCTGCAACTATTAAACTTGAATCGAAAAATAAATACTTAGATTAACAAAAAGTCTGGGTTTCTTCCTATTGTACTTAGGTAGAATAAATAAAGTCTCACAATATCTAGCCTGTTCATTCCAATTAAAATTACATCATTTTTTCATCCGGATTTACTCACTTTGATGTCTAAGGAAATTGTGGATGTGGTTTAAATCATTATTTCCAAACACAAAGCATCTCATCCTTTGCTAGATGAAAGATCAAGTTAGGTCAATTAAACACAAACTTCTGAAGATGTTTACGTAAAGGTTTACATAATCTAAAGTACAGAAAGGAAAGAAAACAGTAATTGTAGTTAAAGGAGCTAAATCTCTAACTCGATATTGTCCATAATATTCGAAATTAAAAACACGGATTAGAATTTCAAACAATATTTAGGTTGTTATCTTGCTGTGAAAATATGGGATCCTATATCAACTATTTAAGACACAATAAACATTTCATAGTCAGTACACATGTCATATACTCTATGGTTTGGGGTGCCATTTGTAGCGAACGAAGAAAAACCCTACAAGACGATACAGGAGTAATTGGTTATGGCTGACAGTGATTCACAAATGACAAAATGATATTAAAAAAGACGTATAGAACATAAATGACTGCCGTTCGATTTGGACTGTTTGCAAATTTTACCGAACATAATTAATAAAACATTACAATATTTTTGTTTAAAAATTGAATATAAGTCACTTTATATACATACATATTACATTAATCTGTGCTTTTAGACATATTTAAATTTAAAAAGAATAGAGCTGTATACCCTTTAAAATGTTCTGTGTGTGTGGTAAATAATCCCAACCCTTGTGTAATATGTTTCTTTTCCGACTAATGGTAACTGACAAACATAAAACTGCAATATATGCTTTTTTGAATATTATTGGAATTACACTGGAGTTCTTTGAGATCGATGCAAGTTGCAAATTAAAATCATTTGTTTGACTTTATTATCTGTTTTTGCACAATTATCAAAAATTATGTTGCAAATATTAAGAAATAATAAACCTCTTTGATTTAGGAAAAAAATACAAAAATTAATTGGATTGGACTCTTGATTAGAGGTTAACTTGAGTATTGATAGGGTAAACTAGATATGATTAAATTTTTGATTAGGATGATTAAGGGTGTTGAGTAGTCTAAGATACGCTCTAACTTTTAAAACTTTGCATACTTGTTCCATGAGTAAAATAACCCAGGGGATACATAACATTCCACTGTTAACTTTGTTGTGTAATAATGGAGATAGAAGAGGAAAGAAAAACACTATTTATAGCCAACGAGATGGTTTCCCTGACCTAGATCAGTTGTTAAATAGATTATGACGTCTTACACACCGAGGGGGGTTGGATGGCTGAATGGTTAGCGTGCGCGCGCTGTATCATAAAGTCTGTCATTGAGTCGACTGGCGTGGTTTCGAATCCCCGGTTGTACGTGGCAAGGAGTAGGGTCGCCTGTCCAACCTCGTGGGTTTTCTCCGGGTCCTCCGGTTTCCTCCCACTGCTAAAGACCCCTACGCGCAAGCGAATTATTGAAATAAAATTAAACCATATGTTAGTCCCGAAATGACCTAGTTTGTGTCGAGTGGACGTTAAACCCCATTTCTCCCTCTCGCTCTTACACACAGATCACGTGATCCACAGTAATCAAACATGGCTGCCTTCAGAAACAGCTTCACACTGGTCAGCGTATCCCAATTAAGTCATGTGACCAGAGGGAATTTTTTCTTCAGCGCCATTATCCAGGTCTACCATCTATCACGACTGAAACATTGCTGAATTTCTTTTTTTTGATGGTCAAAGACTACCATTTTTTAATGTATAAAATGATTTTGCGTGCGACTGAGAGTGCACTGAAGTAAATATTTACTTTTTACATCCAAATTGTTGTATGTTAAAACTTGTTGCGAACGTATTCAAAGAAAATACCCCAAATCTGAGTTGATATTTTTTAACATTTTTTGTGTCAAAATGTCGCTTTTAACCTCTATTTTCAATCTACGGTGGGGATTATCAATGGCTCTTTTTAGCATGAACTTATAGAATTTCCAAGAAAATTTAACTCATCATTTTTTTTGTGTTTTTCGATGGATACCAATGAAACCATGGTCTATAACCAAAAAGTGAACCATAGGTTTGTTGGACTTGCATTTAGCATTGTTCATACCAAATTTGATGAAAATCCATGGAGGCATGACTGAGAAGATTCGACTTCTGGGCCAAGTTTGAAACATAGTTGGTAAATAAAATTGGTATTATTTTGGTGGTTAATAAGTAGTTATCACACCAACTAAAAAAAATGTCATATCTTATGAACAAAACTTAGTGCTAGCTTTGAAATGTGCATTCTAGAGTACTGAACACCCCTAAGAAAAAGTCTGCTTGTTTATTAACTTTTGGATCATTTTGTCGATCGTGGAACAAATTATCGGTTACATCTTAACACTTGCTGATATCTGTAGATGTAAAGTTTTCGATAACAACAGATTGTCACCCCTAACAAAACAAATCAATAGATAAAATCCAATGAAATAGATAAGTTTACTTTTGAACCCCAATCAAGGAAGTCTATCACTTTTTTTATTTTATATCATTATATCAATGGTTATTTTAAGTGGTTATGTATTTAGGGGAAAATAAACCTCATACCGGTAATCTTATTTGAATGATTCTGGCCTTTTCCTGGCAATGTCTTGAGCAAAAACCATTTGATGTTATCAACCCATTTCATGTTTGATATTAAATTGAATTTATTGATTTCAGGTGGTTGCTAATTACTATGGCAACAAGAAACGCTATGAACCTGTACAGGGCAAGAAGATTCATTGGGCAGGTGGTCGAGATTCACCTCCTCCAGACACGCCCACATGTGGTTTTGATGGCTCCAAATGTCCACCTGAAGGTAAGTCTATTCATTGTAGAATATCTTCTCGGATAAGGTGACAGAATTGTAAAAAATGCAACAGAACTGGATAGGGTTACGATCATGATCGTCAATTAGCATAATTATCACATCTTAAAATCCACACACTGAAAAATCTCTAAAAATTTGCATTAAGCCGTCATTCAGGTTCTTACGTTTCAATCTGGGATTTAATGTTGATCTAGAAAAATGCAGTTAAAAGTCTAGCCAGTCTTTGATGTCTGCACTAACTTTATTTTATTTCTTCTTTACTTTGTATCATGATTGTATTTTGAGCTTCAATTAGACAATCCTTAAGAGTAGTTGGGTTTTATTACGAAACGGTCTATTATGAAGTCACTCTCGGAAAATCGATGAGTAGATACTTAAATTGGAGCTAAGATACTTGAAGGATATTCTGACAGTAATTATAAAATTGGTATTCAGAAAGAACTCCAGGAACGAACATTACTCAAATGACTGTTTGATTTTTTCTTGGATGTAGAGTCTCCAATGTTGTTTGTGTTGGCAATCTGAGCAGACAAATTTACTTCATGGTTCCTGGAGATAACCAAATCTCGTGTTTATGTACATGTCAGTTTGTGGCGTCTTTAATGGTTACTGTTTTCATAGTTGGGCCTTTTCACTGAAAATAAACAGAGAATTTCACTTATTTGCAAATGGGATGTCCAATTGTGAGTTAGCCACCGAGAAACAAATTGAAGTGATTTGGAAGCATTGAAAATATTACAATAGAAAGTGGTTTTTAGCTTGACAGGTTTTAAGGAGTATTAATAACACTAAACACTATAGAAAGACAACCTTAACTCTTTAGTTCTTCCCAGCACTTGTTTTGATAACCAATACTATTGAATGGGTTCACTGACTGAACTTTGCTTCATTTGACCTTACAAATAAGAAGCCATTAATAAAACTTTTTTTTTTGTGAGGGGGAGGGGGGCAGTATAATCAGGAGTTGAAAACGGATATTTGTTAGTTTCTTATTTTGATTTAACTTTTAAGCTTCATTTGCTTGAAAGAGCAAACCCTGATAAGTCTTAGTGAATCAAAAAAGTTGCTTCTGCATGGAGTACCCTAAAAAACCTTTATCCTAGTTCCTGGATAGCCATGTCTACAGACTTTCATAAGTTTTACTAATAATAGGGGATGGCTGTTACCAAGACTCAGTGTTGTGAATTTGAAGATTTCAACCCACTTTTATCAACAAGTATCCCTGCATTGGCTGAGAAAGTTCATCAGAATTGTTCTCCCTTGTCAGTGGTGCAGAACAGTATATTTGTTCAAATGGAATGAAATCCATGGTCCCAGGCAGGCAATGGCTGCTGTCCGGGCAAAATTTCCCTCATGGCACACTGTATGGCATATGCCCATCTTCATTAACCCCGTCTGAGTAGAACAGTAGGATGTTAAACCCCATTTCATATCATCAACAAGTACTGTGTGAAATCTGGCACAACCTCTTTAAGACATTCTCTCACAAGATGATGCTCTGTTGTATGTTTCTTAATTTTATACCCTTTAGTTGGACATTTCTATTAAGTTCCAATATCCAGACAACCTAACAGTCCAAATAAAATGGATTTTATCATATCTTTGTTGTAATGAATCAATTCTTTAATACATTTGAATAAAGTTGAGGTAAGTATTTCATCCAAGGAATTAGTTGATGTCCTCAGAGTTTCAAACATTTACACAAACTTGAATAAATATGAATAATTGTATTGTAGGCATATTTTTAAAATAAAAAAGCCATCAACCCCAAGAAAAACAACCCCAAACTCCCCCAAAAAACTGTTATAAAACTAACTTTAGAAATTCCTGCAGGAGTTTCCAAAGGCTTGTTAGTGTTTTGGTGTTGATCAAAGTCTAATAGTTTTAACCCAAAATAGATAGTGATGGCAAAGACATATTGCCATTCCAAACACATACTGTCGCCATGAAGTATTATGATATAATTGAGCACTGTGGCCGTGCAAATCGACAGTCGATAGTAAATTACTCTTGGAGGAACAATTAAACGATTTCCCTTGAGGAAGAAGATGGCCACAGTTTTAATGCCTGTTATAAATTGGTGAAAAAACTTGAGATAACCCAATCTATTTGTGTGTCGCCGGTTTAGGTTAAGGCGGTATTATATATATACGATTCAAATCCCGCATCTTATTGACATGGCGCAACGTCAATTTCAGACCAATTAGATGCTTGGTATTCCCCTGTGTAATTTGGCTTGGTGATTTGCTAGCACATTAATATACGTTAGACAACACATGACATTTTTGATTGACAGGTCTTTACAATTCTGTTGACGTACATCAGCATAAACTTAACGCTTGTCCATACGTAGATAATCACTGAGATTTCAAGTTGGGTCGGATCAATTAAATATCACTTAATCCATAGACATCTGATTAACAGCTTATCGTTTAACTTGAATTAATGATTGAATGAATACAATTCTGTCAGGTAGAAATTACCACAGATCCTGACGTGTTCTGAGTTTTGAATAGTTAAACGCATCGCTGAATAGGTTTTATAAATTCATGGTGTTATGCTATATTTTCCAGGTTACCAGTATGACATAATGTCTACTTATACGCCAGGGAATCGTATATTGGAATTTTTACAACTTCGTGACAAACATTATGCGACATCCAGACCAATTATTGTGATATTTAGATTACCCTAAAATGTTAATACTCTTGCATTAAGACATGTCAATGCCAATTGTCCATAGTTTTCTCAGAGGATGTTGTCTAAAGTTGTAAACATGATAATATATCTTAGATTATTTCCATTTTGTAGGGACCTTATATTTTACTCAAATTTATGTTCATTTTGATCTTAGGGATTTTGAATGAATTACATATAAATGTTTCATGAATTTTATTTCTTTTTTAGAGAAACAAAGAGTTAAATTCAGTGTTTACTTTATGATGTAAAATTTGATCAAGTTTTGATTATATCGTTCATAAAAAGTAAACTCTATTTTTTAGTTACACTAAGCAAAATTTGCATAGACAATCAATTTGATTGTCTTCATTAGCTCAGCCTGTGCAGAAAAGTAGAACGTTAAACCCCATTTCATTTTATTTTATAGGCTATTTGGCTGACTTTGTAAATTCTGAAAGGAATTGAACCATTTTTGGACTGATAATCTTTTTAGAGATACAACCTTTATAATGTCAATATTGTTGTTTGAAAGCGATTAAAAATCTGTCAAATAATTATCATAGATTTAAAATATGATTCTCAAAATATCCATGTTAAGTTTCCAACACTGGCAACACTCTATAGTAAGTGCAAATGGATATGATTGAAGTCCCACTTTCAATATGATAGCACCAGCAAGGTCAAAATTTGATTAATTGCAAGAATTGGTTTCAAATGCCAGATTAATATATTATTTATTGGAAACATATTAATTGGTTTTTATTTTTGATACATATAATTGTTTGATTGAGCTGGATATGAATTTGATGTCATAATATTTGGTTCCCTAAGTTATTTCTGCCTTTAAACCACTGCGATCATTAAGTAGGAAGTTTATTCTGTTGAGCTGGATATAAAATTGATCTCATAATATTTGGTTTCACCAGTTGTTTTGACCCCTGGGATCATTAATAAAAAGGTTTCTTCTGTTGAAAACAGGTAATTAGGATATGTTCTGTGTAACATCATCACTAGTGAAACACATTTAGATAAATATGCTAATTCTTACAGCTATGGTATATATAGCAAGCGCTTTATTAATAGAGGGTCGGGGTACCCAGAAATCTCCTTCGTCTTTGGATACAAGATTAATTTGAAATAATTAATGTTTGTATGGTGTATAATCTATTGTGAAGTTAATCCATAGACATTAAGGTATTAAGGATTATCAAGTTAATGTTACTAGGAAACAATGCATGAGGTATATAAGACCTGAAAATTGTATATTAAAAGAAGGACCGCCATTTTGTTATCAGATAAAATTTATTTTTATACCTTTTTTTTTAAATCGAATTGAATCCAAGATCTAACGTTTGTATTTTGATGTTGTTTTTTAGTAAAATATTAAGTAATCAATTTGGGTACATATTAGCGTGGATTGAGCCATGAGAACTTTGATAATTTAGCGAAAGATGCAAATGGCCCTTGTTTCACTGTTTTGAAACTTGTGAACGCTCTAACGACAATAGTTATAATCTTATCTGTTTAAAGTTTATATGCATCATTTAAATTAGTGAAATAAAAAAGCCTATTGAATTTCAGCAATATGCCTTTATTACGTCTAGAGTTATGGCCCTTGTTTCACTTTCTTGAACCTTGTGAATGCTCGAAAAACAAAATTTATCATCCAATCTATATGAAATTTATTTGCATTATTTAAATTAGTAAAACGAAAATATCGGTTGAATTTCAACAATTTCTATTGATTACGTCTAGAGTAATGGCCCTTGTTTCACGAACCTTGTGAACTCACTAATGATCAAAGTTATAATCCGATCTGTATGAAATTGATATGCATCATTTCAATTAGTGAAACTATGACGCTTTTAAATTTCAGCAATTACATCTAGAGTTATGGTCTTTGTTTCACGTTGTTGAATCTTGTGACCATAATGACAAAAGTTATAATCCGATCTGCATGAAATTTGTATGCATAATTTAAATTAGTGAAACGAAGAATTCTATTGAATTTCAGCAATTTGTGTTTATTACGTCTAGATTTATGGCCCTTGCTTCACTTTCTTGAACCTTGTGAACGCTTGAAAAATGAAATTTATCATCCAATCTCTAAGAAATTTATATGCATTATTTAAATTAGTAAAACAAAAAAATCTGTTGATTTTCAGCAAATTCTGTTAATTATTTCCAGAGTTGAGGCCCTTGTTTCAGTTTGCAGAATATTGTTAACCCTCAAATGACGAAAATTATAATCTGATCTGTATGAAATTGTCTTGTAAATGCTCCCATTACCTACAAAAGAATAAATATGTGAAAACCCTTTTTGACCACTCGGATGCTCTGTCCAGCTGTTGCAAAATGTGGACATACCTTACATTGCATCTGCTTGTTAATATCTATTATTGAATAATTCTAGCAAGAACAGACAGCTCTTTATCTAAATCTTACATAATGCTTCTTTAACTTATATACTTGTAAACACAGTGTAAGATTAAGATCAACAACAAACAGTCCAGACGAAGTGGGAGGGTTGAAGAGAACAAAGCAGATGTTTTTTTAACTGACTGACGTCATTTGTATTAAGACATATGATATTGATTTGTCTGAAAACAAAACTCAACTGGTTGTCTATTCAACAAGAATTACTATATCGATACTCAAAAATTTCACATCTAAATAATTTACAACATTTTTATTATCGGTATATTGGAATGGTTGTGTGCTGTCATTAGCACCACCCAGACCTTTGCCATATAGCATCCTTAAGAATACTTGAATAAGGCAATGATTACTTGCTTGGATTTCTGGAAGAATTTCACCCATCTCTGCAGAAGTCATCAATCCAGTTAATAATGATGATATATGTTTCTGTATACAGTTAACGTGCTGATACAATTACTGCTGTTGAACAACTTCTCTATCTTATGATCTGAGAAGATGATTTGTATATCTGTAGCAGAATTTGAAATTGTAATATGAATTTGTAGAATACTGGTAGCCATAAATTTTAACACTTGTCTGTAACTGGTGTATTTATCTTTGCCAGTTGTCAAATCCATTTTCTGCAATTGAAATATTGTTAAAGTAAATGATATGTGCAAGATACAGCAAACAGGAATGCAGTAATGCCAAAGGTGCTATTATGAATATATAGTAACAGTTATTTTTTCAAGTGATTATTTATGTTTGTGGTGTATTTTGAGTTTAATCTTTATCATGTTTCAGACTTAAGTCACATGAACAAACCCTTGTTGAAGTTTCAAATTTTGTGCATCTAATTTATAATGATTTATGTGTGCCAGTGTTGATTGATTGGCATTGTTAAAAATGTTAATGTATTACACAAACTGTAATAGCGCCAGTGTTAGAGTTTGTTACACAAAATGTAATAGCACTGATGTTAGAGCTATACAAAATGTAATAGCACTGATGTTAAGAGCTATACAAAATTTAATAGCACCAAAGTTAAAGCTATACAAATTATAATAAGCACCGGTGTTAAAGCAGTACCAAATGTAATCACACAGATGTTAGAGCAATACCAAATGTAATGACACCGATGTTAAAGCTATACAAAATGTAATAGGACCCATGTTAGGATCTATACAAAATGTAATAGGACCCATGTTAAGAGCTATACAAAATGTAATAAGACTCATGTTAAGAGCTATACAAAATGTAATAGGACTCATGTTAAGAGCTATACAAAATGTAATAGGATCCATGTTAAGAGCTATACAAAATGTAATAGCGCTAATGAGCAACGAGTATTGGATTTCAGACACACCGTGAATACATTATTCAAACACTGCATTTACTAAAAGTTCACAGATTTTAATTTGGACATATTATGGGGTTTCATTGATTTCTTGTCATAGTTCAGTATGAGTCATTTGTATTTATAATACATATCTCATAAACAATTCTATTTGTACATTTTTCTTTTTGAATTGTATTGTCAACAACATGTAGAAGGGTTTTTTTTACATCAATATACTGGCAAATCATGGAAGAACATGATTCTTTTCAATATAATAACTTTCAATATGGTATTCCATATTCTTTTTAATTTCTATTTACAGAACTTTCAAGATTTTATCCGAATCAGTTTCCTTACATCTTTTATTTATTGCACGACATGGAAGATAATATTATGAGAAAGCAAAAGCTAACGTAATAAAAAGCTAAGGTGGTTCTAGCTTTTATGATTGCGTCACGTTTAGTGATATTTTTAATCAATCTAAATGGTGAATAAGTAATGATAATATTCCGATACAGACTAAACACTATTGATCAGGGATGAGAGAAAGGAAATTCCAACACCAAACTTATTAGACCAGCTTTCAGTTAAATGATTAAAGAAAGTGAACTGGTGTCATTTACGAAGATATGTTAAGAAAAGGTGTTCGTGATTAGGTTATGTTATTATTAAATATAAAGAGATTTCTCATGAGTATTTAACTATTACCTTTGATTCTTTAGTTGATATTTTCTAACTTATTCCACAATACTGTAATCGAACCTACCTTCTATCATAATAAACTTTGACGGACTTTCAGTCGATTGTGTCAAAGTCCTGGTCCAAGGCCTACACAAGTGGCTTTTGACGTCATTCATTCGATTAACCAATCAATGTGGGGTTTTCATTAGAAACACAAGTTTTGCTTTGTTTTGTTTTGTTTTCTATCGCTACGAATGTCTAGCCATAGTTCCAGGTGCCAGACGATAAGAACTTGACACAACAGACCGTTTGATTGGCTAATCCCTCACATCACTCAGAAGTAAAAAAAACAAAACGAAATATGATTTGTGTTTTAATCAGATATGGACTGGCTTGTCCATAAAAGGAAAACATTTCTTTCATATAGCAAGATGCTTTGTATTAGAAGATGGTGATTTATATACAGTTGTTAACATCTAATCACACTTGGACAACTCCTTTATTTTCTTCAAAAAGTGCTATCCTTATTTATTGCCTTGAATTCTTTATTTTGTCACTGTGAATGTGGTCAAGGCATTTAAGACCGGGTATTTGACTGGTGTAATTCTGATCCTCACTCAATTCGAGAACACTAATTTTTGTACGAAAATAAGCTGTAGAACGTTAAGACACAAACACCCTTGAGGTGAAATAAAAGCCATACAAGAGAAATATATATATATTATACGATATAATATACTGTTGCACAATAAAAAAAGCACCAAGTTTATAAATGTATCACTATAAATTATTAACTCCTGCAATTCTGATTGTAACAATATCAGATGATGACAATAACGTCATGAGAATGATGTTTTCACGATGGTATAAATGCAACACAGATCAATTTACTTAACACAAAAAATTAGATTTGAAAGAATGTAGAAAATCATGATTTTATGGTTGCCGACATGGGGTATAGAATGTGGTTTATAGAGCTAGGATCAGTACGAATCCCACACGACACATCATTTAAGGCATGTATGTCATATACTGACTAGTAGTTATCGGCAGCAATATTACTGTGATTATACATGTAGAAAATGATTTACACAGAAAACGTAAAGCAGAAGAAACCACTTTGTCTTCAAAAGATTATCATGTTCATGATTCTGTTTGATGAATTGGGAGCAGTGCTGGCTCACTAACCACGATATCCAGGGTTTCATTGTGGTGTTGGAAAAGAAAGTTCCCAGGGATTTTGTTGAGTGATTTCCCTTGCCAGTGGTGCAGGACAGAAGTCCTGTGTACACACTAGCGTGCCCGTAAAAGATCTCTTGACAGTTGGAATTCGAAATAAGAGTAGGCCATAGTACTGCTTTGCGGCACAATGTCCCTCATGTATGGCTTATAATCCAAATCAGTGCAGAGAAATATTGTTAATAGTATAATCTGACAAGGTTGATTATCGTCTTAGGGTGCTTGTAATTGATTGGCAAGGAAGCAAATCTAGATTCTCTTCCCAACTTCAAATCACAAAAAAAGTTGATGATTAGAGCACAGTTTAAAATAGGTCCATTTACCGGGTACCTCCTGAAAACTTGTGAAGTTGAACCTTTTTAAATAAAATGGTCTTCAAGATCGGAGTGTCCCGACTTTACATGTAGAAGGGAATATTCATCCACAGAATTTTGACATTCATTTATAAGAGTTTAATGGTTTCCTTACTTTCCTACTAAGTGAAAGATTTTCAAAAATTTCCAATAATTACTACAGAATGAAAGTTATCTTTTCAGTGCCTGTATAATTATACAATTTGTTTATGTTCATGTAGTTATTGCCCTTGATCATGTTTTAAAAAATTCTGACTGGACTCTCTAGTGACTAAAGTTACTTTTTGATTGATTTGAAATTGTTACAAAGTTCATGAGACTGACAGCCTAAGAATATTAATGATTTTAGATTAATTGAACAGCTAAATTTATCATCTAATGACATACATGTTTTGTATAATAAAGGTCACTATCAGGAAAAACTAGAATCCAATTAAATTTTAATCATTTCTGATAATTACTTCATGGCTTGTTAGTCTTGATTAGTAACTTATGGACTGCTCAGACTAATTAGCTGTGGGTGTATGTTTGATGGCCTGGCAACCTATCCTTTTTAATGTTGTAATAGTGATGACAAAGGTTAGATTGTAAATGGAACATTAGCCTACAAGTGGAGTTTTTGAAATATATAAATTATAAATTAACATTTGAATACTTATAAGTTTATTGTATTTAATATATATAAAATCCTATACATTTTTAAAAAATAATCTATTTTATTTCTTATTTCAGAACCATTTCCAGAATATGGTATTGTTATAATTGTTCTTGGTTCAATAATATTATTAGTATTGATAGCTACAGTTTTTATATATAGGTAAGTATACCTGCTTGTAAATTGGTGACATTATATTTATTTTATGCTTAGCATCTGCAATATGATTTATATGTTGGTATCTGTTTTATCTTTCGACGTTCAGTAGAAATATGACCATGTAGCATATGTGAGATTAGGACACTAACCAGAATGTCCTATGTGAGTCTAGAAGAATAAATGACCGTATGTTAGACTCAAAATCAATCTGATTAAAACACAGATCCTATTTCGTTTCTTTTTTTATAGTTCAAAATTTCGTTTTACTTAGTTTAAACAATATTTTATTCAACAAACTGAACTGGATTGAACAACAGGCAAAAGGCCTATATAAGTTCTCTCCAAACATATAAAACAGTTATATCTTATGTTTACAATAGACAATGGTGGACATATGTATAGACAGTGAGTTACAAACATATACATTTTGTTCTACTTGTCTTCGCAACACTAAATCTGGAAAAGTTGTTATATAACAGGCGTTCTAGTTGATGTGAGGAATTAGCCAATGAAACGATCTGTTACTGCAAGTTTTTGGTGTTCTCTGCACGGAACTGTGGGTAAACGCAACCTCCCAGTACAACTGATCAGATCTTCATGTAGTGTAGGCCATCAAAAGTATAAAATAAAAAAAACGAAAATATAGATCTGTATTTTAATCAGATTGAATCAAAATTACTTGTTGATGAAACATTAAACCTCATTTCATTAGAGGTTGAATACATCTTTCGCCTAATGTGCATGGAGGGCCTGACAAGGACAGCTGTCTATTTGTTCAGTCCTGTGTACTCATTTACGTGCACGTAAAAGATCCCTTGGCATTTGGAATGGGCTATACTATATACTGGAAAACTACCAGAAAACTACCGGAAAACAGCATGTTATACTGAATGCCGGAAAACACCGGAAAAACACTAAATACTGGAAAACACACTAAATACCGGAAGACACCCTAAATAGGTAACTCGGAACCTGGTCCTCTGGAAACCCTAACCCTAACCCACCGCTGATCCTCTGGAGAACACCGGAAAAACCTAACCCTAGCCCTAACCTTAACTCCGCGCAAACAGAGGACCAGTCTCTAGGATACCTATTTAGGGTGTTTTCCGGTATTTAGTGTTATCCGGTATTCTGTATAACATGGTGTTTTCCAATAGTTTTCCGTTGTTTTTCGGTATATAGTATTGCCGTTTAGAATTCGATATAAGAGTAGGCCGTAGCGCCGCTGTCTGGGCAAAATTTTCCTCATAGCACACTGTATGGCATATGCCTGTCTTTATTAGCCCAGCCGGAGCAGAACAGTAAGGTGTTCAACCCAGTTTTATTTCATATCATTTCTCCTAAGGTAGAAACTAAAGTGAAATATTCTAGACCCCAAGTCAGTTGCTTGTTGTTATTTATTGCTCGAAAAATTAGAAACTAATGTCCCTTGTAGTCACTAAAGGTGTCTTATTAAACTTTGTCTTTCACAACATGGATGTTTTTTTTAAGTCAATGAAATATTTCATCACTTGTAAATTTGAAATAAACCTGGGTAAATGTCATATCCACAATAGACAAGCCATTATTAATCTCTTCTCATCTGGTGATATATGACACATCTTTTGTTCATTCTAGTCGGTGCAGAACAGTATAATGTTAAACCACATTTCATTTCATTTCTTTTGTTCAGAAAGCAGAGCTAGGTTTTAACAAGTGAAAAAGTGAAATTATAATAGAATCTGTCCACATTAAACATATGGGAACACTAGTTGCTTTATAAAAACTGTAGTGCCATTGTGAATTAAAGCAGAGGGAGAGAAATGGGGTTTTAAGTCCACTTGACAGAAACTATATTATTTTGGGACTAACAAGATTTTTTTTTGATGATTAGCTTGCGCATTTGGGTCTTTAGCAGTGGGAAGAAACCGGAGGACCTAGGGGAAACTTACAAGGTTGGACAGGCAACCCTACTCCTTGTCACATTTAAGTTTGAATTGAAACCATGTCACTTGGCTCAATGGCAGAGCTAATGATCTAAAGTGAATGCGTTAGACCACTAAACTATTTAGTGACAAACTTTATGAGGATTTGAAACATGTTGAAGGCATTATTTTCACATTTTGCATTTCCTGAATATAAGATAAAGATAAGATGTTTATTGCATCAAAACGTCCATGAAGGACAGCATACATACATATACACTTAGACATAGTCATATACATTCAATAATACATATATGTGTGAGAACACTACCCTATTTCTTATTTTGCACCTACATGAACAAAAATTATTTAGTGTTGTATAGAGATTGTTTTATTTATTAAAGACATATAAAACTTGAAGCAGAGCTAGCCGAAATGAACTGGAGAGTTAGATGGGAAGACATTATTTTTGGATCACCTGAAAAGAATCATAAGTTGGAGCGTCAGGGAAGTCGGATGAGTCTTAATAGGGTGAGTGGAAACAATGACCCATTCAGACCCGGATGGACAGCAGTGGGGTGCAGAGGTTTGGTGATGCCTGGGAGGGGGGGGAACTCCTTGATTGTATCCCCCAAAACTCAAGTATAGGGCCCAATAAATAAAACATCAATATATATATATATTGCAGCGTAAACAAAACAAAGCAGTGCGGATCGTAACACAAACACCTTTGAGAGACGATATCGCCCCTGTACTTAGGTTACTTCACTAGCTTCCATTTCAAATGAGAATTGTCTTCAATTTGATGTCTCTTAAATATCAATGCTTGTGCGGTGTAATGCCATCTTATCTGATAGAGCTTGTGGTACCGTACATGCCACCGAAAAATCTAAGATCAAGTACAAAGAACAACCTTGTTGTCCCAAAATATCAACTTAGCTCCTTTGGAGACATTTTAAGTATGTCAAAACAGATGAAATCAATTTTTTATTCAAATTAAGTAAGGCAGTTTGTACAACAAAGTTAACAGCGATCATTTCAAATTTCATAAAGATTAATTTCAATCTTTGATTGGATGCCCCTCTGAAATGAATGCCCAGGGCCATAGCCCCCTCTGAAATGGATGCCTAGGGCCATTTCCCCTCTGACCCCCATCTCTGAACACCACTGACAGACTAGGTAACAAATATACCTACAGATATACTTCTAAATCCAAACTAAACAATGTATTGTTACTTAAATATAGTATAAATGGAGCTTCACAAAAATTATTCCTGCAAATAGAACAAGTAAGGTGACACTGTACATTAACTTTGGTGCCAGGCGGCGACTATAGATTTCCATTATTTGCCCTGTATGTAAGCTTTTACAATTCTGGAGAAAAACATTTCCTGGCACCAACATGACAAAATGGCAATAAAAATTGAAATGTGGCATTAGTCATGCCATAATCTATTATATTGATGGAACCAAGTTGGTAAATATATCCTGCGAATCAGCAAGCTCGTATCTGATGAGATGTCAGCAGGTCTGTAGGTTGAACTAATGTTTTCTTAATTTAGGACAAAATACTCATTCATCTTAGCGTTTATCACGATCTTCTAATTAACCACTAGGACAAATTTGTACGAAAGCCTATTTCATTAATCATTGCCGATACCGTGGAAAATATTCTCATATTTATTTTCGACATATTTATGACTTTTAAAACAATCGATGATGTAAGCTGGCTATATAAATTACTATGATTAATCACCCAGACTAATTGATTTTTATAATGAGTGTGTTTTTGTAACACAACCCTTGTGTCTTTCGTGACTCCTAGACAAATAAAAATCATCCATGGAGAAAATGAGGAGTTTTGTATATTGTATTTGGAAACTGTTACGATTATATATCATAAGTATCTGTGCTGAAAGGTATAAAAAAAAGAAAAGGTATTTTGTTTTAGAAGGATTGAGCTTAAACTGCCTCCTGCACAATACTGCTAACTGCAGAGAATCGTTTAATATAACTTCTAACACAATAAACATATTAAAGAAGGGGTATTTACATCCTAATGTGTTTATTGAGCATACTCTGCCTCCTGCACAACACTGCTAACTGAAGAAAGTAGTCAGTATAACTTTTAACATAATGAAAACATTAAAGATTAATCAGTATTAATAGATGTTTTAGCATCCTGGATTATTGTTTTATTTAGTTTTCTAGTTAAAGATCACCTTTATACGATATATATAGCTATGTCGAAATGAGACATATCGCAGACCCCTTATTCTAGATATGGAAGGAAAAATGTAAAAAATTTACTTTTAAGCATATCCGCTATCTCAAATATGACATTGTTTGGTTTTAATTCCCCAAAATGTAACAGAAATGCATGTTATTGAGTCTTAAATTGTTTCACTAATTTTCAAATGTTTTTTTCTTGAAATTAATATTGTGGACTGTGGTGTATACCAATTTCCAAAGCTAAATATCTCAGCCATATTGTAATGTCTGCTGAAACTTGTTATAGAAATCTCCACCAGACACTTCACTGTTTCTTTTTTCAGCGTAATTCTTATATGAGTGATTGTTCTGGTGATACCATAGCCTGTCATTTAGGAGATGTTGGTAATCGACAACTTTTTACAAAAACTGGCTATTATAAGGTAATACAATTAATTTATCTGCAGAATATAGCATTAATACTCCTTAAGTGGCATTTAGCGATTGGTAACATAACAAAACTAATACAGTTATATGTGACAACAGTCACTGATTTATTATACACAAGCACAGCGTTTCGATAGGTATCCTTATATTTGTGTTTGATAACGATTAGAGGATACCTATCGAAACGCTTGTGTATGATAAATAAGTGATTGTTGTCTTATATAACTGTGTCAGTTTTGAAATAGCATTAATGTTGCTGAATTCTCCATTGTTTTTCTGACATTGTCTTTATTTTATCATTTCAGTGTGCAATTGTAGCCATTAAAAAAATTGAACGAAGTGCTATTGCTATACATAAAACATTGTTACTGGAAATAAAACGGGTGAGTATTTGAACAGCGTTTCATATATTATTGTTGCAAACTTGACTATATAGATGTACATAACATGTGGGCTACCTCAGAGAGCCTAGAAAAGCATCTACCTGTAGTTGTTTTGTTTGGATAGGACAAAAATCAAGATCATGTACTCCTGTATATAGATCTCCTCACCTTTGAAAATCAAAATAAGAGTAAGCCGTGGCAATTGTTTTGTCTGTGTAAAATTTGTCTGCCGTGACATATAGCCATAGTTCAACTGCAAAGGTTTCTTTTACATGGATGCCAATGTCAACATGGATGGATCTTATTTTTTTATTTCCTCCAAACACCTAGCCACACTTTCTAAACTCACTAGTGATATATCTAAACCTTTTTTTTGGGGGGGGGGGGGGGAACCGGCACATTCTAGTAGAGGGTACAAAATAGATTTTATTCCTGGACTGAGTGGGTTCATCCTAAATAACAGTTGTGTTCTTTTTCTAAACATCCCAGGATGAGCTTTAATGTAAACAGTTTGCCCATGATCAGTTTTTAATGTCTTGTATAAGTTATAAGTTGTCCTATTTCCTACCATAGAATAAAGATGTGACAACACATATGACATGACTTCCTTGTTGCCTGGCAATATATATTTCTATAATAACACTAATTAGATTTTTTAATGGAATATAAAAAAAGATTTTTCATACTAATGAACCAATAAATATGACTGAGTTATGGCTGTTTAGGTAATAGATATAAATTGAACAAGAATACTGGAGATTTCTATATTATTTTATTACAGTATAAGAGCTAAATCTGCCTATTACAGGTCTTTCTTTTGGCCATAAGTGTTGTATAGATTATTAATTAAACATTTATTCACATATCAAGCCCATAATTAACTCTCTAGAACATCACACGGTCGGGTTTTTAATGGCTTTAAACACGATCACCATTTAATAATTTATTTTAAAAATGGATAATCAAGACTTTTTTGATTATCGTAACAATGATAGCGATGGAAATTGAGATAATGCTATTCTTATCAAAATGTCAAATTTTTAATATACATTCTTTTTTTCGTTATCTATTTTCAAACTATTAGAGCAGGAATTATCATCTCTTTATCTAAATCTTACATAATGCATCTTTAATGTTGTCGTAATTTTTGAATATCCCTGTTATTTCATCTATACTCTTCAGCAGTAGTCCTATTGGACTAGGGGGGTTGGATGGCTGAATGGTTAGCGTGCACGCGCTGTATCATAAAGTCTGTCATTGAGTCGACTGGCGTGGTTTCGAATCCCCGGTTGTACGTGACAAGGAGTAGGGTCGCCTGTCCAACCTCGTGGGTTTTCTCTGGGTCTTCCGGTTTCCTCCCACTGCTAAAGACCCCTACGTGCAAGCGAATTATTGAAACAAAATTAAAACCATATGTTAGTCCCGAAATGACCTAGTTTGTGTTGAGTGGACGTTAAACCCCATTTCTCTCCCTCTCTTCTATTGGGCTAAAGTTGATCCTAAGTTATTGTTTCGACATACATTGTTATACTCACTTATGTTCTTAAAGGATTTTTGAAAGATAGTTAGTACTGGGGTAAAGATGACCCATATCGATTTGGAGTGATTTAGTTTAGAGAATTTGAAAGTTATTATCTAGAGGTCTTTTGGAATAAGCTAAAGATTGTTGATAAATGGATATTGCTCTATTCATACTCATTCTTTAGCGCTAATGACCATTGGTGACAAAAGTTGGATTGATTTATTATTTGAAGTTTGGACTTCTATTTCCCCAACCTTGCATAGGGCTACACAGTAAAAAGAGAAGAAAATGGTCTTATTACAGGATGGACAATGCAGCATTTAGTTGCCTGTCATATTTTAAGTAACACATTTTGGATGAGTTATAATCTTGCTGTATAAATTCCCAAAATTGGAAATCAAACCAAATACCATTATACAAAAGAAAATACTGCCATGTTTGGTGAAAACATATGAAATAAAAAATCTGTTGTTCTGATTTTAGAATGATTTAAAATACCTAAAGTTTTCACAGACTTTTCTAAGGGAAGAAGTATTATGATATTGAATAGTCAGAAGAGAGTTAAAGGTCCCTAGGAATATGAAAATTTTTAAAAGAAGGAAATTTGAAGGTTTGGAAAAATAACAAAATTAGGGTAATCATTTGGAGGCTTCTGGTTTTCAACCATCAAAATATTAATAAAAAAAAGTCAGATAATCAGGAATACAATTAGGATAGGTAGACAAAATATTATCTATATCCACAAAAGGAAATTATCTTTCTGATTTGTGGTATAGGGTAAAACAATTTATAAAGCAAGCAGAATGTCCAGGTTCTTCCTGCCATTATACTTTAAATATCCTTTGGGATTTCACATATCCAAGCTCCTTCAGAGAACAGACATTGATTGTAGAATTTAAAGTATTCAAAATCCCTTGGATTTATATTCTCATTGATAGATTACTGTTAGCTCGGACACTCAGACCATGATAAATAAATTAATTAGATTTAAAGAGTAAGTTTATAATAATAATTGTATTCACCACCCTGGAGATTATGCGCTTGATTAGATTCCTATATATGTGTAAAGCTGGGGCGGTTGTTTTATATCTACTCAAGGGACTTATTTAAAACCTTCCCCAACTATTTACTGTCAATTGTTCTATCAGTATTTATGAGAACTAATAATGAAAGAGATTGAATTCTTTGAAACGTGCCTTTAATTGGAAATTTGAAAATAAAAGCGACTTTATTTATCTGGGTTGTTTCAAGTTAAACTGCTCTAGTTTTTTGTTTTTTTTAAGTTTCATTTTTGTGAGTAAAATCAATAATAATGTAAAAGCTAAACAATGAGATAATGTTTGAAATGTTGACTTAATTCATTTATAAAGATATATAAAACTTAATAATTCTACGTGAATTGAATGTCTGTTAATATTTTTTCTAAATGACTTACAACTATAGATGAAGGTCTGTCTTACTGTTTCAAACAAAAAAAAACTAACAACCAATTGCCAGTTTTCTCACTCTATGATAAATCTTGTCTACATGCCACGCTTGGGCACAATAGTATTCATGTCCACATGCCATGATGGGCACAATAGCATCCATATCTATAGTAGTTTTAGCCTAAATGTTAGAGCAAGGCAAAGAAAATATATTCCTTTATATAATTTAATTTTTATACCTGCACATTTACACAGTTGGAACATATTGTGAAATGTTTGAAACTGTCATATTTTTTTGCTAGCAAGGTTTAATGTTAAGATAACTTTTGAGTTTCGGGTGGTCTGGTGCATATGTCACTGACTCAATAACTAACACATCCTGGGTTTGAATCTATGTTGGCCTGTGTAGTCTTTTGTATGGGATAAAAGGCTTAGTTTCTGTGTATGACAATGGTAGCCATGGGTGTCGATTTAGAATCGGAAGGGAGTTGGGGCGAATAGGTCTCTGTCCCCCCCATGATTTTGATCGCCAGGACAGATTTTCAGGTTTATATCCACATGATGGTGAGCTTGTTTCTACGTATCTGGAACTGAAGCGGAACTTGGAACAAGAATTGCCATTCTTCAAGCGCCAGTTTTCGGCCAAATCTATTTCACTTGTGCACGAAGCGTTCCTCATTATGTCACCTGAAGTGAGGCAGATGTTCCCTTCTGTCGAAGCTCTTCTCATCTCACACTGATGAACCCTGCTAGTTCCTGCTCAGCCAAGTGATCCTTCAGCACTCTGCGCCGTATCAAAACTTGGCTGCGCAACTCCATGACGCAAAACTGACTGAACCACTTGATGGCGTGTGTGGTGCATAATGACCCCCTTCATGTCGCCAAGATATTCAAAGAGAAGTCCTGATCGTAGAATGAACGTCTTTGGACGATTCACTTAACTTCATGAACAATTAATATTTATGCAGCTTTGATGTAGGTAGTCAATTTTTCCATATTGTCATCATATTACCCCTAGTTACAGCCTTCATCGAAATAACACTGGTACAGTAAACTGTTCGTAACTATTAATTTTGTTTGGTAATGAAATGTTCCAGGTTCCAGGGTTTGTCCGTCCCCCCCAAAAGTTATGACAAATCCACACCCTTGATGGTAGCATGTTAAAGTTTGGACAGTTTGATTCGGAAATAAGAGTAGGCTGTGGGGCCACTGACATGGCAAAACTTCCCGCAAAACACACTGCATGGTATATGGCCATTTTCATTGGTTGGTGCTGGAAAGTTCATTTTATTTCATCTGAAACATGTATTTACCCAAGATACAACGTAATCTGAATGCAGCGTTATTTCATTTCTTTATTTGATATGTAAGGTTGTTTAACATTTATAGGGCCTACTTTTAATAAATACATAAATAATATCATGGGGCCTTGGTTTTTGGCATAATATTTTTGTCCCCCGCCTTTCGAAGAAAGCAGGGGACTATTAAAATGGGTTCGTCTGTCTGTCTGTCTGTCTGTCCGTCTGTCTGTCTGTCCGTCACACTTTTTGGGACACAATAACTCTCTTCCTAATTGAGCTAGAATGTTCAAACTTGGTGTATGTGTTTATTAGGTCAATGCCTTGATGGAGTTCGAAGATGAGCATTTTCCGCTTAGGGTAAGCAGAGATAAGCAATTTGATTGGTTGATGCTTTGGGACACGATAACTCTCTTCCTAATTGGGCTAGAATGTTCAAACTTGGTGTATGTGTTGATTAGGTCAATGCCTTGATGGAGTTCGAAGATGAGCATTTTCCGCTTCGGGTAAGCAGAGATACGCAATTTGATTGGTTGATGCTTTGGGACACGATAACTTTTAATTGAGCTAGAATGTTCAAACTTGGTGTATGTGTTTATTAGGTCAATGCCTTGATGGAGTTCGAAGATGAGCATTTTCCGCTTAGGGTAAGCAGAGATAAGCAATTTGATTGGTTGATACTTTGGGGCACGATAACTCTCTTCCTAATTGAGCTAGAATGTTCAAACTTGGTGTATGTGTTGATTAGGTCAAAGCCTTGATGGAGTTCGAAGATGAGCATTTTCCGCTTAGGGTAAGCAGAGATAAGCAATTTGATTGGTTGATGCTTTGGGACACGATAACTTTAGTTCTAATTAAGTGAGATTGATGAAACTTGGTGTATAGTTTCATTACAGTAATACCTTGACTAAGTTTGATAATGAGCATTTTCTGCTCAGGGTAAGCAGAGCGATACGCAATTTGATTGGTCGAGACTTTGGAAAACAATAACTCTCCTACTTTGATTGTTAGACTATAAGTAAAGATATACTGTTTGATTGTTCAATACTTTGTAAAAGATAATTTGTGATAAATTTATATGTGTCCTCTAATTATTTTCCTATTTCGGCGGGGGACATCAGCCTCACTGTTGGCTTGTCAATCCTGATTTAGATTTGCTTGCTGTTTATTTCTTGCTCATTCACGTACACATTATACAACTGAAATTGCTTGTCTTTTCCAGATTTATTTTATTTAGCCATTTTGAAATAGATATTATTTTTTTTTCATATAAACGAAAACAAAAATGGAATCAGACCAGTTTATAATATCTGTATTTCATAAAAGCAAAAAATACTCATTAAATATATATTAAGAGACATCCTAAATAGGTCCATTAAATGCATATTAAAAGACATCACAAATATAAAACGCAATACACTCATTAAATATATATTAAACATACATTATGCAAGCGCTAAATCTGTCTATTGCAGGTCTTTCTTTAGGTCTGAAATGTTATCTAAATTATTAATTAGACATCAATTAACCTATCCAGACCATAATCAACTCTAGATGGCATTGCTAGTCTGCGATGTTTAGGGAATTATGAGCCGATTTACTGCATAACTTTCCTTCACGATTTAAAGATTAAATGGATAATCAAGACTATGCTATTTATCGTACTTGATGATCGAGGCTAGGCGGAAATTTCAATCGCTTAGTTCTCGGTTCATAGTTGATCAATTTGAATGAAATTTTCAGCAAATTGCCTTTACATTATCTAGTTTTTAACTATTATAGTGAGAACTGCCAACTCATTATTGAATCTCCCATAATGTATCTTTAAGAGACATCCTAAATATAAAAACTCAGTAAATATATATAAAAATCATATCGTATCAAATAAAGTCTGCGGAGAAATATGGTTTATACAATTTTCATTCCTCTCAAAACATTGTATTTGCGAGGAAATACCCCAAGCTATAAAAAATCTATTTAAAGAAGCCATTTTTTTGTCACGTGACTCAATTGGCAGTTGTGGCTACTGAGGGAGAACTTATTTCTTATAAAAGACCATGGTGTCTTTAATCACCTTCCATTTACAATAAATATCAAAGCCTAAGTAAATTCTGGGATTATCTCCAGCCCACTTCTTTTTCCACACTTTAGTCTCCATGGGTGTTTTTCAGGGAATCCAGTATTTTTCTAGTAAAATTAGGTGTCTCTCTACTTTCCATAGATACCAAAATTGCCATACTTTATTTTTTAAATAACCACCTGATAAATACTTTTGTGGGAATGTATCTTTAAAGTAATGATGTATCATTTGAATTTATCACACCTTCTCACAGTTTAAGATGTACTCAGATTGATTATTTGACATATTATTAAGACCACAAAATCGAAATACCAATGCTAGATAACCTCTCAACTTGGATTCAATCAATTTAAACAGGCCTATCCATTCTATTCGCCCAAAACAAAATAGCTGCAGGCTTATTCCATAACGAGCAGCATAGATTAATGAAGTTTCAATTTAACATATCTTTGTAAATACAGAATGGAATTGAACCATTTTTGAACCAATATTCACATTAGAGACTCATCTTTCACAATATTGTAGTTTGCAAGGGATTCCTATCGTGCTAAAATGAAGCATTAAGACTTTGAATTGCTTATCATGTCAAAAATTGTTTATATAATTTCTATATCTTAAATTGATTATAATTTCTAAAAAAACGTATGTGTCAATCCTATTATAATCTAATTATAACAAGTGGTTGATAGATTTGCCTCTTTGTTCTTATTTTTCCCGATATACTGTTATTAAATTTGATTAAACCTCTTAATTATAGTGACATTAGAAAATATTTTTTCAGAAAGGTTTTCCATGAATATGGTTTCAAAATTAGGTGCTTTTAACTGCTATTTCAAATAGGAAATGATATCGGTAGGCTAGATAATTAATTATAATCTATCACTTAGTTTAAATTCACCAAGGACTATAGGCAACCTAGAACAAATTGCTAACAGCGGTTACTTAAAATAACGTTAGAGGTGAGGCACTGAATTATATTCAACCGCTGGACATGTGGAGTGGCAAAAGTCTGACATGAATATGCCAATGGGATATAAATATATGGTGAATCAAACTAAAAAAATATAAAATAGAGTGTTTAATTCTTAAAGGTATCCGCCACTGTAACTTTTGTGACTAAGTTAATGAGGGGGCATGCAAACATTTGGTTCTTTTTAATTACTCTGATTTGTGAGTTCACATATGCGTTGGCCAAGAAAATTCCAACCTTAGATTTCTTGAGTTCACACAACTAAAATAGTGTTGTATTTCTGTGTTAGAAACACTGGACAGATGACTCTGTTCTGAAATCCAAGTACAAATTGTCATGGAATGGCTATAATAGTGATAGGTACCATGTATGCTGCAGGGTGTGCATGCTCTTTCTACAACACCCGATAGTATCGAGTCAGTTCGTCTTCCCATTTTCATTTGAGCAATTTACTCTTGTAGCCTTAAGCAACTTATATAAAAGCATAGCACTTGTGGTTCTTGTACAAGACATTAATTGGGAATCCTAATTAAATTTGATATTCCTACTTGTGTATTATTAAAATTAATATAAATCTTTTACTATCATTTCAGATAAAAGACTTACAGAACGACCATGTAGTGAGATTTCTTGGCGCTTGTATAGATCCACCTAATCTATGTGTATTAACGGAATATTGTCCCAAGGGTTCTTTACAGGTAATATTCATTAAATAATATACATTTATACATATCTAATGATTCTTTGTGGAGCTGGATATTGTCCCAAAGGTTCTTTATAAATAATTTTTATTAAGCAATGTAAGTCTAATGATACGTGATACGTGATTTTTATTAAGCAATGTATTTTTACATGTCTAATAATTACTAGATGAGTTGGGAATTATTTTTGTCCTTTATTGCTGCCTATGGAAGTAAGTTTCTGCGATAAAATTAATAATTTTTATTAAGCAATGTAAATCTAATGATATTTTTATTAAGCAATGTAATTTTACATGTCTAATGATTACTAGATGAGTTGGGAATTATTTTTGTCCTCTATTGCTGCCTATGGAAGTAAGGTTCTGCGATAAAATTGTTATAGACTTGTGTTCGGTTGAATATTATGTTAAATAATGGGATCCAGTTTGATTTCTTAAGGGTGGGTATCAGTGGCATACAGAGCGGGTGGGAGTGCATAGGGGTTAGGGAGATTGCTCAGGGAATCCATTTTGGGGGAGCATCCAATCAACAATTTTTTTTTTCATTTTTGAATTATCACTGTTAAGTTTGTGGTACCATGTGTAAATTGACTTCATTTCTGAATGTACAATGCCCTATACTTTTGACATCAAATATAACATATCACCATGACATTCTGTGAATAGTAAAATTTAAATTTCATCATAATTTAAAAACACCAAGCACCTAGTGGTAGACTGATCAAACAATTGTAATCCTATGGCAAATGTAGTTCTAGACTACTTCATCATTGCATCCATGGAACTGACGGGTGATTTGTCTCGTTCATAGTTTCAATAGTTTTGTCCTTGTAGTAACAGACATATTCACTGATTGATTAGTATTGATAATCTAAGATAATTCTCGTATAGTTTGATTGTCTAAGTCTTAATTGTGAGTATAGGTACTCTCTTACCAGCACTCCGTATTAAGAATAATTTTTTTCAGATGTAAGCTCGATTTTTCAAGTTCCATTCAACACATAAGAAAAAAAACTTCAAAGTTAATGTTAACAGGTTCGAACACTTGCTTCTGTATCGACTGAACCAATCCGTATTTTCATTGACATAAAAAAGATTTTTTCAAGACCGACTGTTCTTTATTCCTAGTTTTTAATGTTGAGGTTCGGTAATGAGTAAATCTAGTTTATACAATTACCCAAAGTCTTTGAACTATTGAGGATTCCTGGAAGGGTCAGTGAAATCAATGAGTCATTGACTTTTAATGACTTTTTAATGTTCATCCAAAAGTTCAATAAAATCGAACTTGGAGAACCTTTAAGTGAAATGGTTGATTGATTTCAGACCTTGTATCGACTTATTGGGTTTCTAGCTATTGATAACATTCAAAGTCCATTCCTACTAAGTAATACTAATCTTAAAACAATATAAATGAAATAATAGTAAAAAAAATCCCAGCCATTTTGTTTTCAAATTGTAATTTATATACTGTTTAAGCAGTATTTATTAATTAAGCACATTGAATTAGTCATGGCAGTTCTATGGAAGACATTTAATTTAACAAGAAAATGAAATGAAATGGGGTTTAATGTCCTACTGTTTGCTCCAACTGGGCTAATGAAGACAGGCATATTCCATACAGTGTGCTATGGGGGAAATTTTGCCCTGGCAGCAGCACTATGGCCTACTCTTATATTGAATTCCAACATGCATGCCAATGTATACATGGAACCTTGGTTTTTGTCTCATCCTGCATCACTGACAAGGGGAAACCACATCGGAAAATCCTGATGAACTTTCTCGACCAATGCAGGGATCGAACACGCGACCTTCAGGCTAACGAGCCAGCATCTTACCCCCGTGGCTCCCTAGTTAATCAGAACTATGTTTCTATAATGACTCTGTTGTCACATTAAAGCACAATATTTATACAGTTTGTTCATGGAGACTAAATTCCGTTTTTGTTGTTGTTTATTAAAATTTTAACATCCAATACATTATTTATGATATTATGGACGGATACAGTCGGAAATAACGAAATATATAAACCACTTAACTAATCAAAATAGTTGTAACAACTTATAAATAAGTTTATTACCGTATAAATAAACAATATGAATCTCTAATGTAATGAAACAGTGTGTATATATATATATATATACGGTAACCAAAGGGTATGTTGTAAATAATTATTGTTAATTAATATATGGGATTTCACTGATTTCAGTATATTTACAACACAGTGTATATAATTATCTTATGACAAATGGGAGGGGTGGGGGGATGAGATGATCAAGTGGTCTGAGGTCTGTAATTGAGTCAAGTGGTGTGGTTTCAATAACAAGCTTGCATGTGACAAGGAGTAGGGTCACCTTCCCGACCTCATGGGTTTCTTTACCAGGTCGTCCAATTTCCGCCTGCTGCTAAAGACAGCTACTTGCAAGCGAATTATTATGAGAAATGAAAACCATTGTAGAAACCTCACTTTCAGTAATGGTCTTCCACAGAAATGTTATGATTAATTTTAAGTTTATGCTTTCTTGAAAACTAATTTCTCAAAGGTTTTTTTTCTCCTATTTTGAAAGATGGTTTCCAGGAACTGTTTTTAGAATGATTTAAATAACTTGTATATTTTCAGTAGTAATTTAGCAGCTGTAAAAGAATATTACGCAAGAACAAAAATTGCTTTCTTATTATATTATTTCGATAATGTGTTTCGATTAGAGACGTCTATATATTCTTGGGTTATTCCAATCTTTGAATCTCAACACATTTCTATTCTTTTTTTTTATCGGAAACACATATCACCAGTTTACTCCATGTTCAATTTATTTTAGAATAGCTATTTAGGACCATATTGACCTCGCTTGAACCTTGAGATCGTGTCGAAGAGATGTGTACCACTAAATCTTATTCTATAAAAGAAACTCATTAGTCCAGCTTTATTTCAATAGAACAAATTAAAACCCTTGGGATCTTTTATTACTTTGCATTTGGAATTGTATTTTTTTTAATGTATTTTCAGGATGTTTTAGAAAATGATCAGATAAAGTTAGATTGGATGTTTAGATATTCTATCATGCAAGATATAGTTCGAGTAAGTATTCAATCAATGTTGATCATAAATAATGTTCCTCAAGAACTTGCCAGAGTGTTAGTATATAGTGTCGAATAGGGGTAGATGTAAAAACTACTGGAAAATTATCCGACATGCCAACAATACTAATTTACACAGTTATAGATTCCATAACTCATTATCCCTTGGACCACCCGATATGGAAAAAAAGTCTGGAATAGCAATGCTGTTGATGATTTGGGTAATTGATCAGGAATATTGTACTTGGACTGGTCGTTTGATTTAGAGTGCCCATGGTCGAATTCCGGCGTGTGCTGCAAAAAACCTTGGGAATTTTTAAAGAGGCATTTCAGACATGGGAAGTTTTGTTCAGTTGGTAAAAGAATAATGTTTGATTGGACGTGATTTGACTCTACAGTTGCATTAGGGAGGTTTAGATTGCTTTGTTGTTGTGTACACATTAAACCCCATGTCAATCCACTCATTCAAATTAGTTGATATACAAATTGTGTGAAAATCCACCAGGCCATCGGTGACATATAAAAATGACACAGACATACCTTCTAGCACCCCTTTTGATATGCCGTCTTCATTAGCCCATTCGGAGCAGAACAGTAGGACGTTAAACACCATTTCATTTCATTTTGATATGAAAACTGATATTTTGATATTAATTTCATTTGTCCATTTACTAACATTACCTATTTTCATCTTAAACACAAAATGATTGTGGTATTTTTATGCTTTCTTTCATTTTCAGGGTATGGCTTATTTATGCGGAACTGAAATTCGTAGTCATGGTAACTTAAAGAGTACTAATTGTGTCGTAGATAGTAGATTTGTAGTAAAAATAACAGATTTTGGTTTACATCACTTCCGAACACCAGCAGAAGACCCTGCAGAAGATACTTATGCTTATTATCATCGTATGTATAATTAAATACAAAATTTCAGACGACATTTTAACAAGAAATCTACACAATATATGACAATATAAAAAAAGATATTCTGATTCTCAGATACAACCTCATCAATTGAAAGAGTGTATGTGCTTTTTTTTGTCAAAAATAAAAACATTCTCTTTCATTATCGTCTGTGATAAAGGGGAGTAGGACTATCAAACATTTCTGGTTGAAAGCAGAAGTGTACTATAGTCTTAGTTATCAAGTAAAGACCCTGACAAATGGGGTTTAATGTATCAACTGGCTAATGAAGACGTTTATATCATGGACCTTATTAAAAGGTCCATCATTATGACCAGTGCTGGATTAATCATAAGGCAAAAAAGGCACGTGCCTTATTGCCAGCCAAAAATCCAGGCAACAAAATAATAAAGTAAAACTTTTTTGATAATTATCAGGTGGTGAAAAAATGCATGCATTAATTTTTATGTAAATAAATTGAATCCTTCTTCATTTACGCGTTTGTCATAATCTAGCAAGGCAGTGAATGGGAATATGTAGGCTACTTATAGTAAATACAGTACTTGTCAATGTTCTGAATTTGTTTGTAATAAATTTTCTGTTGCTAAATTTAACTTAATTCCTTTTGTCAATGAGCCCAACATATCTGTATTTTCAGGCCACCTATCAAAATGTGCCTTAGGGCCAGCAGAGCCTTAATCCGGCACTGGTTATGACAATGCAGTGTGCTATAAGGGAAATTTTGCCCTCTCAGCAGCGTTTCCACATACTCTTCATCAAATTCGGTTTACCAAGGGGGGATCCCGTGGCTAAGTGGGTAAGACGCTGGCTCGCTAGCCTGGAGGTCGGGTGTTCGATCCCTGCATTGGCCGAGAAAGTTCATCCAGATTTTCCAGAGGGCCTGGCAAGGGATGTGAAGTTGTTGAGATGGGACGAAAAACCGAGGTCCCTTGTACACATTAGCGTGCACGTAAAAGATCCCTTGGTAGTTGGAATTCGATATAAGAGTAGGTCGTAGTGCCGCTGCCCGGGCAAAATTTCCCTCATAGCACACTGTATGGCGTATGCCCGTCTTCATTAGCCCAGTTTAGGAGCAGAACAGTAGGACGTTAAACCCCATTTCATCTCATCTCATCTGTTTACCAAGGGTTCTTTTACGTGCATGTCAGTGTGTACACAGGACCTCAGTTTTTCATCCCATCCGAATGACTAGATGATGTTCCTTGCTAGGCCCTCCGTCCTACACCAATGGCAAGGGAAAACCAAACACCCACATCGATTCCCATATATCCTGGTAATTGAGCCGGCGCCTTACCCACTGAACACTATGGCTTCCCTGAGAAATTTTGTAATTTTGAGCACATTTTGCTCTAAAAATTGCTTCACCCTTTCACTGCGTATACCCGGTAGTACCGGGTATTATAAAATGTCGGTAAAATGCCCGTACCCGGTATTACCATGTACTCAGTAAAGCCCTCGCTAAAATTAGTACCGTAACTGCAAGTGCCATCTATTGTATTTTCTATACACTAGAACATATTTCCACGTGTTTCAAAGCGGCAAACCGTAAAATGGCGGAGTGCATAGTGACAACGTAGACGATGCACTCTCGACGAAGTCATGAATGACGTCTTGCTGACCAACACGTGGACAATTTCGAGGCGGGTGATACACATAATTCGTTTCCAGTTACTTGATAATGATAGTAGTCAGGACAGTGATTGGTATTATGAAGTGTGTGATTTGTTGTGCGACGTTCCGCCCATGGCTAGCTATGTCTCCCGTGCATGATGAACAAGCCCAATGTGAACACGATAGCCCTGTGTCTGCAGTAGATTCTGACAATAATTCTGATGTTGATAATAATGCTGGCCTGCTGGATCGTAAAAGACGTAGGTAATTCCTGATTCCCGAACGTGTAGATCTATTGACTGACTATATTGATAATGATATAGGACTTGGGGATGAAAGTGAAAGTGAAAGTAAAAACAAGGTATTGCAATCTGCACGTGGTCATGGCAGCGGGAGACGTGATGCGCGTGTTCGCGGCGCCATTGCTCATGGCTGCTATTGATATTTTTGTTCATTTTATATATCTTTATCAAAATCCAGTGAAAAAAACAATATCTTTTAAGTATTTCATGGAGAAAAATTCGTTTTCATGTTAGCTTTAGTGAGAAATGAGCAATCCAAAATGGCCGCCATGACATCACGTGACTACATTATTATGCAAATTTCCAAAATTCTATTTTTTCCTCTTAGCCCAACCTCATGCCCATCCCAACAGACAAAAAGATTTTTCATAAAAGCTTCCATAAGTACTGCTTGGCATTCAGTTCCAACCTCCCTTTTTTCCTCAAAAAAGGGTCTAGCACAGGCAGTGGATTTACGTCTAGCATTGAAAGGGTTAATTATATTCCTAATGAAAACTACAGACAATTTTTTGCAATTATGAATGATTATTATAAATTGAATATTTTCATTGCAGGACGATTATGGACCGCACCAGAATTACTTAGAATGCATCATCGACCGCCAGAGGGAACACACAAAGGGGATGTTTATAGTTTTGGTATTATATGTCAAGAAATAGTGTATAGAATGGGTGTATTCTATTTAGCGAACTTAGATCTTAGTCCCGAAGGTAAGTGAATTTCATGGGTTTTCAATTCTTTGTAGTTGTATACATATTTTACCTTCACATTTGTTATAGCATGGTGCTGTCGGTTTGCAATTAAAATATATATAAAAATAATCTTCTTATATAGTGCTTTGACCTGCTCTGTGGCCCTTCACATAATTGTATATAAGTTTAAAAATTAATATAGGGATAAAATTATTACAAAATCCATATAAAACTATAAACTAAATTGAAGGTTACAAAAAATAAAAAAAAATAATATTGGGATAAAATTATTACAGAGTCCATATAAAGGTATAAACTAATTGTAAGTTACAAACAATATGCAAGTTTGAAGAAATGTGTTTTTAATCTAGATTAGGGCTTTCTTTTACATCATAAGGCAATTTGTTCCATTTAGCAAATGAAGACGAGCAACTGAAGACAAGATGAGCATACACCATGCAGGTTGCTGTGAGGGGACTTTTGCCTGAACATGTCATTGTGCTCTTCACTGAAAAACAACTTGTACGCAGGGCCTTGGTTTATTGCCCATCCGAACGACTAGACAGTGTTCCTTGCCAGGCCCTCCATCCTGAATCACTCACAAGGGGAAACATTTTTTCAGCTAAATAGTTCATCAAAATCCAACTTGTACATAGGACCTCAGTTTTGTGTCCTATTCAAACGACTAGGCATGTTTCTTGCCAGGCCCTCCTACATTACTGAAAAGGGGAAACATTTTTTTCAGTTAAATTAGTTTTTGTTTTGTAGAATGGCCATCATAATTACCTTACACATAAAAGTGGGAGCTGCGTTGGCTCAGTGAGTAAGATGTTCTCTCGCTAACCTGGATGTCCCGTGTTCGATCCAAGTATAGGCCAAGATTTTCAGGTGAGGTGCCTCTTGTCAGTGGTGCAGGACAGAGGGCCTGGCAAGGGATGTGAAGTTGTTGAGATGGGACAAAAACTGAGGTCCCGTGTACACATTGGTGTGCATGTAAAAGGTCCCGTGGCAGTTGAAATTCGATGTAAGAGTAGGCCTTGGCGCTGCTGTCCGGGCATATTTCCCTTATAGCAGTGTTATGGCTGTCTTCATTAGTCCAGTCGGAGACTCAGAACAGTAGGATATTCAACTCCATGTCTTTTCATTTTATTTACACACTAGCAGGATACCCGGCTTCGATCGGGGGTCATAACTCCGAAACCGGAAGTGGTAGACTACGCAACCTGGTCTATGTTACTCCCCAGTCCGAGCTACCCCTATACCCCAAATTTCAGACTCTGGGCAGACCTAGTGTAGCCGCCAACCCCGAACAGACCGGCTTCGCTCTGGGGGTAATAACTCCGAAACCGGAAGTGGTAGACTAACGCCACCTGGCCTATGTTACTCCCCGGTCCGAGCTACCCCTATACCCCAAATTTCAGACTCGGGGCAGACCTAGTGTAGCCGCCAACCCCGAACAGACAGACTTCGCTCGGGGGTCATAACTCCAAAACCGGAAGTGGTAGACTAACGCCACCTGGTCTATGTTACTCCCCGGTCCGAGCTACCCCTATACCCCAAATTTCAGACTCGGGGCAGACCTAGTGTAGCCGCCAACCCCGAACAGACCGGCTTCGCTCGGGGGTCATAACTCCGAAACCGGAAGTGGTAGACTAACGCCACCTGGCCTATGTTACTCCCCGGTCCGAGCTACCCCTATACCCCAAATTTCAGACTCGGGGCAGACCTAGTGTAGCCGCCAACCCCGAACAGACAGACAGACAGACAGACAGACAGACAGACAAACGACAGTCACAATTTAAATATATGTATAGATAGATAAAAGTTTAAACAAGCTTGAGATAGAGTATACTGGTAATGCCCCAGTCATGACATTTTGTACTTTGAGAAGATGTTATATGTCAATTTGTGATTATAGAATGCAACTAAATATATCTGTCATGTTAATTAAGTGTGAAATCAGTAGACCTGTTCATCACACAAGAGGAAATTGCAACTAACACAAATTTCGTCAACTGTGGCAAATATTCACACAAGGGAGGTAACAGGCTTGAATTAAATTCTCCGATCCAGTGGTCACCAGTAATGATCTTGTCACATTAGCAAAAGGTCGTTGAATTGACAAGTTTTACCAGAACTGATGGTTTGACTTGTTCAATTATGCATTGTCATGTTTGAATTTAACATTGATTTTTTGTGCACACCGTGAGTTGCATTCTAACTGAAAAATAAATTTGTTGCCAATATTTTAGGATTACTTAATAAAAAAGATGTTACATTTTGTGTTACAATCATGCTGAATAACTTCCCAGTTATACAGTGTTTATAAATTATATAAAAACTATTTGGATTGATTACAAATTTTATCAGATTAATTACTTGCAATCAAATATATAGAGGATATTTGTCGTTTTAGAGTGAATAACATATTTTATTTCATCGAGAAGCAAGAAAACTTATATTTTCACGAATGCGTAGCATGAGTGAAAATATAAACGTTTTCTTGCTTAGAGATGATTTTTTGTGCACGCCGTGAGTTGCATTCTAACTGAAAAATAAATTTGTTGCCAATATTTTAGGATTACTTAATAAAAAAGATGTTACATTTTGTGTTACAATCATGCTGAATAACTTCCCAGTTATACAGTGTTTACAAATTATATAAAAACTATTTGGATTGATTACAAATTTTATCAGATTAATTACTTGCAATCAAATATATAGAGGATATTTGTCGTTTTAGAGTGAATAACATATTTTATTTCATCGAGAAGCAAGAAAACTTATATTTTCACGAATGCGTAGCATGAGTGAAAATATAAACGTTTTCTTGCTTAGAGATGAAATAAAATATGTTATTCACGACAAAACGACAAATGTTCTATTTATTTTATGATTTTACAATCATTTTAGGTAAAAACAACATGAACAACTTTAGCCAGTGGAATAACACTTTTATTTCACTGATAAAACGCGGTATTCCACTACTGATCATAAAATAAAGTGAAGTATTATTCACAATTCATTTTTGAAAACCATATACAGTTACACCAACATGTTTTGTTTTTTTTACGTCAAACTGATAATTAGCACAGGGAAAAAAATATTATTTTGAATCAGAGAACATTTTAAATATATTTTGTAGATCAAATAATACACTATTTAAGGAATAACAATTACTATGGTTTATTTCACTGGGACGACGTTTCAACAAGATTTCACAAGTCTTATCAAGCATATAACACAAATAAATAAAAGGATCGTTCGTTCGTTTCTGGAGTTTTACGTTCACTTCCACCTAAGGTGATATCGTAGACGAGAATAAAAAAAAATGAAAAAAAAATATGGTTATATATATACAGGAGCAGTGCCTCCAATTTGATGCAAAATCAGCAAGCATGAGCAACTGTCCCAAGCCGTTAAATAAACAAATGTACATAGATGGTTATAAAATGTAATTGCTATAGATACGTACAAGAATAAAAAGATCAAACAATTATTTAGAGGTATAATGAGCCACGAGCAATAGGTCCTGACAGTTAAAACATAATATATAAATATATATAGTAATTAGTTATAGATGAAAGTAACAATAAAAGATGAAAGAACAGGTGAACTGAACTGAGGTGAACTGAAGCCATAAGCAGTTAATCCTGACAGAAATGCAAGATGCAGTAAAAGTAAATTTGTAAATAATTTAAGGAAATATACAAAATTAAAAACAATAAAAAATATTAGATTAAGGGGTAATTACTTTATGAATTGTTCTGAGATGATGTAAACTACATTTTAATGATGGGTCCCTGTTTGGTTTTGGTTCATGCCTACGTATATTAATTGCTTCATGGGTTCTTCTGTTTCATTTGTTGTGGCAGTTAACTGCTAACTTTTTGACATTTGTCCAGTTCACTCGGTGGCGCGGGTTTTCAATCAGGTGTTTGGCAATGGCAGATTGGTTGGTGGGGGTTTTCAACATGTGTTATTTAATTCTGATGTCTAGTGGTCTTTTCGATTCCCCAATGTATGATTCCCCACAGCTGCAACTTACTTGATAAACACACCTTTTTGGGGAGATGGATTTGGTGGGGGTTATCTTTCCATTTGCTTTTATTAATTCTTTGGTTGTCGTGCCAAATAATAGTGTGTTATTTGATTATGTTCCAATTACTAAATGCCATTCAAAGAATACATTTTGTAGATGTTTCATGGTAAAATAATAAGATCTTGTAGATGTCTGTAAAAAAAGTTGTTATTTATAAAGTAATGAGTAATAGTAATTAATGAGTAATAGTGATTAATTACTTTCATTGTAAAAGTAATTAATTACATTGCTAGAATTTAAAAAAAAGTAGTTGCAGTAGTTACATTTTAAAAGTAATAACAGTATTAAATTGCATTTGTAATGGGGGGGGTTTGATGGCCAAATAGTTAGAATGCGCGCGCTGTATCATACGGTCTGTCATTGGGTCAACTGGCGGGGTTTCGATTCCCCGGTTGTATGTGACAAGGAGTAGGATCGCCTGTCCAACCGCGTGGGTTTTCTCCGGGTCCTCCAGTTTCCTCTCACTGCTAAAGACCCCTATGAGCAAGCGAATTATTGAAATAAAATTGTGTTAGTCCCGAAATGACCTAGTTTGTGTCGAGTAGAGTTAAACCCCATTTCTCTCTCTCTCTCTCACATTGTAATGTAATGAATCATCCTGATTGTAAAATGCACATAAATTTACTTTGGTTGGAATTATTGTTACCGGTACATGGTGTTAACCATCTCTAAAAGTTGTCTGAGACAGATTAGTGAGCACTCTTACTTAGTGTATAAATTCTCCCTAACGTAGAACTCCAAATAGTTTACCTTAACTTTTATTATTTATCTTCATGGTCTCCATTTCCTGGTCAAACTGAAGACATATTTAACACCACATAAAAGGTAATCCAGTACAAAATCATTTTCATTTTATTTGAACTATCTCTTTTTAAATTTCCAGAAATAAATGAGAAAGTCCGTAATGGTATGAAACCATATTTTAGACCAACATTAGAAGATTTTGACTGCCCGTGTGATGAATTAGCAGGAGTTATTAGAAAATGTTGGGCAGAAGATGCTTTAGAGAGACCAGACTTCCATGCTTTAAAATCCATTATCAGAAAATTGAATAAGTAAGTAGCTTGTTACCTATAAAAATTATCAGTTTAAAGGCGTAATATTTTGCTTAAAAATCAATATATTGAGGCTAGTCTTTGTAATTTGTTGATACTTGTGTATAATAAACAATCATAGAATTTTATTTTGTAGAAGTAACCTATCAGACATTTTTAGTTGGGGTGAGGACAGGGCACCAGAAGTCGCCATTAGCTTAATCCAGTTTACATCAATTCCACATTTTATCCAATTTAATTAAGCCTTTTTAATACTTGACTTAGGGACTTTTAATTCTTTAATCCTGTTACAATAGCATATGAGAAATGTCAACACTTACTGTACTTATAAGAATAATAATGTGTTATTCCTGTCTTAATTAACCTAGTCACCCGATAAGACAGAAATATTCAGTATGGGTTGCATCCAGCCAGACGTATCGATATGAAATTATGGTTTAATCTTGAGTATACAGATTACTATTTCTCTAGGGAAATGATCAGTAAAAGCTATCAGTGATAAAATGAAGGTTGACATGGAACAGGTTACTTATTTCATCCTCATGTTCGAGTTATTGCTCGATGATGACAATTAGAACTGACCTACTGTAAGAACGAGTATAATGCTTTCTGGCCCATGTGTCTGTATGCCAACCATTAGACCTATAGGTGTGAGTTTCGATAATTTATACATAATATTACCCCTAAAGTAAATTTTAAAGGTAAATAATAAAATACTCCAAAATATATTATTCCTCACAGAAATATTCATTTCGATCACTTTCATTTCTTCCCCCAAAAGTATATAAATATTAGAAGTAGAATTAATTACTGTACAGGTATAATGTCACAAAAATCAACGTTCAAATATTGGCCTTGGATCACTGTTAGTCAATTTCTTTTTTTGAAATAAAAAGAGGAATATAATGCCTAAAACTAAAAATTAATTTTTCATTGTTTAAACATGATGGTAAAAATATTGTATTCTTTCAATTTAATATGTATTTATAGCCATATTAATTTACCAGTCTTGATTGACTGGCAATAAATTGACCAAATGGAGAACTTCGACGTATTTCAAAGACTTTACAGTTAAATTTAGAGTTTTTAATGTGTAAAAAACACTTGATATATTTAAAAATTGGGATAATTTATAGTTTTTATGTGTAAAAACACTTGATATATTGGGATGATTTATAGTTTTTATGTGTAAAAACACTTGATATATTGGGATAATTAATAGTTTTTATGTGTAAAAACACTTGATATATTGGGATAATTAATAGTTTTTATGTGTAAAAACACTTGATATATTTAAAAATTGGGATAATGATAAAGAACATTCATAGAATTTAAACAAAATATCTTTCTGATCCAAAGAAAATGAAATATGCTAAAAATTCAATGACCGACAAAATTTTGTATCGAAAGACATGGTTTGACATTTCAATCTGTAGTCTATTCTTCCTGTGATTGTGTTTGTTTGAATTTGTTGAAACTCTTGACACAAATTATGTTATAATTATTGAAGGAGTGTAGAATAATTTAGCGAACATATAGTTATGCAAGAGATTTGTATTCTTGATGAAGAAGTGATTGTCCGCAGGATAAAATTGACTGTCAAGATAGTCTTGTTTATGACTCCATTTTATTGCAGAGATGGTGATAAAGGGAATATATTGGACAATTTATTGTCCCGAATGGAACAATATGCTAACAATTTAGAGGCATTAGTGGCCGAGAGAACCTCTGATTATTTAGAAGAAAAAAGGAAGGCTGAAGATCTTTTATATTCTATGTTACCCAAGTAAGCCAGTTTTTATTCTTCTTTATACTAAATTAGTTTTATCTTTTAAATCATTTTGACCATGGATTTTGCAATATGGTGTGAATTAGTTTTCTAATGTTCAGTTGTGTAGACTACCAAAATGACACAATTTATTAACAAGTATTTTACATAGATTAAAGGTTCTCAGGCTCTGGGTACAAATCTCTGTTGGGTTGAAATTCAAGGAACAGTAGATCTGGAGTAGAACTACACTGGTAAAATATTCCACTCATGCGTTGCAAATGCCTTTCTAGAAAATAAAATGATCATATTTCTGTTATTTTCAAGATGGTGGAAGTAGGCCTATTATCATATTTACTTGTCAATAGGAGCCTATGTGCAATCATTGGGTGGAAAAGTCACAATACTGAGAAAAATATAAATGTTGCTAAAAACATTTAGTCTTACTGAGATGTTCTGAATGTACCGATATTTCTGACAGGTGTTTAATCCAAACCCTAACCTGTTAGCTTCTACATCTAGCACTAGCTAGAATCGGTTTAACCGCTGTGACCAGAACATCAGTCTGTCAATATTTCATCCCATGCACTTTGTAAATAATACAATATTAATGAATGTGACATTATATTTTAAGAGATATGTCAGCCAATATTAACACATATGACATTATGAATGACACGTCAATGTAACTGTAAGACAACAATAAGAGTAGGCAGAATATATATTATCTAATTATATTCAAGAGGTTGTATGACCTAATTATAGTGGAGGGAATATATGACCTAATTATAGTCAAGGAAATATATGACCTAATTACAATTGAGTGAATATATGACCTAATTATCTTTGAGGGAATATACCTTGTATATAAGTATAATTTTATATTCTAGGGTTGTTGCAGGTCAGTTAATACGAGGAGAATCTGTTCAAGCTGAAACATTTGATAGTGTTACTATATATTTCTCTGATATTTGTGGTTTTACAGCTTTATCAGCTGCTAGTACACCCATGCAGGTAACTTAAACTTATAGATTTATAATCAATATAACTAAGATATGTATCAAACAAATGTTTGTGGGGAAAGGGGACATGTGATTTAATGTGTTCGATGTATTTTATGGGTTCTATCCCCTGTTTGTGTGTAACAAGGAGTAAGGTCACTTACTGATACCAAACATAAACACGTTGGTTTCCTTTGGATACTGTTACCTCAGCTTAGTAAGAATTATAGAAATAAAAATATGGCATACGCTAGTCCTGACCCAATAAACATAATATTAAGTTTCAGAAAAAAGCCACCAAAAAACAACATATTTCATGCATTTCTGTTAATCTTTGAGCTTTGGGGAATTAAAGATAAGGTCATTTTTTTAAACAGTTATGCCAGAAACTCAAATTGGGAAAATTAAATGGGTTTGATTTAACCACGTCTGGTCACAATTAGTTTGTTCTTCAGGTAAAGTAATCAAGGGGTAAATTTTAAACTTACAGGATTTTTTGTTAAAAATGTAAAATTATATACAAGTTTTATACAATCACACTTGTATGGATCAGATGGTTGTAAAATTACAATAACCAATTATTTTTTTATTTCAGGTGATTGACCTATTAAATGATCTCTATACAACATTTGATTCCATTATTGAACATTTTGATGTCTATAAGGTAAATATTTATAATAATAAAACAGACATTTAAACTGAAAATAATGTCGCTTATATATGGTGATAATATAAGCTTGATAGCAAATTATACTTTGAAATAAACCCATCAATATTGTCCTACAAGAAAAAAATTATTTGGTAAATACAATCATAGATATAAACCAAACAATGATAAGCAATCGAAAACAATGTCATATTTGTATTATTACTTAGTTTTTGTAATCACATACTTGGTTTTCTTAGTCATTGCAATTTATAACATTTGACAATGTTTATCATGTCACAGGTTGAAACAATTGGTGATGCATATATGGTAGTTTCTGGACTCCCGGTGAGAAATGGTAACCTTCACGTGCGTGAGATTTCACGTATGTCATTAGCACTGCTAAATGCTGTTTTGTCTTTCAAAATTCGTCATCGACCAAACGAACAACTGAAATTACGAATAGGATTACATACAGGTTTGTTTCATCCATATTACCACTGAATAGTAATACATGCCATTATAGGGATCAACAAAATTTTATTGGGTGTCAAAATGTTTGGACTTTATAATCGTATCATACTGACATTATTGGTATAAATATTGACATAGCTATAAAAACACCATCATAATTAGGTTATGCCACCATGTTCCTATAAATAAAATAACAGCCACTAAATATGCTTTAAATACCTATTGAATTACATGAAATTAGAAGTGCCCATTTCTTTGTTATTAAGAAATCCTTTCCACCTTTCCGAATGCTTTTTTATTTCTTTTTCTGCTCGTTGCGCGTGTTGGCCGATAAAGTTCATCTGCATTTTCCAGCGTGGTTTCCCCTTTTCAATGGTGCAAGAAGGAGGGCCAGGGCTGGGCAAGGACAGCTGTCTAGTCGCTTGGATGGGATGGAAAACCAAGGTCCTGTGTACACTTTGGCCTTCAAGTAAAAGATGCCCTGCCAGTTGGTATTCGATATAAGAATAGGCCGTAGTGCCACTGTCCGGGAAAAATTTCCCTCATAGCACACTGTATGGCATATGTCTGTCTTCATTAGCACATTCGGAGCAGAACAGTAGGGCAACTTAAAACTCATTTCATTTCATTTTATTTTACTTCTCTGACAAAAATCACCCAGTACTACACTATAGGAAATATTTAATACAAGGCATGCAGGATATAATGTTCAATATGCTGTTTAATATGATTGTTAATGTGTATATATTATTTGAACAGGTTATGTAGTAGCGGGTGTTGTAGGGTTAAAGATGCCAAGATATTGTTTATTTGGAGATACTGTTAATACATCATCTAGGATGGAATCTAATGGTCTTCGTAAGTTAAATCTTTTGAAAATCGATTCATCTGATCCCTGATCAAATTTTCATTAGTGTTTGTGACTTTGGATTGCAAAAAGATGGTTAAACATTTTTTTAAGTATCAGTTAAATCAGTAGCAATCGATAATGTTCATACGAACCTTCCTAAACCCACATAACCAACTAAAACTTGAAACCAAGGAAATAACCATTAAAGTTTGAATAGTGCAGTGGCTAAATATACTTCCAATGTAAGGGTGTATTTTAAAGAGAAGATACTTACACTGTTTATGGTAAACCTAGAGAAATTGCTGGTTTAATTTTAAACAAAGACGATTTAATCTCAATATTCCCTGGAATTCTTGAATAAAGCTAAATATAATTTTAATTTACAGCATTAAGAATTCATGTTAGTCCCCAGAGTAAAGAAGTATTAGATACCTTTGGTACATTTGATTTAGAATTACGAGGAGAAGTTGAAATGAAGGTAAATAAGTTAATTATTAAGATGTAATGGCAGTATTTTTATTTGACCACATGGTCGTATATTGTTGTGGCCCTGTCCGTTGGTCTGGCATCCACAAGCAAGTACTGGTGATCATATTTTCATGTGTTGTAAATGTTCTCATTACTGACAATAGAAAAAATATGCGACAACACTTGTTGACAACTCGGACGACTTAGCTGTTGTGGGTGTATCTTTGTATTTGAAATGGAATAGGATTTCCCATTCAGAAGTAATAAGATATTTTGTTTTTAGAAACAGATCATAGTCAATCTGGTTAAAATTAGATGTTTTTCAATTTCTTTTATGTTTTTTGTATTTTCTGTTTTGAACGCCCTCAAATTTACTTAAAATCAGACAACTTTTATTATTATTGAGTTTTATCGCAGCTTTGCATAACTCAGCTGACCTCAAAAGAAAGATATAATACAAATTAGATCAAAATATAGTTTTCCCAGTGATATAGTCTGTAGACCATGGTTATTTAAATATATTATATTTTCAGGGAAAAGGTAAAGTGACAACATATTGGTTAAATGGTGAACGTGAAGCTTCCATACCTGGAGTTAAATTATATAATAATTCCACCGCACCTCGTATATTATGACCATTGTGATGCATTAATCAACAGTGATTATTTATGAAACTGTTTTACATATCCAAAACAAAACTAAAAGTGCTGCTGTTGGGGCAGATTATATTGCACCAGGTATAAGTCGCTGAACCTACTACATGAAATAATTGGTGAAGAGAGGCAGAAACTGCTTTGTGATCTGGTGAATATTAATTAGGCTGAAGGAATTCAGGGTGAAATATTCAGTGATTAAAAGTAATGCGAGACATAATTATTTTTCATGAAATATAGAATGAGTTACTCATACGAAACTATGGGTAAAGTTATCAGTATGGTTAGACTGTCTATGTGTTCAGATTGTGAATTACTAGTATTATGACTTGACTGATATTGACAGTCGTAAACATAACCATTTCTAAACCCTGAGCAGAATATATAGAAATGCTCATAGAAAAAAAAGGTGGGAAAACTGTGAATAAAATGAAGACCGACTCATGTGCTGCCTGGCAGTTTACACCATTAAATAAATACCAGTGTTTAATATACAGAATTCTTAAGGCCTTGATTAAGCTTAAGGTCTTGGTTTTGCCTTTTGTTTTGTTATTAGTTTATGTATATATTATAAATGATGTTGATGTTATTTATTTATTAGAGTTTTATTGACTACCTTGTTATTGAATACCAAGAGACTGGTCATTCATGCTGTTGACACTATTTATTATGGTTTCATTCATAAATCTACATCTTCCCTTTAAGTATGTTCTGGGATGTTAACCATTTCTTTGATCTAAATTGATCTTAGAAGTTTTGGATCAAGTGTTCACTCCTTACCAACAACCACCCATACAAAACCAGAAATAGAGATTTTTAAATCTATAAAATAGAATTAAAATTCTATTTTAATAAAGCAAATATCAAACTTATATACATAAAACTTTATACTTAAGTTTTAAGTCTGTTAAATCTATGTCTAAATAGTATTTTTAATTTTTATGGTAGTCATTACAGATTTTTTATCAATTCAAATTTATCATTATCATCACTGATCTATTATTTATAAATTTTTACGAAGCATTATTCCAAAATTGCTCAAGGTTTTATTTATGCTGTATTTAATTATCATTATTTTTGTGAGTTCATTATTAACCAGGGTTCCTGCGGTCCTTGAAAATCCTTGAATATCCTTAAATTTAAAATTTCATTTTCAAGGTCTTGAATATCCTTGAATTTCGCGGAAATAGGAAAATATCCTTGAATTTCAGTTGAGATCCTTAATTTTGTTTAAAATGTCTTCAATTCCTTTTAAATATGAGATTATAACGATAGTTGGTAATGTTTTGGTTATCTTTAAGATGAAAAATTGTAACTTTAGGCTAAAAAATGTGCTTGAAAATCCTTGAATTTGACGTATATTTATCCTTGAAAAAATGTTTGACGAAGCCGCGGGAACCTGTTAACCTGTTTTTGAAAGGGTCAACATGTTTTTCGATTCTAGAAAGTATTTGATACACAAAATGTGGTAACAAAAGGAAGAGTAATTATTGTTAGTATCCAGTTAGTTGTTTTCAGAAGAAACCATTACTCGATTTGCCCAGTATGCAATACATGAATTTTGTCACCTGGATGCAAACTAATAGTCTTTATAGGAAATGCTACATTCTGGTTTTTAAAGATAATTGGTTGCCATATTTATGGATCAAATATGACCACTTAAAGTCTGTATCTAAAGTATAATCACAACAGTTGATATTGTACATGTTCAGATGTATGACATTAACACTGCCACCTGATAATCTAAACAGACCACATATCTATAATTATATTTTAATTGTGTTTTTAACATAATTAAATCTTTATTAATATAAATAATATTTTATTTATATTAAAACATGATCTAATTAATATTGGTAGAAATCATAACATGATTTATTTGTATTAAAATATTATTTAAGCTATTTTGATATAAATCATAATATGATTTATTTGTATTTAAACATATTCTTAGCTCTATTGATAGAAATGAAGCTTGTACATTTATTATTATCACTAATATTAATCATAATAACAATTCTACTTGTTTATTTTAACTGCTGTACATTATCTGCTCTTTTATTGTTTGTTATAGAAATCATTTATTGTTGTTGTTATTTTAATATGCCCTACACGACAGCTTATATGTATGTTATAAATTTAAATTAGACTTATATTGGGTCTATATATACATCCTATGCCAAATAGCAATGTATATTTGAAGGAGAGAGGGCATTGCATAACTGAAAATTCACATGTAAAGAATATGGAGAGCATCTTATTTTGAATTTGTTTCCTTAAAGAGCCATCATCAGGTTTTGGAAGATTTTGCTCACTGGTTATATGGTTTTCTTTGGAATGTAAATATAAGAATGCACTGGTATGTTTGCTGTTCACGATTTATACAAAGCCATGAATGTATACAGAGTTACGGTACACAAAACCCAAATGACTTTGCGACTTGTTTATTTGGTGTTGTCTAAGGGTTTTATTAACTATCTTTGGTCTAACAATATTAATGAGATGCATAACAGCATGATATGATTTAGATTAATTAGCTTAGTAATAAATTACTGCACCTTTTGATTAATTCTTTAATGTCTGGCTCTCCTCGACTTTTTAAATGACTGCTGTGTGATCAACAAACTAGCCATCAAAGAATCCAGGTAAAAAGTCAGATATTTTGGACTACTTTTTGGCTGTGTGGATGATTTTTTATCTGTTATCAGAAGAAATAGTTATATTATTTATTATAATTAGTAGAGAATATTCCATTCTGGAAAAATATTATTAGAACTGAAATGGAAAGTTTAAAACTATTAAACCTCAGCAGTTTAAATTATTCTATATAGATCTTGTTTGTTCTGTGGGTTGATTAATTAAAGTCCACTATTAAAAGAACTTTGTATCATTGCTATATAGGATATTGTCTGTGATAGTTTTATTTGAGACTCTAATTATAATTTATCAATAAAATGTTGATGTTTTCTTAAATCAGGACTTTAGTTTTATTATTTGGTTCAGTGTGGTCGACAATCGGTTGTTGTGGGGAAGAATTGAAAAATATCTGAAATATCTAAATCTGCAGCTTTCAGACCTTGTCACTGTTGGTCAGAGTACCAATGTTTAAAAGATGCCCCTGTGTTTTATTTGTACAAATATGAGTAAGCTCTACCCAAATAACCTCCTCTACGATATATCACCTATAGTGGAAGTGGACATAAAACTCCACGAAGGAACGAACAAACCCAAACAACCTGCTTCTCACAGCTTAAAAGTTGGAGGAAGGGATGACAATGAAAAAAAAATGGGGGATATGACTGAGACAGTTAATTAACAGATTTACTTGGAAATTTGTATAGCTTGATCATATAACAACATTTGTGTTGCTTTTCAAACTTTGCAATGGTGTTACCAAAATCTAGAAATTTCAGAGATTTATTCATCATTACAAAACTAAATATAGCATTGTCAGGCAACTCCTATATCTCCACTACCATCATTTTGAAAAGTGACTTAAGTTTTCAAAGGCACTAACCAGCCATTTATTGGCAAATCTGAATTTCTATGATTCAAACTTCATCCTTATGATTAGTTAACAATCAAAGCAAGTTTAGAAAAAAAATCTCTTAAACTCGGTATATATAGCGCTTATAAGTTTTCAGTGACTGGGGCAGCACCTCTGCAAAAACGTGTAGTGCAACTCTGAATTTCAATTTTTTTTCGTCCTTAAAATCATTGTGCAACTAGGACAGTTTGCCCAAAATATTTAAAAACTCTGATCTGTAGAATTGTCGACTCACAGACACAGGTGTAACAACAATATACTGACACATGAGTGTAGAAAAATTTAGTGAATTTTAACTGGATACAACAATATGAAACATGCAAGTCTCTTTATAGTGGGGCGGTTAAGGAAGAATTTTTGGTAGAATCGTGCATTTTGGGTTTAAAGCATGAAACTTGGCACATAGATGGTGTAACAGCACACCTCGTTACGCAGGCAGCCAAACACAAATGAACAGAGGTGTGATGCTCTGCGCAATCTTCTGGGATTAAGTCGCAAGCTTTTTACTAAATGTGTACCGGAATAATCAACAAATTCAACATACAAGTTTTAGGGTTCAATGAATTCTCTTTATATCATCATTTAGTTGACAGACAATTCTAAGTTGATTATATGATGAATATCAAGTTGAACATACACACAATACACATATGTGAAAACTGAAATAACAAAAGTTAACAGAATTACTAAACGGTACTAATTGATATACGACAATAACTATAGCACAACGTACAAACTACGTAATATTGTTAGCTAGGAAACGGCGTTTGACAGTGCCTGCATGACAGCTAATACAATACACAAGATTTCAAACCCAAAACGCAATTATACATATCAAATAAGAATACTGACATATACTTAGTTATGTGATGGACATATTAACTGATAATTACAACCAAAAATATATGTTTATAACACAATACCTTTTTGACTTCACCCCTTTCCGCAACGCACAAATTTGGCTGCCATGCTTGATCCCAGACGAAAGACCACGATTTATAGGAGTAACTAATAAATTACACATACAAATTCGAACCAAATATTTATAATCATAATTTGATTAACTGAATAATTATGTACGTATTTAATATTTACTCTAATATATAGAATCTACTAATAAACATATCTATACTTCGGATATAAAATATAATTAGGAAATCATAGAATGTAAACAATTGATTCTCCCAATAGCTACCCCTCTAGTAAGTCATACGGTCTATACTTGATTATGCATTCATTCAATCGCAACACTACGGCAAGACGACAATTGTTACATGGCTCCTCAAAATTAGTATGCTGATTTTCAACAAAAAACATAACAACCTAACTATTACATATTCAATATTTCAACGAACTTAATAAAGAGAGTTCTAATTTTAAAAAGACAGTTCAGTTGGCTCCTTGGCGGGGATTTTCCTGGTCTTCAAGTCCAAGAAGTAAAACTAATTTCTGTACTGGACGTTCTAAATATACAGGCGGAATTACACATTTTCCATCAGAATTTAAATATTTATTACCAATGTAAAGCTTTACTTTACGCACATGATTGTCCGCATCGGGATATGTTTCAACAACACGACACACTGACCATTGGTTTCGCGGAAGACTATCATCTATCAGAAGAACAATATCACCGTTACAAATTTCACGTTTAGAATCATTCCATTTAGAGCGCACTTGTTGATTTTGTAGAAATTCGCGTTTCCACCGTGTCCAAAACTCATTGGCCATATACTGCACACGACGCCATCGCTTTTTAGAATAAACGTCTTCCTTTTGAAATTCTCCAGGAGGTGGTAATATAATCTTAGTCTTCATAGTCAACAAATGATTAGGTGTCAAAGGTGCTAAAGATGCGACATCATTAAGAGTATCTACAGTCAAGGGACGACTGTTCACAATTGCTGCAGCTTCATACATAAAAGTACGAAGAGATTCATCATCTAACTGTGTTCCAGACTGCATCATAAGCGTAGAGAGAACAGCTCGCACTGACCTTATTTGGCGTTCCCAAACTCCGCCCATATGACTCGCAGCAGGGATGTTCATTTTGAAAACAAAGTCGCAACCATTTTCTAACAAATATTGTCTAACATGATCATGATTGATCTTATGAATAAGCTCAGATAATTCTGTTTTTGCTCCAACAAAATTGGTGCCGTTATCCGAACGTAACTGGCGTACAGGACCGCGAATAGCAATAAATCGACGCAAACTGTTAATAAATGAGTCTGTTGACAAACTATTCGCAATTTCTATGTGAACAGCTCGACTAGTCATACATGTATATAATACACCATAACGCTTTCGTTCGCTTCTTCCTTCCTTAATAGTCCATGGTCCAAAACAATCAACAGCGCAATATGTGAAGGGAGGCGCAGGCTCTAATCGATCTTCAGGAAGTTCTGACATTTTCTGTTCTTGTACTCTTCCTCGCAATTTACGACATATGACGCAATGATAGATGTAACTTGAAACGACTGAACTACATCCTAATATCCAAAATCCACTGGAGCGTATCTCATTAGTTGTGAGACCTTTACCTTGATGCTTTACAGTTTCATGGAAATGACGAACGATCAACGTAGTCAAATGATGTTTCTTAGGCAGTATTATTGGATTCTTTTCTGCAGGGTCCAAATTAGACAATTTAAGGCGTCCACCAACTCGAATTATACCATTATGATCAAGATATGGATCTAACTTATATAACGATGATGATTTCTTTAGTTTTCTCTTCGCAGCATTATCATCAGTCGCTTTCTGTAATTTCTTCAAAATTTGTATTTCTTCGCTGAAAACTTGTGATTGAAGAAGTTTAATGATTATTGTTTCAGCATGTTGTAATTCATCCACGGTTAAAGGTGTGTAAACAGATTTCAGACTCGCCTGATTAACTTGTATCTTCTTTCTTAATCGCAGACACAGGGCAACAGCTCTTTTAACTCGAAACCATGTTGAAATATGCTTAAAACGTGATAAGTCGAATTTTACAGTAGGTTTTGTTAACTGTGTTGCAAATACTTGAACTTTTCTTACTTCTGGGTCATCCTTGGAAATTAGGGATTCTTCTTTGAAATCGCAATTTACGGGAAGTTCAAGATTCCACAAAAAATCAGGTCCGGTAAACCATTTCGACTGATTAACCAGTTCGTCAACTTCTAATCCACGAGAAGCTGCATCCGCAGGATTATCAGAACTACATACAAAATTCCACTGAGCAGGTGACGACGCTTCTCGAATTTGTTGGACTCGATTCGCAACAAAAGTTTGAAAACGTCTGGCATCATTACTTATGTATCCTAACACAACCTTACTATCGGTCCAATAAATTTCACTAATGTCATCATAGTCGAGTTCACTCTTCAAATGCACACCGACTCTAACCGAAACAAGGGCAGCAGCAAGTTCTAAACGAGGTATAGTTATAGGCTTAAGTGGTGTTACTCGTGATTTCCCAGCAACAAGTGAGCAATATACGTTTTGTTGATCATCAACCAATCGCAAGTATGTACACTGACCATATCCGTAGGTACTTGCATCAGAAAAGTAATGTAACTCTCGAGTTGTTACTTGACCAAATGTTTGTGGTTTAAAACATCTCTGAATTTTCACTGACGAAAGATGCACAAGATTATCTCGCCAACGTTCCCAGCGTGACCGCATATCTTCAGGAATACTAGTGTCCCAATCAATACGACTTCTACAAAGTTCTTGGAGTATCTGTTTTCCTAATAGTAAAACGGCGCAATAAAACCTAATGGATCATATATAGAACATACTGTGGAAAGTATTCCACGTCTAGTCAATGGCTTGTCATTCAAAGTTATATGAAACTGAAAACAGTCTGACTCAATACACCATTGTATACCTAATACACGTTCCATCGGAAGTTCATCGTTGAATAAATCGAGATCTCGTATCTCCTTAGCTCGGTCTTCTGGATCTATTGAATTAACAACTGTTTTAGAATTTGATACAAACTTATGTAATCGGAGTCCGCACTTAGCTAACAAGTTTCTACTTCCATCTATTAGATTCATCGCTTCTCTTTCAGTAGGAAGAGACTTTAAACCATCATCTACGTAGAAATCTCGTTTCAAAAAATCTGTTACTTCAGAACCGAATTCCTCTTCGTTATCGATAGCAGCCTGTTTCAAACCAAAGTTTGCGCAACCAGGTGATGACCCAGCACCAAATAAGTGTACTGTCATCCTAAAATCCGTAGGCTCTTCCTCATCATTGATCCACCAAAGAAATCTTAAATAATTGCGATGTTCTGTATTTACACGAAACTGATAGAACATCTGTTCTATGTCGCAAATCACAGCTATGGATTCTTTTCTAAATCTACAGAGTACACCAGTTAGCGTGTTAGTAAGATCTGGGCCTTTAAGAAGATGGTCGTTTATTGACTGTTCTTTAAATCTGGCATTGCAATCAAATACTACGCGTATTTTGTTAGGCTTCTTCGGGTGGTAAACCGCGTGGTGAGGGATATACCATACTCTACCGATATCTTGATGAAGTTCATCCGCAGGAACTTTTTCTGCATATCCTTTACTTATAATGTCTGACATAAACTGACGATAATCACGCCGATAATTTTCATCCTTCTTAAATTTATTACGCAATGGTAAAAGTCTTTGTAACGCATGAGCTCGGTTGTTAGGAAGTGTAGGTTCCCTATCTCTAAATGGCAAGGGCATCTCATAGTGATTATCAGATGTTAAATGTATACTTTCTGACATTTTATTCAAAAACTGTTTATCTTCACGTGAATATGTTTGATTACTGCAAGAGTGGAGATCACTAAAGTCAGTTTCTAAAATCTTGAGAATATTAAAAGGGCTTACGATTTCTTTCACTTGAGTTTTAAATGAAATAAACGCATGTCGTGTTCGAATGTTTAGATTGGAGACTTCTCTAATCGAATGAAGTGGTTGAACATTACTCTCAGTTTTATGACTACAAAACATAAACTCATCGCATTTAAGTTCATTATTTATGTCTGGATCAACATTACCAATAATTCCCCATCCAAGATCTGTCTTCTGACCAAAGGGTTCATTCAATACAGGGGGGATAACTTCACGAGGTAATAACGCACGGGAACAATTATAACCAATAAGCAAACCAATCTCACAAGAGTTCAGTGACATTAATTCATTCGCAATTGTTTCAAGGTGAGGCCACCTACGTGCTATTTCAGGTGTAGGGATATGAGAACGATTAGCAGGTATTTCGTTTCTTGTATACGCAGTTGACAAAGGAATTTTAATGTCACAGTTATGTCCTCTGATAATTAAACCAGTCATTTTACGACTATCTACTCGCATATCTTTCGCAAACATTGTTGATAATGATAACTGTATGTGGGGTCCATCGATACCTAACCGATCGCAAGTCGTATCTGAAATGAAACTAGAGTCTGACTGAGTATCTAAAAGGGCATATACAAGACATTCTAATTCTGGATTTGACATATGGGAAATCCACACAGGAAGAATCATCGAACAATGACTTGATTTATCGCTAATGTCCAATTTACAATTATGACTTGTAGTTGCAGTCCTTTCTGATGTATCAGTTCTTTCATGCACATCACCGTGTAAAGCTGTTGGATGATACATGTTACATATATCGCATGTTTTTCTTCTACGACAAAACTTGTAATAATGTCCAGGATTTAAGCAACTAAAACATAATTTGTTGTTTCTTAGAAAGTCTTTTCTATCATCAATTCTTTTCTTCAGAAAAACAGAACATCTATCCAAAATGTGTGGATCTTTACAGAAGAAACAAACAGGTTGCCTTGGCGCATTTTCATAAACTTTCGACCTTGAGGGTATATAGTTTTCTGACGAGTTCGTTGCAAATGAACCAACATTTCCAGGAGGTCTCCTAAAATGTGACTTATCTGATGACCAGCTTGATTTATTATTGTACCTTAACGAATCTGGTTGATTTAACTCCTTTCCAGGTTGTTGTAAAGATGTTACAGGATCGCAAGCAATGTTTGATTCTTTATCAATAAATTTCGCAAATTCAACAAAGGGAGGGAATGTCATTCTCTCAATTCTCCAGTCATGGACAATACGTGCCCATCGTGATACTAAATAATCAGGAAGTTTCTTAAGTAATTTCTTATTTTCCCTATCATCGTTCAAAACACATAAACTTCTAGTAGTCCGCATCGCCACTTCACACTGACGCAAAAAATCAGAAAATTTCCGCAAACCTATTCCATCTCTGTAATGAATTTTAGGCCAAGCATCAAGTTTATCGCGAAACGCATTGGCAATGACAAATGAATTACCAAATCTATCATCAAGAAGTTTCTTGGCTTCATCGTACGCATCTTCTGTCGACAACAGGAAATAATTCTCAACGCACTCTCTCGCAGATCCACTTAAATAACGCTTAAGATAATACATTCGTTCTGAAACAGGAATGTCCTTTTGGTCTATCAAAGTTTGAAACGCGCTTTTCCAACTTGGGTATTTTAACGGGTCTCCAGAGAATGTACCAGGCTCAGGAGGGGGTAAACGACTGAAACTCGCATGTTCCGCAAAAACTTGTGCTACTCTGACTAACGGATCATCTTCATTAGTTGACCTTGTAGGAATGTAATAAGCTGGCTTTGTTGACATTACAGGATTCGGTTGTTGACTTGAATAAACTGCTGAACAGGTTTCTTGAGAACGCAACGCATAAGGGTTAATTTGAGGTGTTGAAGGGGTATAAAGAGGTTGAGACACAGAATGACTAAGTTCAACGCTACAGGATGACGCAAACGCAGAATTATTAACTCCTGTATCATAAACTCTCGCAAACGCAAAGTTATTATCTTCAACACAAGTTACAGGTGAACAATTATTCTTGTCAGTATCTCTATCTAACGCAGACGCACGGTTTGTAAGTTCAATATCGCTGGAGGTCGCACGCACAAAGTCATGTTGAGCTTCGCAGACAGGTGTTGACGCAAAATTAGTAGGTCTGTTATCGCAATTTGTCGCAGTGGTAGCACTTGGAGTTACAGGTAGATTTGATGAGTTATTCAATTTGACCGGTTCAGGCTCAGAATTGTGCAAAGTGTTCACATAATCTTGAACGTATTCAGTTTTATCTGCAGACAATGCAGAATCAATGGCACGACTTGATCTATCATCTTCATGTTGTATCTTCGCAATAGCATCTAACTTGGCTTCAGCAATTTCAATATCTCTAATTGTTTCTAAACGGTTTAATTCTGACTGTTTCTGATTCAATTCGATTTGTTTTTGAGAAAGTACATCAATAAATTTCAACTTTGACTTTAACGCAGCAGCCTCCGCAGCAAGATCTATCTTCTTAGAATAACTTGATGAACTTGACGCAAAACTTCTTGTTCTATACGAAGAACTTGACTTTGATTTTGATTGGCTGTGTGATCTTCTACTTGAATGACTTGACTCCATCGCAAAAATCTTTTCTGTACCGCAATATACGCAAATTAGGAGAAACAGCAACAAGTTTACACACAGGGCTAGATTCAAAGAGTTTGCAAAATAAATAGGCTTATACATTGGCCTACGCACGCAAATGTTTTACAATAAAATGTTCGCACAAAAAATACCATCACTCGCAAAGATGTGAATAAAGTTTTCACTGTAACAGCACACCTCGTTACGCAGGCAGCCAAACACAAATGAACAGAGGTGTGATGCTCTGCGCAATCTTCTGGGATTAAGTCGCAAGCTTTTTACTAAATGTGTACCGGAATAATCAACAAATTCAACATACAAGTTTTAGGGTTCAATGAATTCTCTTTATATCATCATTTAGTTGACAGACAATTCTAAGTTGATTATATGATGAATATCAAGTTGAACATACACACAATACACATATGTGAAAACTGAAATAACAAAAGTTAACAGAATTACTAAACGGTACTAATTGATATACGACAATAACTATAGCACAACGTACAAACTACGTAATATTGTTAGCTAGGAAACGGCGTTTGACAGTGCCTGCATGACAGCTAATACAATACACAAGATTTCAAACCCAAAACGCAATTATACATATCAAATAAGAATACTGACATATACTTAGTTATGTGATGGACATATTAACTGATAATTACAACCAAAAATATATGTTTATAACACAATACCTTTTTGACTTCACCCCTTTCCGCAACGCACAAATTTGGCTGCCATGCTTGATCCCAGACGAAAGACCACGATTTATAGGAGTAACTAATAAATTACACATACAAATTCGAACCAAATATTTATAATCATAATTTGATTAACTGAATAATTATGTACGTATTTAATATTTACTCTAATATATAGAATCTACTAATAAACATATCTATACTTCGGATATAAAATATAATTAGGAAATCATAGAATGTAAACAATTGATTCTCCCAATAGCTACCCCTCTAGTAAGTCATACGGTCTATACTTGATTATGCATTCATTCAATCGCAACACTACGGCAAGACGACAATTGTTACAGATGGCATCAACCCTACTGATTATTTTGGGATGTGGATCCACCTCAGCAGCTCCCCTGGTGGTCGTTACGGCCATCTTTTCCAAAATGGCCGCCTATTCATTGATATACATATAACTAGGGGTGTCACAATAAGACATTTTTTTACAAATCATTTCAGGCCAAATTGCTAGCTGAACACGATTTTTGAAAAAAGATTTATCTATGATAGGGTGACCCACCATAAATAAATATCTCCATATATCTCGACAATTACGCCACAATATTTATATATATGCCAAGCCTCAAATCAGTTTCACACAATTATAGTCACTAAATAAACGATCATTTTGTACTTAATAAGCTATGACCATTAATCATGTATAAATAATAGACTGAAAACTGGTTCCAAGAGTCGTCCATAACATCCAGACACTTTTGAGTAAAAGATAGGTTACGTGCCCTTGTTTTGAAATTAGTCTCGCTTAACCAGTCTATCGACCATTGACAGGTCGGGATAATCAAGACTACTTTTTTACGAAACATAACAGAAAGCTAGAACAAGAAATTGAATTTAGAAATAAGCACTTTAGACAACTCAACAATCGTTTTAAGAAGCTTGTAAAAGCAAAATGAAACTATTGCTAGTATCATGTTCCTGTCTAACCCGAGTGATTCAGAGATATTATTTGTACTAAACCAAAAGATGCCGCTCTTAACGGTACAGTTAATGATAAAGCGATTTAAAAAATGAAACGAACGTAATTTCTAAATCTGCTGTAATAACCAAGAAGCTTAATTTTACTGCTATTCAAAATCGTCAACAATAAATTTTTTACGGCTGTAATAGTTGATAGATTTGTAGAGAATTGCACGTGCCATGGCTATTTATAGTATCATACTGTCAGAAAGTTGGTCTCGGCACGGCGAATGTGCACGCTTCAGTGGTAGTCTAGAACTATCAGCGGTGGACTGTATTTCTGTGAGTACATGGGTCACCCTATCTATGACGTCATTTTCGTTTGGGGTTTGCCTGATTTCAAAAATGGCCGCCAAAATTTGAAGAAAAATGAATTTCCAGATAGGATGGGTGATTATCACGCAATGTATGCCTTGTAATATATCAAATATAAGGTTTTTGTTGTAAGTGAACTGAAAAATAATCTCTAAAACTAGTTTCCCCAAATCCAAGATGACGGAAATTCAAAATGGCGGCCAAAATATACCCAAAATGGCCAATTGATCAGATTAAAGTCATTTCACTGTTTGATTTGGTTTGTAATATATAATTTAAAGGGTTTACATTGTCACTGAACTTAAAATTAATCTAAATAAAAAAATAGTTTCCAAAATCCAAGATGGCGGAAATTCAAAATGGCAACCAATATTTATCTAAAATGGCCGATTTGTCAGATAAAAGTCATTTCACTCTTTGATATGGTTTGTAATATGTAATATAAAGAGTTTTCAAAGTCATTGAACTTAAAATCAAACTAAAAAAAAGAGTTTCCAAAATCTAAGATGGCGGAAATTCAAAATAGCGGCCAGAATTTTCCAATAATGATCAAATTTGAGGATAATCGTCAATTTTCTGTTTGATATGCCTTGTAATATGTCCTCTATTAAGTTTTCAGAGTCAGTGAATTTGATAATTGTAGATGATTGTTTCAGAAAAAAAAGGGGCAATCATCAATCTTTCTATTGGATTGGTTTATAATAGCAAAGTGTAATAGTTTTTCGAGGGCAACTGAAATTGACCGGACCCAGGAATCTACCCGTCAGTCAATTAACCATGTGCAGAACTTACCAGTCAGCTAATTAGAATTTCAAAGAATTTTACCTTAAGACACAATAAATGTAGTTTAATTGTTTTATGCATTAAAACATATGATGCTAATGATAATGTTAAGAATTGACACATGCTTTGGAGAAAATATCTGGTTATTCCGACCCTCCACCCCCCACCTCATAACAATACAACGGGGCCAACTGAGGCATCTTTAATTTCATCTCCTTTGTCTTTGCACCATTTTACCGGGGTGGGAATCATTTATGGTATATGCAGTTGTTAAGAATTTAAGTTCCCTTATTCATTCAGAAATGGTAATGTGATCCGTTTTTGCATCGAAGACTTTGTGTCCAGTAACTTTTGTGGTAGAGTCTAGATGTGGTATCCACAGGTCATTTTCTTCAGTATCCCAAAAAAGTCACCCCCGCCCCCACGATTTCCTCTTTTCTAATGTGTTGTTCTTACATGTAGAACTTGTTGTGAAATACGTCACTGACGAAAATTACCTGTGGATACCACATCTAGACTCTACCACAAAAGTTACTGGACACAAAGTCTTCGATGCAAAAACGGATCACATTACCATTTCTGAATGAATAAGGGAACTTAAATTCTTAACAACTGCATATACCATAAATGATTTCTCACCCCGGTAAAATGGTGCAAAGACAAAGGAGATGAAATTAAAGATGCCTCAGTTGGCCCCGTTGTATTGTTATGGGGTGGGGGTTGGAGGGTCGGAATAACCAGATATTTTCTCCAAAGCATGTGTCAATTCTTAACATTATCATTAGCATCATATGTTTTAATGCATAAAACAATTAAACTACATTTATTGTGTCTTAAGGTTAAATTCTTTGAAATTCTAATTAACTGACTGGTAAGTTCTGCACATGGTTAATTGACTGACAGGTAGATTCCTGAGTCCGGTCAATTTCAGTTGCCCTCAAAAAACTATTACACTTTGCTATTATAAACCAATCCAATAGAAAGATTGATGATTGTCTCTTTTTTTCTGAAACAATCATCTACAATTATCAATTCAGTGACTCTGAAAACTTAATAGAGGACATATTACAAGCCATATCAAACAGAAAATTGACGATTATCCTAAAATTTGATCATTATTGGAAAATTCTGGCCGCCATTTTGAATTTCCGCCATCTTAGATTTTGGAAACTCTTTTTTTTTAGATTGATTTTAATTTCAATGACTTTGAAAACTCTTTATATTACATATTACAAACCATATCAAAGAGTGAAATGACTTTTATCTGACAAATCGGCCATTTTAGATAAATGTTGGTTGCCATTTTGAATTTCCGCCATCTTGGATTTTGGAAACTATTTTTTTGTTTAGATTAATTTTAAGTTCAGTGACAATGTAAACCCTTTAAATTATATATTACAAACCAAATCAAACAGTGAAATGACTTTAATCTGATCAATCCGCCATTTTGGGTATATTTGGGCCGCCATTTTGAATTTCCGCCATCTTGGATTTGGGGGAAACTAGTTTTAGAGATTATTTTTCAGTTCAATTACAACAAAAACCTTATATTTGATATATTACAAGGCATACATTGCGTGATAATCACCCATCCTATCTGGAAATTCATTTCTCTTCAAATTTTGGCGGCCATTTTTGAAAGCAGGCAAACCCCAAACGAAAATGACGTCATAGATAAATATTTTTTCAAAAATCGTGTTCAGCTAGCAATTTTGCATCTGGAAATTGCTGGCCTGAAATGATTTGTAAAAAAAATGTCTTACTGTGACACCCCTAGTTATATGTATATCAATGAATAGGCGGCCATTTTGGAAAAGATGGCCGTAACGACCACCAGGGGGAGCTGCTGAGGTGGATCCACATCCCAAAATAATCAGTAGGGTTGATGCCATCTATGTGCCAAGTTTCATGCTTTTAACCCAAAGTGCACGATTTTTTGCTTAACCGCCCCACTATTATATCATTCAATGTGTCGATTCTAGTACACCAGTATTTCCTTTCCCTTATAGGCACAGTTAGTATCTTTGGAGAAAATTATTGGAGTTGGCATTGCTTCCCCCACGCCAACTTTACTCACATGTCTGCTCCCATAATTGGTAATGAAGAGAAATAAACTGGGATTAAGATAAGGAAATATGTTGCTCAGCATGAGCCACTATAAAAACAAGCTTGCCATGCAAGATACACCAACAATTTGCAAAAGATGAACAGAGAACAAGGTAAAAATACGATTTTCCGTACTATCTGGGGCCATAATCTAGGTTGTTACGGTCTGACATGAAACGATATCTTTGGGGTTATAAACATATATTTTAAATTTCATCAAAAGTGGATACAAATTTTGACCTCGAGAGGGTCCACAACTATTTGCGGGAAGGGGAGCAGTCATTTTGTCAGACAGTCTCGATCTGAATGTCACGAAAATCAAAATCAACCGTACTTAGGGTGTGACTGTGATATATTTGAACAGCATTTTTAAAAAAAAATAGTGATTTTATCATACAATCATGCGCCATAATCCAGGAAATTACGATCCAATATGCGCCATATCGAAAGGAACCAAGATCATTGGGATATAAACATATATTTCAAGTAATATCACGATCGGATAAAACTTGTGACCTCTAGAAGGACCACCAGATAAAAACGTGACTTTTCGTACAATCAGGGGCCATAATCAATGAAGTTACGGTTTGATACGTGCCAATATGGAAAGGAACCGAGATCTTTGGGATATAACCTATATTTCAAGTTTCGTCAAAATCAGATAAAAATTGTGACCTGTAGTCCACAAACAAATGTAAACTGACTCATCCGATGGACAGGGGCAAAAATACATCCATAATCCACATGAAAATGTGGGCGTATAAAAATTACCATTTTATCCAACTCTACCTATTCCTTTTAGGTTAGTGGTGGGTACGCCACCCGAGGTTACTGGAACATTGGATTAACCAATAGAAATTTGCCAAGATGAACCAGTATTATTATTACATTTTGGGAACAAGAACAAAAGTTAATTTTTACATAAATTTATTAACATAACAACCTGCATAAATATAAAAAAATACAAATATACAAATTTTATAATGGAATAAAAGTGATAAGACAAATAAAATTTGACCAATGATATTGATAATGTAGTGATACTGTGTTGTAAGAATGGATTCCTTTATCAAAAGACTATGATCATGAAATGTGATTATCTTAGATGATGCTGTTTTATGAGAGAAATAAAACAAAATGTATGCCTATGGTCAGTTGTATCCTCAACATTTCTGCAGCTTGCCCCATCTTGATTCAGGTAAGAAAAAAAAAATTGATTAAACCTAATGCATTGATTTGTTTTGTGAGAAATATATCTTGCAAAATTGGTTGCCAGGTATGGAAATATACACCCATTGAGCAGTCTGTAAAGGCTGTCACATTGTGATTCATTTGTACATAACCAAAGTAGTTACAAGATTTATCAAAGTTATCAAGGACAATAACTCTGATAGTTATTATCAGAAACCATTGAAAATCAATATGATTCTTATTCTGTGTATTAATTTAAAATGATTGGATGATAACTTTAGCTACTTAAGCATCCACAAGATTTATCAAAGTGATCAAGGGGAATAATTCTGTGTGACGATAACAAGTCTTCAGTGTCACAAACAATATATCTGGTCAACCCAAATGAAAACTTTGATTCTTATCTAAATTTAAATACATCAAGAGCAGACTGCATTATTTTTATCAGCTTTTAAACTGTCAAACATCAGATTACAGGCTTTCTTATGCTTTGCCCAGTGATTCACTTGACATTCTCTGAAAGAGAAAACACATGACAAAATAAAATCAACAATAATTATTAAAAGATGGAAAAGTTTAAAAAAACTCTACTATTATGATACAGAGATTTCACAATGGGGCACATTCCTTTTAGCAAAACTATTTCTGGCGTAATATCCTATTAGGTAACTGATGCAAGGGGGATAAATCCAAAATAAGAAAATATGCAAAATAGAGATATAGCCTTAATAATCATGAATTTTAATCAAATAAACAAAAATATAAGTAATGCATCCACAATGCATTTTATTCCTGTCCAGTTATGTTTATACTGTAACTAATTTCAGTTACATCGAAACAATACCATTGAATATACCAAGGTTAGATATGTTCTCAATTTTTAACTGATCTTCACCTTAAACTCAGCTCAGTATGAATGAAGTAAACCACATAGAATCTTCATTCATTAAAAGAACAGAGAGTGAATCCAACTGCTTGAAAAACAAAACATAAAGATTTCCTAGTCCAATCAGGATTTAATTTTGGAACTTTCTGGAAGTAGTCGTTCTGCTTTAGTACTTACCTTCTACAGTACCATTCATTCTGACATCTAGAACATCTTTTACTAGCTGGTTCACCACATACAGCACATTTAGGTGGATCTGTTAATAAACCTTCTAAAACATCCATATTATAGGTATCAGCCCATCTAAAAATACACAATTAATTAATCAAAGCAATTCTACTTTGAATATTGTAAATTTTTCCTAACTGTCCAATCAATAGGGGGCCTTCATTTTTTTTTTTTTTTTTTAAATCGGTGTATATTTTGTTGCTAGTATTTATCAGACATTTTGAAATAAAAACTGTTCAAAACTTGGAATATTACTCAAGTTATTCCAACATTTAGCAACTATTCATTTTACAATATTAAATATTAGACATTTTATTTACTACCATCACAAGATACAAGTTTGCCATGGAGTTGACAATCATTTATCTTATACACTGCTTCCACTTCTCTATGAATGAAAGTCTGAAAAATGGTAAATTAACCCTGTCAAATACAGTAACCTATCAATGCCTATAAGTTTCAGTCAGTTTACTATTTATTATTACATGTATTTGGTTTAGTTACCTCTTTGCCTGTTGTTGTATATCTGCTGGGCTTGGATTAAAATGAGTTTTTGATTGATGAACAGCCAATTTTTGCCACTTTCCTTCATTTTCTTTTAAAACAGTATCTCTTATTTCTGGTACCTGGGATTAATAAAATAAAACATGACATTTGATGATACAATAAATAAGATATATAAAAAATGATGAAAAGACATTTTTTGAAAAGGATAGCCTGACATCATTTATAGCGGCTTTATGACGTGGGGCAGCCACAGTGGCTCAATGAAAAAGACGCTAACTCGCAAGCCTGGTGCTTCCCACATAGCACACTCCATGGAGTATGCCCGTTTTCATTATCCCAGTTGGTGTAGTAAAGTAGGGCATTAAACACAATTTCATTTCATTTATATTACATGGGAAAACAAGGGTTCACTGTCTCAGACAAACAACACAGTCAACACACTATTTTACGGCAATGCATTATTAGCCCTGTGAAGGCTAACCCCAGCTTTTCATTGCATATGTTTACCACATATTCTGTATCTTTTCCCTGAATTACTGTGTTGTTAAAGGAAAATTCCCATAGTGAAAAAACCCTACTTAATTTTTGGTTGGACATATATCTATTGGGAAAAGCCACCATAAAAAACGTTTACTGGCATGTCTCTTTAATAAAAAATATCTTGGCTACACTTACCTGTTCTAGTACAAGATCTTGTTTAGCAGCTGGTGGTTCCATCATAGACAGATGTTCTAAATATCTCTGTAGTTCACCTAGTATAGGTAGCTGATCTAATAACATCTCATTAATATAAGCACGTAACTAAAATATAATATCATCTTATTAATATATGCATGTAACTTAATTATTATATCATCATCTCATTAATATATGCCTGTAACTCAAATATAATACCATCTCATTAACATAATTATGCATGTAACTGAAATATTATAATATCATCTCATTAATAATATGCTCGTAACTGATATATAATATCATCTCATCAATATAGGTCTGTAACTGAAATATCATATCAATTCATTAATATAGGTCTGTAACTGAAATATCATATCAATTCATTAATATATGCCTGTAACTGAAATATCATAATATCAAGACATTAATATATGCCTGTAACAGAAATATCATAATATCAACTCAATCATTAAGCCCATCAAACTGAGACAAGCTAAATCTCATTTATTTAGGCCAAACTAAAGTACTGAATTTGGTTTATCTGATGTATTTTTTTGATTAATACTGGGACAAGCAGCATGTTTATTTTTTGCTTTGAAAGGTTGTGTAAAGTTGGTTTGCACACTAAATTCTTTTTATAATGCAATTTGTGCCTATAATTTTATTTCTCCCTGTCATGAGACATATCAAACTTTCAGATAAAAATAAATTTTGTGAGTCGAAAGGATGACCTAATTATACCCAATATCTGTTGTATCTTGTGAAAATAAAAAAAAAGTGGATTGGGATGAAACTGAAGAAATAGCTACTTGTAAATTATGAATGGCAGTATATCCCTGTATATATAAACAAACAAGACTGTCATTTAAAATAAGGTATGGTTTTAAATAATCGATTGCTATGGGTGCTCGAAAGTCATACATATATATTTGCCATATTGTTATTAATCATTATCTAATTTCATGTTTATATATATATATATTGTTTATTAATCATTATCTAATTTCATGTTTTTATATATATATATATTGTATGCAGTCTTTAATGGATGTTTTAGTAGAATAATGTCTTATCTGATCATTCAAAATAAAGAAAACTGATATAAATTACCTTTAATATAACATTTTTTCTGTAGGAATTCATATCATATTTGTGTTGACAGTTCTGATCCATTAATACATGAAATATTGATATCCATACCTGTAATAAAAACAATATATTATACTCAAGTTTAACTTACATTGCATAATGAAGATAAGTGGACTATAACCCCCACAAATGCTGTTTTTTCTTTTTTTTTGGGGGGGGGGTGAATTTATTAAGCCAATTTCCCACAATTTGATGAATATTGGGAGAGGAACAGATCCAATTAACACATTCTACATAAAACCAAGGACGAAAAACAAACAAAATACTGAGAAACATGTTTGGATTGATTTGTCAATCCTGTCCTTACAAGATTAGTAAATTATAATTAATATGAATTTAACTAACCAATCTTTGTTAGAATGTTGTAAAAAAGGCTGTAACACCTATGATCTCAATTGGATAACATGAATTTAGTTACCCAATCTTTGTTATATTGTTATAAAATGGGTGAAATAATATTAAATATTGCTAAGAATAATCAAATAAACAAAATTCACAAATATAATGCATCTATTTACCTGTCCTTCTATTTTAGTTATTTGAAACATTTCATCTCTACTGACTTCTGCCCATTTATTATCAATATACTTAAATATTTTACCTACAATAAAACAATAGATCATTTCTATTATTGTAAATTATAATTAAAAAAGATGGTCCACCTATTCCCCTATATTCGAACAATGGATAGATTAAACAAAATATTTTTAGAAACCACTATTCAATTGCCCCACTAATAGGAAGATTGCATTCATGAAGTTACTGGCAGGATAAGACCTAGTAATTGTCACTTAAAGATTTGAAACAACTAATTTACTGCCAGTATCAAATTTACAGTCCACACAATATCTTTCAGTTTCATACAATTTGTATAAAACTCTATACCCAATAAGAGAGCCAACAGCCCTGCATTTGTTTATTAAGACGTTCATATTGTAAACAATCCAGGATTCCAGACTGTTGAGCATACATAAAGTTTTGTTGTCAGGGATAAAAACTAATTGTGTGACAAAAATGATCACCCCCAAACACATCTAAATAAATATCTTGAAACGTCTACACATTAAAATGTAAAACGGACAGAAGGTGGCATCAATAGGTGACAAAATATACAATCTTGTGAAAAAAAACCCTTATAACTCTGATCTGTAGTCTTTATATGAACTGTGGATGGACAGACATATCAAATGTGATCATATAAAAATTGACATACCATTTTGTCTCTTGGACCAGGGTGGATTTTCTATAAGTTCTACTAATAAAACTGGTATATCTAGAGTATTTAATAATCTCGTTGTTATACTTAATGGCAAACTGTAAAATATCAAATACAATATTATTAACTTTCCAAGATTAGTCCCAAAATGACCTAGTTAGTGTCGAGTGGAAGTTAAACCATACTTATCTCTCTCACTTTCAAAGTTAAAGGAAATGCATCAGGATTTATAAAAAAAATTAATAGCTGTCTGTTATAAATTACAGATAATGATATAAATATAATAGTCAAGACACCTGAAGGATATTTAGAACATTCTCCTAAGTTTGGGCACTTAAGGATTATTACCCTTGTAGATAAAGCATAAAAGCTAACCCATTACAAAATATATCACAGCTGAATGTTAATTACATGTTCCTACATATCTCTATTTTCTATTTCGTTATATAAAAGAAAAGGCTATTTGTGGAACATGTACACCTTAAACTGCAGGATGTGGCACACCTACAGAGTCTATGTAAATGAATGAACATTAATCCAAATTTAAGAAAGCAAAAATGACTGTTATGGTACCAAAATGTGATATCCATAACCAATATTTCAAATATTCATCACTTGTTACAAAGATGTATGTTATGATAAGAGTTAATAAATTATAGAAGAAAGACTGTGTTCATATCTTACCCCTCCATATGATCAGTAATATATCTAAGTAAAGAGATTGCTTTAACACATATTTCAAATTCCATAGTTTTTTTCTGTTTCACTAAATCCTGCAAAATATAAAATAAGATCATTTAATACATAAACTTACCAGTTCAAATTCTACAATAACGACATTTTTTCTAAAATTAATATCAATTAGTTACTGGTATTTTATGCATTTTAAAGTTCAAGTTGGGATTTAATGATCTCTAGACGGTAGAAGCAATGACAGGAAAGTACCTTCATACAGGTAGCTTTAACTGATTTGGAATCCATCTTTTCTTCCTCTTCATCATCTCTATATTCATCAGCTCTGAATAAAAAATCAAAAGAAAACATAGATACTTGTTAATAACTACCGGTAAACTACATGTGTTTTGAGAATTTTCAACAATAGTTTCTTCATCTTATAACTAGTTACAAATCTTTGTTAATACAGTACATCATCCCAGCACTTCATTCCTGCGAAATGTCAACAAACCTATTTCATAAAAAGCTCACACATGCAACTAAAAATTGACTCTTTTATGAACAATGAAACTAAGAGGAATATGTGAGTTTTTATCTATAGTATCTTACAAAGGGGAATAACTACATTTAGTCTAACAATTTAGAAATGCTGTCTACACTAGACGTAAGACGAATTTAATACAATACTTCAATCATTTTTAGACTAACATCTAATTATTGATTTTTTATGCTTCCTGTACATGTGTAATGCAAGGGGGAATGTTGCCTGTAAGGTGGTGTTTGCACCTTATTTTCTTTGAATTCCAACAGCTAAATGCATCGTTAATGTGCCATTTGTACACAGTACAGGGGTTTACCTTCCCATTTGATCAACTAGACCCAATTTACTTGTTATCCCCAAAGGTGACAACACTGACAAATGGTAAGCTGGATTAAAAAAAAATTCCTAAAAATATTGAATAATCTTTTTGGTCAAACCATTCTGGTTGTAAGTCATGTGTAGTAACCACACACAGAGATAAAAAATTAAAACTTACAGTGCTATCATATGTGTTAGTTTACGATAACAATAATCTAATAAATCTAAAATACCATCTTCAGCTGCTTCACAAGCATCTCTATGATACATAACAGTTTCTAATAAATTAGACACAGTAGCTTCATGATATAACTGAAAATACATCAATATCAAATTCGATATAATTCATTTAGAAGGATGGAATCAGAGGGTATGATTTAAAACTGATAACTATAAGCGGGCTTGAAAATTCCTGAACATTCTTCTCAACCCATCCGTGGATCTGAACTTAGTATATTGTGAGTTTAGTCTGGTATCAAATTTAAACAACTAGTTAAACAAATATAAATATTTGAAAGAGTACTTTTTTTCAATATGGTAAACTTTTTTTTATGTGACTGGTCCTGTTTAAATAAGACTAAAAGGTAAAAGAATATCAAAACACAGCTAGACCATTGCAACCAAATACAGCAAAACTCATGCATTTCCAATAATTTTTTACCTTCTGAGATAAAAGAAAAACAGACCAAAAATGCAGCACACTTGGTTAAAAAAAATGTTTTATACATTTTGGGTCGCATGTGAAATAAGAGGCTTGCGACACATGTGTCTGAATTAGTCAAAGCTGGTCAAATATAAATCTAGTAACAACACAGAGTTTAAAAACAATGGAAGTTTCAATTTTGTGTGATTCTAGTACTTACCGCAATATATAATGGAAATGTTATTTTAGGTTCAAATTTCATAGCAACTAGTTCTGGGAATATCTTTTCTTTCCAGGTCTCGGTAACAATTAGATCATGTATAAGAAGTGGAAGCTAAAACAGATTAAAATAATTGTACAGAATTAATTTAATTACTTTTCAATCATAGCCCAAAAATAAGATTACAAAGACTTAATAACTTCGGTAAAAATTCTGTGTGTGTTTATAGTAGATTGTGTGCAGAATTGGAGACAAAACTGATAATCTATACATGTACCTGCAACACTGACAATTCAAAGTTCAAGTGGTTTTCAAATGGTTTAACCACAGCTGGTTCAATATATGCAACTCAGTGTTGGTCATGGATGTTCGATAGATGTGTTATATATATTATTAACATAAGCAATTACATTTATTTTCTAAGCGATAGTGCTAATGCCTCATTAAAAGTTGTATAATGATGTTAGTGTTTGCTGTAGTTTTGTTAAAGGGGCATCAGGTACAATTAGATAAAGAGCTGACAGTTCTCGTTATACTAGTTAAAATATAGATAATGAAAATAAAATACGCTGAAAATTTCAGTCAAATTGCTTCACTCTGACCTGAGATATTAGCAATTCAATTTTATGCTAGTCTCGGTCATCATTACTAACGTTATATTATAATAAACAAATTCTTAATTATCCATTTTTACATTAAATCATCCATCACAAAATGTTTTCAAATTAAGACTTGATTATGTTCTGGATAAGTTAATTAATGTCAAATTAATAATTTAGATAACATTTCAGGGCCAAAGAAAGACCTGCAATAGACCAATTTAGCTATTGCATAATGCATGTTTAATATAAAAAACACAACCAGTTAAGTGGTGTGTGGTTGATTTTAAATGGTCGGTGGGGATGGATGGGGGGATTCTTTTTAAATCATGTGTTCACCTTCCTCCTCCCTATACTTTCTGAAATGAAGCCTAGAGTAGAAACATGTAAAATCAATACATAATAAAGCAATAAATTTTAGACATAGTTTACCTTTTCAAATGTTATCAAAAATTCTTTAACAAATTCATCTGATTGTTGTGTTGCACTAACTACAGCCTGCATATTAATCTTTTCAATTCTTTCATGTTGCTGACTCCATCTAATCAAAGAAAAAATAATAATAGTATAATAAAATGTTTAATAGTTATCTTAGATCTTTTCAAATATGTTTGCCCCAGGTTTATCGTAAATAGGTTTACAGACAGGCCAGGAAATAAAATCAATGAAAACCCTAAAAAAGACAAATCTGTCACTCACAGAATGACTGGCACCAGAGGGCTTCTTTCTACTTGGCAAAGTCTGAATTTGTGCCTGACAATTATGTAACAACTGACAGATGCCTTAAACTTCCAGACGCATGTTTACTTAAAGGCACTGGTAGACACTGAATTGCATTAAGCCAGCAAATGAAACAAAAAGCATCATCACTCTCAACAAGAAAATAAATGGGCGATCATGTTTGATCTGACTCCCTTTTCTATTTCCATCACTTTTACATTCCATCACTTTTAAATTTAGGATTAGGGTTAGGGTTAGGGTCAGGTATTTAAGATTAAAACCTATAAATTCAGGGTTGGGGGTTTAAGATTAAAACCAATGAGTAAGACAAAATCTTCAACAACAATGAAATATTCATTATACTGAGATACAAAAATGGGAGTCACTCAAACATGAATGCCAATAAATATGTACCTGAAACTAATTTAGTTCTACCTATTGAAAAGACCAGCACTGTCCTACATCTAGGATTATGCATTTTTCACTAATGTTCATTTCCTTGAAAACCACATAACAAAATATCACTTAAATTAAATCAAAACATTAAAAAGCTTAAATAAATGTCTCAAATTGATAATGTCCCTTTAAATTATTTCGAACATGGTTAACATGAATTTTTTTTTATAGCAATTGCTTTATTTGGAGAATGCAGAAACTTAGGGCTGTCTGTCTAAATAGTATGCCCATTTAAGAATATTTTATCAAAATAATTATAAACATATCTTCATCTTCGTTCGTATTTTTACCTTGTGTTCCCGACATCTTTCAAGTCAATTTTTGTCAGTTCCTCGATAAACGCTTCCGCTTCAACTGGCATTAAAACGTGAGTACCGCCAGCAATCATTTTACGTCCAACTTAGTCCAAAAATTAAATCAAATGATAATTATATTATCAAAAACAAGAAAAACACGCACACGCTTGTTTATTAGTGATGTAAACATCCGGTTTTGGGAGGTTAATAAATACCTTCATCTCATTGGATAATATTATCGTCTAACCATAGATCGGACGGTCTAAATTTAAAGGACAATATTGGTGCCAGTCATTATCACATATGTGTTAGAGCTGGTTAAACACATTCCAATACTTTTACCCCATAGATCATTGCTACGATAGCTGAGTAATACAGGTTTCCCGTATCGGAAGTGACGATCGAACGCCAAAGGAAAACACGAGTCACCGCGGAGCGCGCTCTATATAACTGACTGAAGCGACTCGAGTGATAACAGATACACGGCCGAATTACTGCTCACTAATAATTCCTTTGAAGACCAACAGTTGTTGTGTGAGACTGTGCGAGAGGATATCTGACAATTCATAAAAAGAATTGACTGCCACTAGATAAGAGAACACGAAAGAAAAACAGAAAAAGTCCGTGCATTACCATGTTTTAATAAGGTTCTCTTATCTAATGACATTCAATACTTTATTGAATTGTCAGATATCCTCTTACAGTCCCATATAACAACTTTTGGTCATCGAAGGAATTATTAGTGAGTAGAAATTCGGCCGTGTATCTGTTATCACTCGTCGCTTCAGTCACTAGTCAGTTATATAGAGCAGGTAATACGGGAAACCTGTATTACTCAGCTATCGTAGCAATGATCTCTGTGTTCAAAATATATTTGGAATGTATTTAACCAGCTCTTACACATATGTGATAATGACTGGCACCAATATTGTCCTTTAAACCGTGGATTAGAACTTTCAACCATAGTCAATAAATACAAAAATGGGACTAAGTCGAAAGTCGACAAGACGGTATACAAGCCAAAATATGCAAGTCGAAAATAAGAAATTAGGAAAAAACGAGGGACGCTATTATCGCTGTGTGTTATTTCTTAATTTCCTATTTTCGAGTTGCATTTTGGCTTGTATAGCGTGTTGGCGTCTTCTTACTGACATCAATAAATACAAAAATATGACTAAGTCGAAAGTCGACAAGACGGTATACAAGCCAAAATGCAAGTCGAAAATAAGAAATTAGGAAAAAACGAGGGGCGCTATTATCGCTGTGTGTTATTTCTTAATTTCCTATTTTCGAGTTGATTTTGGCTTGTATAGCGTGTTGTCGCCTCACATTTTGTCGTAACTTCTACTTTTCGACTTTCGTGTTTTGAAGGGGCGAAAAGTAGTTATAGGCTTCCATAGTTAAGGGTCATTTACAAATGCATCCCCTGGTCACTGCGAAATTCGCTGATGAAACTGACGCATGGACGATTTGACCATTTTTTTTTAAACTCTGGCAAATGAAAATCGTCCACGCGAACTGTTCCCAAAGATTCACCATGTGGAGGCTATCTCCGCAGTTTCTGTGCGAACAAAAAATAGACAACGTTCGCCATAAACAATCAAAAAGGTACCGCCGCGTTCGCATTGATGGTCGCGTGCAGTATAAACGCTGCCAGTTTGCGCTCAGTTTCCCACGATAAGCGGGATATTAGAACAGTGGAACCATTCCATGCTGTGACTTCTTCTTTTAGTGGTGTTCTAGCAATTTAGACTGCAAGTAAGACACGGATGTATAATCCACAGGAATTGCGTCTTTTCCGGTGATTTAATGGTTTCGTTACCGGTATAATATTGTGTAGTTTCTAAAATGAATTGAGCTTAAATAAATCATTAAGGAAATGTTTAGTTTATAATAAAAGGAATCAAAAAATTATAATTTGTTTATTCTTTATTTCATGATAATAACAGAACCGATTTTGATCTTGGAACAATAGTGTAAATTTTTGTGGGACATTTTTGATATTGATAATCATGCCATCTTGCTTTACGCGAGTTTCCCACTATCACGATTCGCGCTACGATTGAAATCGTGGTTTTAATCGTGGAGTAATCGTGGTGATCCTATCAGGTCTTGTAGATTATGGTCAGTCGTAGCAATCGTGTTGATTGAGTCGAACCATATCAGAACGTATCTGGACTCGTGTGGAAAATCATCGTAACGCATCACACGACAGTTGAAACCCAACCTTAATAAAAAAAAATCAAGATAAAGGACAAAACAATATAACTCAACAAGCAATTAACAAATTAATTGGAATATTAATGTATAAGAAATGGCTATTTTTGTATTCCTATATGATTTGCATTAGTCATATGTTATACATGTAGCTATACATTATATTGTACATAAACAATAGGGGGTGGGTGGCCGAATGGTTAGCACGTACGCGTTGTATCATAAGGCCTGTCATTGAGTCAACTGGCGTGGTTTCGAATCCCCGGTTGTACGTGACAAGGAGTAGGGTCGTCTGTCCAACCTCGTGGGTTTTCTCCGGGTCCTCCGGTTTCCTCCACTGCTAAAGACCCCTATGAGCAAGCGAATTATTGAAATAAAATTGTGTTAGTCCCGAAATGACCTAGTTTGTGTCGAGTAGACGTTAAACCCCATTTCTCTCTCTCTCACATTGTAATGTAATGAATCATCCTGATTGTAAAATGCACATAAATTTACTTTGGTTGTAATTATTGTTCCCGGTACATGGTGTTAACCATCTCTAAAAGTTGTCTGAGACAGATTAGTGAGCACTCTTACTTAGTGTAGTTTACCTTAACTTTTATTATTTATCTTCATGGTCTCCATTTCCTGGTCAAACTGAAGACATATTTAACACCACATAAAAGGTAATCCAGTACAAAATCATTTTCATTTTATTTGAACTATCTATATCTCTCTCACACATAAACAATATAATATAACGTGATGCAATTTCTGAAAGTCGATATATTTTAATGAATGGGTTGGCGGTTTTTTTTTTGGTTTTTTTTTCTTTTTTTGCAAATATTTAATTCTGAAATAGACAAAATCTACTTTTTAAAGCAAACAATGCCCCTGTAGATGATAGAGTGTAGATTGGTTATTAGACCTGTTAGAACATTAAAGATACATTATGGGAGATAAGATAACGAGATGGCAGTGTAAAGGTAATTTGCTGAAAATTTCAGTCAAATTGATCCACTATGAGCCGAGAAAGAAGCGGGTGAAATTTTGGCATAGTCTCGGTCATCATTACTAAAATCATTAATATAAACAGCTTAGTCTCGATTATCCATTTTTTTATTTAATTATCAACGGCCGTTAGCGGCATATAGGAATCTATAATCCAGCCAACATCGAAGGCTAGCCTTGACATCGAGAGTTTATTATGGTCTGGATAAGTTAATTAATGTCTAATTGATAATTTAGATAACATTTCAGGCCTAAAGAAAGACTTGTAATAAGCAGATTTTGCTCTTGCATAATGCATGTTTAACTTATTCATTTTATTTGCAGTATTTATTCGTATTCTATATTACAATTAAAGGTGGGCGTATTCACCCTTGATGTGTCATCAGTATGTCATCACTTGAAACAAGATATAATTTTGATTATATCAATTCATTGGAGTATGATCAATTGCTTGCTTGTCTGTGATAAACCAGCCATGAACATTGGTCAAGCTGACCTCTTTGTGTTGACTGACCAGTCAATGTGACCGTTACTTTTGTGACTGGTAGTCTGGTATGGAGCAAAATGTATTAACTGTCACGAATTAGATTTGTAGTGGCCTCATTTATTGCATAGGAAATTCCAAAAATGTTTGAAAGGTGAGTTAAATAAGTTAAATAGTTTAAAATTAAGGAGTTGCGAGAGGGTAAGATTTACTTCAGAGACTTCCAGTTAATTTCTAGATTACACCCATTTTCTGCCTCACCTCAAAGCATTTAATAGGGAATTAATTATTTTCACTTACTTTTCACAACCGTTTGCATTACCATGTACAATAGTCATAAATTGATATGGGGTTTAACGGCCTACTGTTATGCTCCGAATGAAGACGGATTTAGACAAGTCATAATATCTTTTATTTACAGTTTTCAATCTATATCTGTGGGTGTTGCAGCATTTGGCGTGACTGTTCTATACCTGATACCCTCGCCAATTGATCCCAAACCATACACGTAAATATAACATTTATATTAAATGAATAAAACATTGCAGGCCTATTAGTGCCATTCGTTATTTTATACCCTTTTCTAGTAATTTAACTCATATAATATGAGAAAGATTCACTCTGCAATACAATGAACGATTGTTTCGCAATGAAAACTATGGTAAATCAAACAAAACATGAAAAAAACTTTTCTCCGTGGTGGAAACCTTTTATTAATGGCATAGTACTTATTTTATAGAATAAAAAAGATATCAATCCTCATTTTAAAAAGGCGTTAATAGCCATTTCCACAAAATTTTAATAATTGAAAATAATTGGTTATAACATTGAATTCCAATGAAGATTATATTGTTTTCGCCAATATTTAATTTTATGTCAACTTCACAATTATTAGTATAAATATAGCATTTACTTGACAATTATCACAATTTTCATCTGGCCCTAAATCGAGTTATTGCAGACATTTGCTTGGAACTCTCTGGATTTATGTTCCTGTGTTATAAGCTTTCCAAAAGGGTATATTTTGTTTATTAGGGAGGACCTAGAAATTTTGGCTGCAGGCCTATAAGGGTACTTAAAGAGTGGTGTCCTTGTGATTTTTACTTTGACCTTGAATCTGACCATCCTATAACCAAATTTCAGGTATGGTTAAACTCACTGACACAGGATGACCCCTTTGCTCTATGTTACAATTGCGTTATATTATTTTAATTTGTATACGCCCACATTTTTACGTGGACGTATAATATTGTCGTCCGTCTGTCGGTTCACATTTTGTTTGTGGAAACTTTACAGGTCACAATTTTTATCCGATTTTGATGAAACTTGAAATATAGGTTTATATTTTAAAGATCTCGGTTCCTTTTGATATTGTCATGTATCGGACCGTAACTTCATGGATTATGACCCCTGATTGTACTAAAAATCATATGGCGCATATCGGACCATAACTTCCTGGATTATGGCGCCCGATTGTATACGAAAAATCACCCTTTTAGCTTGTTCTCTGCCCATCTCTTCCAAAATGTGGGCGTATCTTGCATGGCACCCGCTTGTTATTTATAGATTCAATTTTACCTTACCGCGTCTGGAAGGAAGCTTAAAAGTGAATACCGCACTTACAAAGGTACAGAAACTCTTTGAAGGCAAAGTAATTGGTCCAGAATCCTTTGCTGCTGCGAGTGATGGTAAGTTATGGCACTTGAAACTGTAATATTCTTTTACACAAAAATAGGTAAGAAATTGTAGCTAAAAGTGTTGAGATAATGTAATGTGCATGAGATTCGAGTGAAAAAGTATCGCGTTTTGGTTACTGAATAATATAAGGTACAGGCCTACCGATCCAAACAAGGAAAATGAGAAATTCCAAAGTTATCGTTACACTAAGTTGTATTATAAACATTCATTTTCAACAGGTACTATATTTACTGGGACCGGAGATGGTAAAATTTGGTCATTTAAAGGTGATAAACTGGAATTAATAACAAGAACCGGAATAGATCATGATGATTGTGGTAAGGTCATTTAAATCAAATGACTACAAAGCTTTAAAGAAGAGAGCAAACATTTATCTAATGTCCAATCTCCAAATGTATAAATATTTTTCAGGCAATTACTAAAATTTAGCCTACTAAACTGCTAACAGATATTTGTAAATCGAAAAGATAACCAAACCCTAATAGCGTTTTGTTACATTGATTCCTTAATGTTTATATTTTACCAGGATCGTTTAAATTAGAGCCAGAATGTGGACGACCTAAAGGAATGAAAGTGGACAAAGATGGCAACCTTGTGTTAGTAGACGCTTATAAAGGTTTAATTCGGGTCAATTTGAAAACAAAACAACAAAAAACACTGTTATCACCAAATTCGGGTAAATAATAGCATTTTAAATTAGGTGCATTATAGGAAAATGAAAATCTACAGAGCGGTATGAATTTTATCGTTATATTCAAAGTACATGTAGCTAAGTCTCTAAATCAATATCATCCAAAGTCTTCGACATTATGAAAACACGAATTATTTAACAATCTAAATCAACATTGATGTTATGATCTCACCGGGAAAAGATGGGTTTCGGATATCCAATATTTAGGGCAAAATAAATATTTTACCAATGGTACAAGACTCATTCGTGTACCATAATGCGTTTCAGCGCCATTTGTAACAAGGGACTCAAAGAACGAGGCTAGTCATATTCCACAAGTCGTGTCAAACGGTGACCTCATATTCTTATCGGGAGGGCATGAGCAATAAATACTATCGGTGTAGACTGGAATAACCAGACGCTAGAGATTGTCATTCGATTTAGACTTCCGGCGTATATTTCGCCGAACATAACTGATTAGAAATTAAAGTACAACAGAAACGATGAATGTAAATCAGTTTACATGTATATACATTCATATTACATTATTATATGCGTTGCGACCCATTTGTATCCATTTCTAGGTCCCAAATATTAGCGATTTAGTTCCTTTAAGCAAGAAAGAAACCCAGGAAAATGTGTACAACGGCTATATTCATCAGAACGGACATAAGTTCTGTGGCCCCATGGATGAACCTGATAACCCACATTTTCATAAAAAGTGAGATTTTACCGTTAATCAGTATGTTTTATCAATGTCTATTTTCTCTAAAATTGTCATTTTTATATCTTGCATAATTTTGAAGATATAGGCAAAACATAAAATTTTGGGGATATCAATTTTCAATTTTTACATGCATAAACCTGATATCCCACAATTCAACATGGCAGCCTCCATAGGACATGTGGAAAATGCAGGGTGTTCAAAGAAACTTTCATTTCAAGATGTAATAAACGAAATCAATGATGGTAACTATATATATTTGATTATTTTTTAGTATTAAATAATTTTAATTGTCTTTTCATTCACAAAAAGTTTTAGATCAAGTTTTTTTTTTTTAACAAATTAACAAATTTTATTATGACACATAAACACATGGCTTTATTTTGACAGTAGGTCTACTGTTTCATGAAATTTGAAAATGAAATAAGACATGCGTTTTAGTGTAAGCAATGTATAATAATATAATGCCTATGAAATAATGAATTTAAACATTTGTCAATTGATGATTTTTTTTTTATCAATTGTGGCTTATCAGGTTTTGCATGGACTTTTTCAGATACCGATGAAGTTGTTGATTCTGAAGACAGTTTGTCCCCTAGTGGTAGTGGAAGTGACTCCAGCAGTGACAGTAACTAACGTGACATTGAATGTGTGATCCATACTACAGATTAGCCAGAAAATCCATGGCTTTCAAACTATAACATACTGGCATTTAATATTGTCTAAACCTGGAGTGTATCTCCGTGTAGTTAGTTAAATATGTAATTGTTTAATTCAAATCGGTGAATTGACCCCCCTCCCTCTGCTAGATATAGACATAGCTACTCTTTATTTCTAGTTTGGGAACAAGTTATTTCTATTTTGTAGGGTGTGACAGGTTAATTTAAAAATTAAGAATCTTAACTAACTGGGTAGTGGAATCCAGGCTTTGACAGTTGATTCTAGACGCCAATACACTAGAATTCACACTGAAAGTCGTGTATATTCTGCTTAATCCCCCCCTTTAAATATGTGAAAGCCAAGCACTAGGTTTATAGTTAAGATTAAGAAAATGTCAAAAAATTTGTTTTAAAATTCCCTGCAATAAACCTGATAAAATGTGGGTTATCAGGTTTATGCATGGAAACTTAAGAAATGACAAAATTTATTTTTCCTTAAATTTAATTTTTTGAAATATTGGATAATACTATGACCCCAGTTTTTTTAAAAACATTAATTTAAATTAAAATGTAAAATGTGTTGTCAAAAAATCCAGTTTTTATTGTTTTCAAATAAAGTTGTGTTGACTTATGTTTATGTGTCATTTTCTCATTTTCATGTCAATGTGGGTTATCAAGTTCATGCATGGGGCTACAGAATTTCACGCCCAATAAACGTGTAAAAGTTACCTTTGTTCGAAACATACAAAATGAATCACTGAATTAAATTGTTTTATAGAATAATGTAATTGCAAGTAATGAACATTTTTTGATTCGTTTTCAGATAAGTTGAAGAAACCACTACGATTTCTTAATGGACTGGAGATCACAAAAGATGGGATTATATATTTTACAGATTCCAGTACTAAGTGGGATCGACGTAATTACAGATACGAGGTATATACATGAATTATAAAACTGTAAATTTCTCTATATGAACATTCCTGTTGCAAAATATGTCTTTCTTATGAGACAATTTGAGTTTTACCCGATATAATACGGAATATGTGAAATGGCTCACCTCCTGTCTGACTGTTATTACAAACTGATTCTTTAAATAAACAAGTGTATAAAAAAATAATATTAAAAAGTGCTACATTTCTGGGCCTGGCGCCGATCCACACACGATTTAACAAAATAAAATCTAATTGCAATCCCATCCATCCCCATTCCGTCCTCCCAACGAAAATCGACCCAATGCACATGTTTGGCTCTTTTAAAAACTTTATCTTATTGGATCTTCAGGGATGTGGTGACCACTGATTTTGCGTGAGGAGCAAGATCCAATGGATACATATGTTTGACACTGGTTAAGCAAGTTATGGAGTAATGAAGATCTGCAAATAGCATTGAAATGCACATTGACACCATACAGTATTTATTTTTTTCCATTTGACAGGGGGCAGCCCCGTAGTACCTTTTCAATATCGACTGTAATTATTTGTGCGCAGGATAATCGCAACTTAAATGATAATGCCCTGAATTTTACCCACCCTTTCTATTATTGTTATTATTATTTCCATAGGTAATTGAGACGAACAACCTAGGTAGATTAATCGAGTATAATCCTAAAACAGATGAAGTAAAAGTGTTATTAGATGGTCTATATCTAGCTAATGGTCTAGCCTTGTCATCTGATGAATCCTACTTAGTAATTGCTGAAATGAGCATAAGTAAATTAACAAAGTAAGAATTTGGTCACTAGGCCTACTTTTCGATACTTCTGCTCGTGTGACTACAGAGACTTGGACAGCTCATGTCTTGGGTGCTGTTCCGAATTATATTCTCTAATCCGATCAAAGAAATATATATTAGCCGTTTATATTATTGAAATGTCGATCTGTAGCCTACTGAATGTGAACACTGTATAAAGATGAGACATGATTAAATAGCTGTTGGAATTTAATTATAGCTCTCACACCCCTAGTCACCATATATTTGGTTGATATTAATGGACGAATGTGGAGAATGTTAACACCCATTTTCCGTTTAATGCCTGCCTACAGTATCGTTAATTTTTAACGACCTTTGTTGACTATCTATTTATTATCACAGATACCATCTTGCAGGGCCATTATCTGGCCAATCAGAAGTTTTCATCGACAATTTACCTGGTTATCCAGACAACGTCAGGTTGAACAGCGCTGGTAACTTTTTCGTTGGACTTGGTTCAGTTAAATTTGAGGGATCGAGTTATCTTGGACCCTTTCTTGATATAATTGGACCATATCCTGCTATAAAAAGATTATTAACCAAGGTAAGTTGTTTCCAAACGAAATAGGCTATTCCGAATTCGGAACACGAGTTTATTCAATTACCAATCGGTCAATTTTCGTGCTTTTCTCATTTGAAGAAAATTTCACCAGAAAACCTCAAAATACCCCTCATTTGAAGATCCGATATCAACTACCGATGATTTTTTCACAGGGGGGGGGGGGCGAATTTTTTTTTTATGGTCGACAATTTTTTCACAGTTACGGGCCTGAACAGCGAGTCAGATAGTTTCAAAGGTCTAGTAAACGCTTTAAGTAATATTCCATTTACTTCAGCTTTCCTCTAAAGCTCTAGCTACTACATCGATTATTTATATCCACTTATTTTGTCATTGTAAATATTTTCATTAATACAGATTACCCCATTACCTTTGTTTGATATATTCTTACCACGTCATGCCATTTTACTGGAGGTCAGCCCTGCTGGTGAAATAATAAAGAGTTATCATGAACCAACGGACACGGTTTTAAGAGCTGTCGGTGAAGGATATGAACACAATGGAAATGTATATATTGGACATTTTACTTTGCCGTTTGTTGGAAAGATCAGCATAAAAGAATTAACGGAAAGTTTACACGACCAGGATTGAAAATAAATAAAAATAAAAGTTACATTCGATGTCTTAATTACTGATTTTGAAAAATAACAAGATTGTGGACAGTAAGCATAGTATGAGTCGCTAATCTGAAATCAAATATGAACTTCCTGGGGGAAGAACCTGGTAAGAAAAAGGGTCTAATCTTTTGAATGGGACGAAATAGCGAAGTCCCGTGTACACATTGGCATGCACGTAAAAGAATCCTTGGAATTATACAAAAAGTAGATGGAAACACCGCTGTCCGGGCAAAACTTCTTCCATTGCACACTACATGGCGTATGTCCGTCTTGATAAGCCCGGTTGGGACAAGGAAGTGAAACCTTAAAACTCATTTCATGGACTTCCGAGTAACAAATTACTTCCAAAGTACGGTTATTTTGCCCCTATCAATGCTCTCCCATATTTCGGATTAATCTGGTGGTCTGACATTTCTATATTTCACAATTAAAGGGCGTATGGCTATATTTTTCGGAACCTTGAAATAGACAAAAAATGTTCTAAAAGCTCATATTAATGTAATACGAATGTATGTAAAGTGATTTATATTCAAATTTTGAAAAAGTATTGTAATTTCTGTAATCAATAATAAATAATAATTATGTTATACGTGAACAGTAGTCGTTAAAGCCTGCTTAGTACATTCTACACGTTCACTAATACGTCCACATTGTGCAGGCTCATTGTGCTGGGGGCAAGGGCCTCTTGGGGCGCCGGTGTACCTACACTTCAAAGAAGGATCTAGGGTGCTCTCCCCCAGAAAATTTTGGAAAATAGGGTTTGCACCTGAGAGGAACTATGAAAATGACGGAAATTTTCAATTTTGAGGCTGAATTTGCGATATTAGCGTCGTATTATGATATGAACATTATAGAAAATAGAAGGAAGGAATACGACTTTGGCGTACTTATAATAAGTTATGTGAAACGAAAAGTTCGGAACCGCGTTAGAGTGCGACTTGTTTGAATTTTGAAGATTAGCCCGCACAGGCGGGCTTGAATCAATCTCACCCCCTTCGTGAATTTCCTACAATCTCCAGTTGGCTTTCTTATGGTAGATTTCTTTGGGCGTCGGTATGCGGTCGGTTTCTTGGTTAGACGCCCATGATCTAGTCGTGGGCGGCTCACCAATCTCGACATTATGGGTGCCCCTCCGGGATGAGGCACCCCACCAATCATGCCGCTTTGGGCGCCCCATTGATCAAGTCGTGAGCGCCCAGCCAATCTCACTCGGCATTATGATGTGCGGTCCGACACTCATAATATGGCGCCCCACCAATTATGGGCGGCCCTCCGGAATAAGGCACCCCACAGATCACGCAGTTTTGGGCGCCCCATCAATCACCCCACCCAGCTACGGGCCTGTTGTGTTGTAGAATATGTGTTTATTTGTTCATTACGAAATGGCACCCGAAACCATGGGTACACTACTAATGTCTTAAATATTGGATATTAGGATCCTATAGTTTCACGGCAAGATAACATCATCTGTATTGATTGAAATTGATCAATATTGAGTTCTTTTTCGCGATTTTAATTTCGAATATTATGGAAATCTAATTTTAGTCCAAAAACTGTAAATTATTATTTCATCAGCGTAGAATTATTAACACATATAAGCGAATATTTAATGAATTAAGTCAATACAATAGAAGACATGTCTTTAAATGGTATTTAATTAAGCTTTCTCGTATTATCAGCACATGGAATTTCTTCGTTTCATTGTGAATTTTCCGGTAGTTCTAATTTTTACAGCAGAATAAAAAATACGCAGGAATAAAGGAATCTCGATCATCAAGTCGCAGTATCCTTTTTTTTTTTTTGGCGTTCGCTATTCGCCGTTTTAGGAGCAACCAACGGAATTCGATGATGAAAATCAATATTCTTTGTCTCTTGGCTTTAACACTGTGTTTAAAGGCAATCGGGTAATAACTATTTATTCTCTGGTTTATTAAAATATCTCTGATGGTGACTTTAGCCTCGAGAGCCTTCACGTGCAATTGCAGACGACGGACAGATCGGGGGAGGGGCGCAATATATGAACACATATCAATTTGGGCGTTTACAAGCGAGTTGAAGATGTTACTATTTTACAACCACGACTATGTACATGGTTGAAATAGATACAGGTCTGGAAATTATGACTAAAAATTAAGGAGTACTTAACATAACTGCTTTCTTAAGATGGCATTAAAAAACGGGTGATGTAAGGTGTCTACTACAAGTGTATGTTTGTCATATATAGCTAAAGTAAATTGCATGAGTCTGTAAACTCTTAAAAAACCAATTTATTCAAATATATAACATTTGTAAAATAAATAGTTGTGAAAATAAATTAACATCGGGTACTGTAAAGAGGTACCATAGAAATAAAATGGACGTTCTGAAAATAAAATCGAACAGATTTAACATGTGTACATTTAAAATGCACAGAATACTTACACACATAAAGCACAAAGTTCTTCTAAAGAAAGACTGATATCGGCCGAAATCGTAACGGTTGTAAAAATGTGTATTAAAACACGTGTAGCGTTAAATAAAGATTCAGAATGGCATGAACCGTTTCTGGATAGTTCACAATACCAAACAAGAATATACTGTGAAGCGACACTGTCATATTCCTTAACGTTTTTAAAATGCATGTTCTCCGTAGAAACGACTGGATTGTCCACTATGTGTACATGATCACTATGTGACGGGTCACCACAATTTCAACTGAAGGGTTTTGTGTCTTGAATTACTGGATGTATGGGGGTACACTAATCACACAAACTACTTTATAAGCAATTTGAGCACCAATGCAAGATGAGCATAAAATCCAACTTCTTGGGTGCAGGTACTTTAGAATCATCACAAATTTTAGATAATACCATACCACCGGGTAAGCACATTCTATAGTCCACAAACTGAACCCAGTTCGAATTTGAAAAACAGCAGTTCCTAAAATTATGAACATAAAATAATTTGAATGCTGTTTTTCTCCAAATTGTCGATCAGTTTAACATAGGAGTTTTGTGTTCATTGAACAGAAATGCAGCAATGTCCGGTGAATCTTTGGATCGATAGGATGGGGTTATGATCATTGTCATCTGTGTAACAGTAGTCTTATGTCAGATGCACAAGAATACAAACCACATAGAATTATTGCAACATAAAACACCAGTAAAGAATATTCCTATAAACTGCTTCACGAAATTAATGCATATTTACAGGGTGCTGAATCTCTCTATATTATCTTGACCTATATCTGCGTCATGGCTAAACAAGGATTAGCCACTCACTAATCACCACACATTGTAACTAAACGGCAATAGCTAACCAGAGATAGACTAAGTCCAATGGATGTCTTTCTTCCAAGGTATGTAATGAGAATAGTGAATGACCATACCTTGTTGTGACATGGTGGCAGGTTGTTTGAGAACGAAGTGCCATCTGTTGCCCCCCCCCCCCGAAATTTTACTGGTTGATCTAAAATCCCTGCTAAAGCCCTCTGCCCATTAGAAGATTCGGTGATAAATCTCTAACTACCAAGTCAGAAAGCCAATGAAGGGCAGATCGCTTCAGGTGGCATTTCATTCCAACTCATATTTCATGCTGCAAAAATCCTGTTGGTTTTTTTTAAATTAGAATTTTACACAATTTTAGGAATTGGTTTCCAAATGTATAAGGTTTTTACCATTGATTCACAGGACAAAATATCCTAGCTTTTGATCCAAAAATGAGTGAAGTTGTATGTCACTTTCCAACATGGTACACCTAGAGCACTTTTAAATTTACAAGCTTGGATTAATCTGAACACATACCACAAGTATGAATATTATTCATATTGTGTTTCCAGTCTAATGCATTATGTTCAAACTTCATGAATTACATCCATCTTGAAACAAACTTCTGTCTTATTTAAAATCAAAGATACACACATTCCAGTAGATCACTCAGCCATTTTTTGCTAAAAAAAAAATCATCTGCAGAGTAGGTTTTGAAAATTTATGAGAGCTAATCCTTCTCAGGAATATTCTCTTTACTGTTGTCAACAAAATAGAGGAAAACAGAACAGATATTGCACAGTATAAATTTCAATACAACCAAACTATGTATTGTTTTGCCTTTTCTCACCAGGCAATGCTACATGGGGACTCATCCGGTCAAAAATGACACTGTAACATAATTTCTGGAACTTCCAATAGTTGAAGGTATTGTAAAGCCCACCCCATAAAATTAATTCATAAAATTACCACACCCAAATTATCAGTTGCAATGTGAATGGGCTTTTTGTTTTCTTTCGACACATCCAAAATCAAGAGGATAATTTCAACAGGACAGTTTTTGTCCAGTCACAACTTAATCACCTAAAATTCTTAACATCCAGTTGAACTGCTGATCTTTGAGAGTCTGCAGTTTGGTTGCTACTGTTACCATCCCAGAACACCAATGGCTGAAATTACCACTGCAATATTTTTCTCTGCGAATCACAGGGAATATTATTTTGAGATCACCAGAATATACCATTATATAACATCACATATCACAGAATATTAGAAAATTTTTCCAATATACGTTTATTCTATAGTAAAACTGCATCATCAAGCCCAAATAGTTACAGCATAAGAAGTACATGGGGCAAAAAAAATATATATATACTTAAAACCACAACTCACAACACAAAGATAAGCACTTGGATGTTTACCTCTTGGCCATAGGTTGATGCCGTCTTCCTTAGTTAATACATACCGTACTACCTCACTGCTTGATATCAAGTTCTACAAACTACTCACTAAATAGACATGTAGATATAGTAATATTAGAATGGAACATGCAGAAAAACACAAATGGTACCATATACCGAATGGTTTTAAAACTACCACATTGCTTCATGTTCTACCATGGTAGTGTGTAACTGTATTTTAAAAACAAATATGTGCCGTACGACAATTACACTTCTTGTTTGCTCATCTGGAAACATTCCACGAAAATAACAAAAAAAATGACACTTCCGAAAAAGAATATGTGCATAAATAAAATAGTATCATCGCGTGAAGCTCAAAAGCATAAATATGAAAGCTTGTTTTTACAGCTGCAAAAATTAAACTGTGTATCGAAAACCCTTAACACATTTGCGGTATTTACAACTAACCAGAATTAAGTTGATTCTGTCATAAAAGATTAAAATAGATTTCACATTTTTAAACCGAATGTCTGATGATTTCACGATCAGTCTTCTGAATAACACAAATTATATTAACACCCATTGAAATTTCACTACTCGAGTTCAATGAAGATCAGCACTTAGTTCTAATTTATAATATACACTTTGGTATGGCCACTGCTTTTCCACAAAGTTTTTTTTTTTTTTAAGAACACCCAATTTTTTAACTGATTTCTGGAGTCACTTATTTTTCAACTGTCACATTTTCATCACAGAGCCTTTAGTTCTTTCACAATTTACACATAAAAACACATTTTAGATCTACTGAAGCACAATAAATAAACACATTAACATAATCTTGGCTTGCATTCCACTGAATTGCACACAAGAAAATTCCCTGTTGAAAATAAATATTCACATGTACATGTAGTATTATTAAAGAATCAGTGAAGTAGAGTTAATAATAAATCTTAACTACCAATGCCATGTAGAACTATTATGGTCATGATTTAAAATAACAAAATTCAAAGTTCACTTTACCCCCCCCCCTCCTCATCCCTTTAAAATATACATTTAAAATTTTACTATTTAAATTAGGTACTTTGAGAAGGCACTAATAATGGTTATAGAATGCAACCAAATATATATGTTGTGCTAATTAAGTGTGAAATCAGTAGACCTGTTCATCTCACACAAGCAATTAATTTTTATCTCTGCCACAAATTATTTCTTTCACCATTCAAATGAAATGATCTGTTCAAACATTATAAAGAACCATGAACATTATTACTGTAGATGTAATATGTCATGACATTCTTCAGTTTTGTACTAAATTCTTGAGAAAAATAACCCCTGCATTGCTATAGGATAAAAACAATAAATTTGAAATGACAACATAAATTAAATGTCAGATTATTCTTCAAAAAAGCTTAAAAAAACTCAGTACATGCAAAATGGAAGTTAAATAATCGAGAGTACATTTTAACCTTTGAAAAAGAAAAATCTGTAACAAACATCTTGATATTTTCATTAATTTATAGATTTTCAATATCAATATTTCACAAAGTTATTCAAAGTTAACTAAAATAAAAAATGGTTCAACAACTCATTAATACCTGGCTAAGAATCTTTAAACAGACATTAAAATCACACTTCTGTATATTTTATTTTAAATTGTGCACAAACATGACTTAATTGATGGTCACATGGAAATCAGACCCATTTCTATTGTATCACACTACCATCTATCTTGAATTGCCTGTGTTTGGTAAAACAGTATCAAATAAATCTTAAATCACATCCATACAAACTAGCACATCTGACATGTCAGAGTATTTGTATTGCTCACACAAAATTGGCTTATGCTTCAGGAAAGACTCTTATTTATCCTAGTTCGAAATAAATGAGATTATACATTTTCCAAGGGTATGGTTACAAATTAAACTATGCTGTCAACTATTCAGCATGTAATTGAATAACACTGTTTCAAAAAATAATGATAATGAAATTTAGCAATATTTTTTCGTGGATAAACTCAATCCATATTGTAAATATGTGGAGTATCTGGCCGATATCAACAATCTATGGAACAGTATTCATAATATTCAATGGACAAATTTAAATTATCATGATATAATTATTAAATAAATTATTCAAATATATGAAATTATTGTTAAATATACAATTGTAATTCCAAATTCAAAAATAAATCAACAACACATAGTACATTTTTGTTCTCAATGAAAGATCTTGCTTTTACTACATGATTCTCAACCAATCAAAACATTGTAGCCATCTCATAGATCTGAATCTGTCCAATCTATATAATAGAACAAGCCATTGATATTGATCTTCCTTTTCATTTACTAAAGACACTTTCAATGAATTTGGTTAGTCAACATTAAATGTCAGAGGTTATTTGCTATTCTTTAAATTTATATATTTATCATAATGAAATGAAAAGCAAGATATACATAAAAGCATACATAAACCAACTTCGAACAAAATAGTAATACAGAATTAATTACACACATTTCCAAACAACTTCTCTATTAAAACTGGTAATGTGTAATTGTCGAAAACAAATGCTATTTTTTTTTACTCAAGAATACATGTATATTTACGTACACTTTGTTTTTCTACGTTGTGTAAGTCACAGCCAAGAGTTTTTTTATACGAATTAAATGAAGATTATGTGATAATGATTAATTAAAATCAATGTAGAAAGACTATTTTCAGACATAAATGAAATGAAATGTGGTTTAACGTCCTATTGTTCTGCTCCTTTAACTGGGCTAATGAAGATGGGCATACGCCTTACAGTGTGCTATGAGTGAAATTTTGCCTGTGAAGTGGCACTATGGCCTACTCTTATATCGAATTCCAACTGTCAAGAAACTATGACAAATTGTCAAATACGTAATTAGCGGCTAGCCTATAAATACATTCTACCATACATGCAGCATATTCTCTTGACAAGTCTGATTGGTTTTTTTCTTAGAATTTTCGATGATGCTTTGACCATATTTGTAAAAACTCATGGCGGATTAGCCCAAGATATCAAAAGGCAGGTACAAAGAGACTTGTGCATTTAGAAATAATAGTTAATTATGCAGTCAACAGTTTGAAAATATTTCTAGATAACAATTTATGGTCTAAAACATTGCACATGTACACTACATAGCTTAGTTGGAACCTAACCTATATGTACATTTGTAATAAATTAACAAAAGCTCAGTAACATTAATTAAGGGTATTGATAATGGCATTAAAGCAGATTTGAAAACAAGAACTTCATACAATACATTCATTGATAACAATAATTTGAGCTGTACAATAATAAAAGTCTTGACTGCTTTTTATGCAGCCCCTAAAACAACTACGACAACAAGATAATCTTCTGGCAAGGGATCTGGGGGTAATCGAGGGGATCTTTTTAACAAAAAGTTATAACCAAACTGACATGGTGGAAAAGCATGAAGTACCCCCACATTATTCTTGTCTTGTGTTGGATTGGGTGGCAAAGAAATGACACCAGCGGCTTCTTTTTGTTTCAAATACTGTACTAAGTTACGTAAAGGTCTCTGTTGCACAGCTCCGTTTGAGTCATCATAGTTTTGTAGAGTACTTGGTAAAGCCAACAAAATACAATGGCCGTGTGCACCTGATTGGGTTATACGTCTCGAAACATCGTCTAACTTAGGTTGATCCAATCTTAATCTCTGTGTAATACGCAGTACTGGGGACTCAGTTGTTGTTGGATCTCTCATTAAGTTGTCAACAACTGTCACATCACCACTTAACACATGCATCCTAGCAGCAAAAGCACTACTCTTTAATATAAGCGCCCCGTTCCAAGCTACAGGTAGATTTTGAATGAGATCACCTAATGTTTCACACCGATCTCTCCCTATGTCTTTATCGATACCAGAATCTGATGTGTGGTGGTGACTACTAGGCCGGTCAAAGTCACGATTTGGCGTACCTTGGGGAGGAAGGCGACGTCCATCATCACGTTCACCATGAAAGTCACGTCTTTCAGGGGTTCTATTTTTTATGGAGTTAGGACCATTTCCAAAGTCACCCGGAGATCGAGGTCGTCGACGTCTGTCACCATTTTCTTCACTAAATCTATCCCAATCAGGTTTTATTCTACCATCTCTGGGACCATCCAAATTTCTCAAGTGTGGGTCGCCAGGTTCAGGAATCCAATCGTCTCTACGCCGTTCTTCAGGACCTTTCCATGGACTTGGTTTATCTGGTCTAAATCCACCTTCACGATCTGGAAAGGTTTCGACACCTGGTCCACTAGCACTTGGCAAACCAATATGAGACACATCTGCAAAGTCAACACGCAGTCTTTTACTCTGTCCACCCAACTGAACACCTCGCATGTCTTGACATGCTGCCTGAGCAGCATCAATACTGTCATATAAAACATAAGCATAGCTTTTACTTTGTGGCCATTCAATTCTATGTATCACCCCAAACCTATCAAATTCCCTTTCAAGAGTCTCATAATTAATGCCTGGTCCTAGTCCACCTATCCACAAACAAGTCGTTGGTGTCACTTTACCATACCCAATCTTACACTGAAAACGACCAATATATTTGCCAGACATTTCAACTTTTGCTTTGTGAGCTGAATCTAAATTCATAAACTTAATAAATGCATATGCATTGCCTTGACCTCTTTGTGGTCTTTTTATGTCAATGTCTTCCACTGCCCCAAATTTTTCAAATATAGCTTTTAGATCTGGATCGGAAATATTAACATCTAGATTGCCTACAAACAAGGTTCTTGTTGCTTTATCATCAAATTCTGGGTCTACGTGATCTAAATGATGAGGAAATTTTTCATTGGGAGCTCTACGCGGCCCATCATTGGGTATATGCTTAGGGGGATCTCGCGGATATTCACGCATAGGGGGTCTGGGGGGACCATGTCTAAATTGTGGAGGAGGGCTTCCCCTTCCTCCACCACCACCACCTTTGTAAAAATCTCTCTGAAATTCTGGGCTACTACTTCTACGTCTGTAGTATTTTATAACAGGTTCTATTCTAACTGGTCGATCAAATAACACCAACTTTCCTTTAGCATGTCTTGCATTGCGAGCGTCTTCTGGGTATCTAAAATTAACATAAGCAACTCTCTGGTCTCCTGAAATAGTAACTTTTACATTCATTTCTCCAAACTTCGTAAATTCGCGAATGAGGGCCTCCTTTAGAACTGGGTCAGGTACTTTGCTGGGGATACAACTCACACACAGAGATCTATATTCGGGCGATTTAGCGTCTGTTCGTGCTGGGGGTATCCCACTAGGTGGACTATATCCCCCATCCATAATTCTGTCATCCCGAAATTGTTTTCTTGGTGGAGGATCAAGGTCATGATCATAATCTCGGTATGGCTTCCCTTCACGGCTCGATCTATCGCCCCCAAACTTGCTACTGCGGCTATCACGCCGATCAAAGTCTGGACTCATTCGGTCACGTAGCACCTCATGGTCAGGCCCTGAATAATTTGATCTGGATCGCTTGGACCTTGGTGGGCTATCCCGATCTTGCTGTCTTTTCATCATTGTGGATAATTGCTAAAATGTATCTAGTTTTGCAGCAGTAATCTTACACAAATTCTTTCACATCGACGCCATATTTAATGCTATGACCAACTCTCGCGAGACACGCATCACGTCCTTTTTATAATGGAAGTATTTTAGTTTTAAATTTTATTTGTGTGCTTTGAAATTATCAATAGTGTCCAGAAAATCATTAAAATGAATCAGATGTTAGTTCAATTTTACAACAAATATAGCTGGCGTTGTGAACTATTGTGCCTCGCGGATGTTTATTGCATATTCATTGTTTTCTTTGGCGTATGAATATGTGTTAGGAGTCTGGATAATCGATCTTTTTGCAAGTGCCCGTTTTCTCGCTTGTCCAGAAACAATACGACACGCTTGGGTGGGGATCGGTTGTTGTGCAGTGTTGCATCTATTCTAGTTGTTGCATTGCGCTTGAAATCAAATAGCATAATTCATACGAATTTTATCTTCCGTAAACCTTATACAAGCCCCATTAGTTTATATGTAAATCCATCTAAATTAAACATGACAAGAAAGGTCCATAAATAACACCATTGCCAAAAATAGAAACAGTATTGCAATTTCATGGCGTCACATCCGTTTTGAAATCGAGTGGATATCCGCCTTACTTCGTAAGAACACGGTGAACGAATTGGTGAGATAGAAAACGATAAATAGTATATTCTAATCGTTTCACAGGCTATGGTAGTTGTTAAGTAGAAACAAATACAATGAGTGATAATGTTGGGAGAGCTTTTCAGCCGAAAAAGACACCGATTACCAATGAATATCGACTGACTGGCACTGTGTTAGGACTTGGAATAAATGGTCGAGTTGTTGAATGTTTTCATAGACCTTCAGGGGAAAAATATGCCCTAAAGGTTAGTGAATTTTCCTGGCACATTGTAATTTCCTCAAACAGAAATAGAACTAAAGCAGAATGTATTATTTTTTTTTCAAACGATAAAATATATTTGTCTTTGAAACATGAGGAAATGAAATACCGTACTGAAGAAATGTGGGTGTTGATTTTATGATTCTGCCTGTCACTGTGTCAATCACGGTTTGGTTTGTATTAGCAACTCTTCATATCGACAACAATCTAGTCTTTATGAATTAATATTAGCAGTCCACGGAATTAAACCTATATTTTTTGTCCTCCACTTTTAAGAATTGGGACATTTTAGAGTTAATTAAACCTCTTTGATAAATAGGTCAAAGCATAAATGTTATGTTGAATGGATATTATTATAATATGTTCCTTGATGATGTAACAGGTTGCCAAAGTTTTGTCAGTTTTGACTAAATTATGCCTGTTTTAATTAAAGTAAATTTTTGTTGTTTTGGTTTACATGTATGTCCATTGTGAATGTGACAATACCCCCTCCCACAGTCTGGGTAGTTCCATTCCACTTTTAATCCACATTGTTTTGACACATTAAAGCAGCTAAATCGCTAATATTTGAGACCTAGAAATTGACACAAATTAGCAAAGCAATGCATATAATAATGTAATATGAATGTATATAAACTGATTTATATTACATGGTTTCTGTTTTTACTCTAATTTCAAATCACTTATGTTTGGTCGAAAAACAGCAGAAATCTCAATCAAATGGCAATCTTTAGCATCTGGTTATTCCAGTCTACACCGATAGTATTTATTGCGCATGCTCTCCAGAAAAGAATATGTCACCGTTTGACATGACTTGTGGAATATATCTAGCCTTGTTCTTCGAGTCCCTTGTTACAAATGGCACTGAAACGCATTATGGTACATGAATCGAGTACCAATTAATTATAATATGTTTATGTTATCTTAGATATTGGATATCAGAAGCACGTCTTATCCATGTAAGATCGCAACATCTATTTTGATTTAAATTGACAAATTGCCAAAGACTTAGGATGATATAGAGTTAGAGACTTCGCTACTTTAAATTATTGTTGTTTTATTGTTATTTACTGGTACATATAATTAACAATTAAAATACCTTGGCATCTCATCAGAAGGACTTTCAAGATACAGAATATTTACTACTATTTTATGCAGTTGTTATTTGGAGGGATTTAAACTATTTAAAGTGCAATAAACTAAACACAGACAGGGCTGCCGACAACCAGCATCGCTGCGCAATTTGCGATACATATTTTTTCCGTTGCTAATCAAAAATTAAAATCTAACGTTTTTGATTCGCAGTAACTGCGAATCAATAATATGCCTGTCATTTTGGATATTGACATTTCAATGCATATATCAAATAAATTTTATAAACAAAACGGAATTCTCCGTGTGACATTTTCTTCTCGAACTACCCAGACTCAATTCATGATACTATATAATACAGGGACATAACTCTATGAATCGGGACTATTAAACCGGAAATAGGGAATCAAGTAGTACCACTCACGTTGCGAGACATGTCAATTTCGAGTAATTATATCAGTATTCAATTTGAAAAAAAATAAATTCAGTGTATCCCCCATGTATTGTAAATAAAATATAAAAAATAAATACGTGTAAACGTATTGTAAAGTGAGAAATCAAAGTAAGAATTCCCGTAAACTATTATTGTTTATATCGCGTGCGTCTAGTTAATCGAGATTATTCGTAAAATACCGCGTGCTTCCAATTGAACAAAAATAATAACACACGATAAAAAGCAGACGAAATTGTTTTCTAACGAAGAAATAAGAAGCCACTGCCAAGAATTGGCTTCAGACATAAGGCCTAACAAAAGTCTACATTCATTCAGAAATGTTCACAGCTAGCTGTAGAAGTGCTAACATTCTAAAAAAATCTTAAGAATGAAATCTAATCATTTGCTATCAATTAAAATTAAAATAATCTTGTTATTTAGGTGTTTTATGTTGATTTGAAACTGAAAAACTGCTAATCAATTTTTAAATTTGCTAATCAAATTTGGCAAAATTGGACTTTTTGATTAGCAGTGCTGCTAATCATCTGTGAAAAATTACCGACAGCCCTGAACACAGATAATGACAAATTATACAATTCCAGGAGACCGTGTGATGACTTATTCAGATCCCATAATTACGCAAAAATGTATTGAATAGCCTTAAACAGTTTAAGAAAAATAATATACATGTACCATTTAGTGGCATCATTTACACCTGACAACCTTACTTAGCTAATAAACATACTGGCTTTTAGTTTGACTTTGGGGTCATTCTGTGTCAACTGGACCAGTGCTTGTAAAGTGACCCACTGAAAACATTATGAAAAAAATATGTTATAGTACATACAGTCACTAACAGTCTTATGTAAAACTGCATTAATATTGACTGAGATATGACCATTTGACCATTTGAATCGGGGAGAGGGGGGGGTGCCCTTTTGCAAGTTTTGAAACCACTGCTATATGACTCGATTTTTGTGATCTGATTTTATTCCTTCTTGTTAGTTTATATTTTTAGAAATTATGGGGTTTATAAGGGAATGTTATATATATTAAGAATTTACCATCACTTTTACGAAAAAGTACCATCAACTCTCAACTGTGTATGAAGTGACTTAACTGCCAAAAAGTGATACCTGTGCAAAAATCAATCAGTATTTCAATACAGTGTCCCAAGCTGCATTATACAGTGTCTGGATAAAACCAGATTTTTATTTTATAGAAATAATGTGTAGGTGAAATTTACCTTTCATTATCATGTACAGCACATGGGCCATGCACTGTATAGGTCTCTAAAGGAACGGCAATAGATTATCAGGTCACCCAACGAAAAAATTGACCCAAAATCTTAAAAGGGTTACGTGTTTGATTTTGACGTTCACGTCCAAACAGGTCAATATTTTGAGCTGAAATTTTGAGACAAGATAAATACGCCATTCCTCTATATTTTGAAATTTCATACGTACACAGACTTTTATTTCTGAGACTCTTTTAAAATCGGGATTTCCCCTTTAAAATAAAGCCTTGCAATGCATGTGCCTGGCATCTATACACAGTCCTACTGTGTTAAGATTCACTAGTGTCAGTTGAGAAATTGACAACATTATCATTTTCTTTTTGAAAGTAAAACATTAGATTTCAATTTCCAGGTAATGTGAGTGAGTAGAAAATATTTAAAAATTTTATATGAATGTGTTTTAAGGGCAAGAATGATTCCTATGATTGTATAATAGTGAATTGACAACTTATAAAGCAACAGCTGTAGAAATGATTATGTTTTAACTTTCTTAGAAAATTGAAATTATCACTTGAAATCATTTAGAATTAGATTTCAATTTGACTACAGTTATTTATTGATATTAAAATATGTAGATGGTGTTTTTTTGTAACATGTTGATCAGAATATAATCAGTAATTCATCAACTTTATTATATAAGTTTAGATGAAGCCTTATGTCATACCTTTGGAATTTAGTGGATTGAATGTTATATATGTTAATTGATAAAGTTTGATATGTAGGCCTAATGCATTAGAAGTAAGATTTTTTTGTTTTAAAAGTCTGAACTAGAATATAAACATGCTTCAAATGGGGCAATTCCTCTTGTGTTTTTGATCTCTTTTGGGAAATAATTATTTTTTGATCGATCAAAACACACAACCTTTTGTGAATAAAAATACGATGATTTCTATCAAATATCAACATGCTTTAAGTGGGAAAATCCCTCTTGTGTGTTTAATCTCATGTATGAGATCAGATGAGATAATCCTTCTTTTTAAGCCAATGAAAACATACAACCTTTTGTTACCATACAAGTACATTGCATTTTAAGAAATAGGATCGGTCAGGATGTGTTGTAACAAATATACACAGAAAATAATATAAACATAAGCAACCCTATAACAAGAGTTCATTTAAGATTAAAATTAGAAAGGTTTGGCATGTTAATGAGGGTCATTTCTTTATATTACTGGGAAGTTTAGATTAAAACCAATGGTTTTTCCTTTACTTGTCGAAATTGATAGGTCAGGTTTGATAATATAGGTTGACCGTAAATGGTTAATTAATATAAAATGAGTTACAGAACCATGTCATAAACTGGGTTTTCATAATGACATACACTTCACCGAACTTGATGACCAAATGCTATAGGCATGGTAATATATGGTCTGCTTGTTGACTGATAAACTTAATACATAATTATATCATTTATCTTACAGCAGTCTGATATATGTATCTTCTTATAATATCCTTATACTGATATATCCAGCTTGTAGACCTATACATGTGTTATATGTTAATACACTCTGGCATCTGGAATCTGTTGAAGATAGATTAATGAATAACAGTATTATTGAAATAGAGTTTTATTAAATTAACATGTTAGGATACAAAGATGAAATAAAGATGTAATTAGTTGTTCCAGGCAAAATCAAATATAGGTACATGTATTGTCTAGTCATATAACTCGTAACCTATTTTGTCCAATGAATAATGTGTTGAAATCTTTAGACAGTTCACTGAAATATTATATTTTTAGCTAAAGAATTATATTGCAATACACAGAATTATAACTCACTGTTTGGTTTTTATTTTGCCTCGGAGAGAGGGGGAAATGGGGTTTAACGTCCACTCGACACAAACTAGGTCATTTTGGGACTAACATGGTTCTGTTTTATTTCAATAATTTGCTTGGGTGTAGGGATTTTTATCAGTGGGATTACACTGGAGGACCGGAGAAACCCATATAGGTTGACTGGCGATCCTACTTCTTGTCACATACAAGCAGGGAATAGAAACCAAGTCACTTGACTCAATTTGTGTTCAGTTATTTTGCCCCGAAGTATACTGTCATTTATTTTGGATTTGATCCTCGGCTTATGATATGTAGAATATTGTTGTACTATATGTATTTGAGGAAGATTAAACTGTCTGCCATTTTGTAAAAATATGTTAATGTTATACATGTGTCATATCCTGGGAATATGAAGTGATATACATGTATGTCACTAATCTCCTTTAAAGTGCACATAAGATGGACAAAAAATCTTTTTAATGTGTGTAGCATTCCATTTTTATGGCAAGTTCACGCGGATCTGGTTGAAATTAATTCAGCTACATGTATCTTCACTCAAAGTCGTAAAAATAGACCTCCCGTAAAAACGACTTTGCCAATTATCAAAAACACTCTTAATCCCAGCAGACGCCAGTGACGTCACAGTGACCGAATGCATATTCGGAATGTTTATTCCTTAATTACCTATATACAGCCGGCGTGTGTATTCTTTAACACCTGAAGGATTCCTTAATCCCCCTAATTAAATAAAACAATTGACTACGGAATAATTTGTTTTGTAATTGTCCCCTGCCTTTCGAAGAAAGCAGGGGACTATTAAAATGGGTCTGTCTGTCTGTCTGTATGTCTGTCCGTCCGTCCGTCCGTCCGTCCGTCCGCCCGTCACACTTTTTGGGACACAATAACTCTCCTTCTGATTGACCTAGAATGTTCAAACTTGGTGTAGGTGTTTATTAGGTCAATGCCTTGATGGAGTTCGAAGATGAGCATTTTCTGCTTAGGGTAAGCAGAGATAAGCAATTTGATTGGTTGATGCTTTGGGACACGATAACTTTAGTTCTAATTAAGTGAGAGTGATGAAACTTGGAGTATAGTTTCATTACATCAATACCTTGACTAAGCAGAGCAATAAGCAATTTGATTGGCTGAGACTTTGGAACACAATAACTCTCCTTCTAATTGAGCTAAAATGTTCAAACTTGGTGTAGGTGTTTATTAGGTCAATGCCTTGATGGAATGTGAAGATGGGCATTTTCTGCTTAGGGTAAGCAGAGATAAGCAATTTGATTGGTTGATGCTTTGGGACACGATAACTTTAGTTCCATTTAAGTGAGAGTGATGAAACTTGGTGTATAGTTTGATTACATCAATACCTTAACTAAGTCCGATATTGAGCGTTTTCTGCTAAGGGTAAGCAAAGCGATAAGCAATTTGATTGGCCGAGACTTTGGAACACAATAACTCTCCTTCTAATTGAGCTAGAATGTTTAAACTTGGTGTAGGTGTTTATGAGGTCAATGCCTCTATAGAGTGCGAAGATGAGCATTTTTTGCTTATGTTAAGGAGAGATAAGCAATTTGATTGGTTGATGCTTTGGGACACGATAACTTTAGTTCTAATTAAGTGAGAGTGATGAAACTTGGTGTATAGTTTCATTACATCAATACCTTGACTAAGTTCGATGATGAGAATTGTCTGCTTAGGCTAAGGAGCAATAAGCATTTTGATTGGTCAAGACCTTGGAACATAATAACTCTGCTTCTAATTGAGGTAGACTGTTTAAACTTGATGTAGATGTTCGTCTTGACTTGAGTTCAATGATTAACATATCGAGCTAAAGCTAAGCAGAGATAAGTAATTTCTTTGGTCGATGCTTTGGGACAAGATAACTTTGATTCTATCTGATAGAGAGTGATGAAACTTAGTGTACAGCTGATAATCAGTTTGATCGCTCGATACTTTTGAAAAGAATAGATGTGCGATTAATTAATATGTGTCATCTATTTATTTGGGGATTACGGCGGGGGACATCAGCCTCACTGTTGGCTTGTTTATTTTAATTTAAGACCCAACTTAGATTGCCTACAACTTTTAAACTTTGAAGTCTTGAACTCTTAATTAATTTTTTACATGGAACTTATTGGACGAACACTTTTAATATGTAAATAATATACGGGTCCAGCGATGTGGTTTTTAATGCGAGCACTTCGCTTTTCCACATAAAGTGTAGTGTCGTTAATATCTGTCATTAATTAATAAATCCGACTATAAAAGTTATACAGGCATGGGTCATAAATTAATTTACATGTCGGTGTTAGCAGTGAGTGTTAATGGGATTAAGAATGTTGATTAGGTAATTATCTTTTTTTACGCCGGCCAGATCAAAGACATCACTCTAGGTGGAACGTGTGCATAATACCTCACAAACGAACTAATGGTAGAATCGTACCCCCACACATTAATTGTATAAAATAATTAAGTTTTACTCATCAGTTGTTTATAATTACTATTTACCAAATAATTATTACTCACCGGTGTTTTTGTAATCAAGAAGCCTCGTATTATTTATTGATTGGTGGTTAAACAACATTTAATTGATGGATGGATAAACGTTTTTGGTACGATAAGGTTATAATGTCTAACATCGTTTATCTTCTTTATAATAAAAGTATTTCACAATTGCATTGACAGTTTAATCACTCACCAGGAACTCCACGTATGATCCCGTGCAATTTTCGCGCCGAAGTTTAAACTCATTTACTACACCCGTAGTACATGTAACCGTACATGGTAATAAGATTCCCAGCGTTGATTGGCAGAGAAATGAGGTTGATCTATTGTACATGTTATGCATAGTCATCGGAAAATTCCATATTCACTGTAAATTTCAAATGGAGTTTGATAAAAGTTGTTCTTTTTGTATAGAAATGGTTATTATTATTATATATAGCTAATAATGAATATATCGACAAATGACTTGCACCATTTGTATTTCTGTACTTAAGTTTAGGATATCAAGTATTACGGGGTTAGCCAAATTACCGGTAAATGCGCTAATTTCTTGAGTCGCCTTCATTTGACACGTGGCCTATTTAAACAAAGGCAGCTTAAATGGATCTACGGCATTATACAATATTTGAAATTCACTCTAAAATATTCCAATCACAAATGTTTAGGCTATACCAATGAAATACGATAATTCGGTGATTATGATTAGGCCAGTCACATGGTAATTGGACCGTCAACAGACGCTTGTCAACTTGCTGTGTGTATTGATAGTGCTATATTGTACAGACAGTGGATATTGTATAGATAATGTATATCCTATGTGTAGTGCCTGTGACGTCACCAGCCAATCAACCGGATTAAGGTCGTAATTGAAAAATTGAAAAGTGTTTTGGTGTGTCGGACACTTAAACGTTAACAGCCGACTTAATTTTAATCAGATTGGTGTGAACTTGCCGTAAAGTTGATATAGTAACCATGAGCTATACGTACATGAAATTTAGATTTTTGATCTTACGTGGTCTTTAATATTTTATTCAAAGGAATTTTCTTGTACTGGAAATGGATTTATTTCCATGTACCCGTAGATGGGGTTTAATGTCCTATTTTTTGCAGCGACTTGGCTAATGAAGACAGGCATGCATTATTCAGTGTGCTGTGAGAAAAATTTTGCCCGGACAGCGATGCTACAGCCTACACTTACATAAAATTTTCAACTGTTAAGGAATTTTTCTTACGTGCATTCAGTATTTAATGTGTACAAAGACCCAGTTTTTTGTCCTATCCGAATGACTAGACAGTCATCCTTCTCAGGTCCTCCTTGTCAGGTCCTCCGTCCTGTACCACTGCCAAGAGGAAACCACACCGGAAAATCCAGAGGAACTGTCTCTGCCACCATTGGGAGAGAACCCAAGACCTCCAGGCTAGCGAGCAAGCATTTTACTGAATAAACCATTGCGGCTCCCAACCAGAAAATATAGCGTCATCATTAAAATTATGATTCAGCTTCCACACCATACATTATTGATAGAATAATAAATAACATTTCATGTTGTATTTTATAGGTTTTAAAAGATGTACCAAAAGCCAGACGAGAAGTCGACTTACACTGGAGAGCTGGTCTAGGAAGCAAACATATTGTTAAAATTATTGATGTTTTTGAAAATAATTATTCTGGTCAAAGATGTTTGCTAGTTATAATGGAATGGTATGTGTGAAATTGTTTATAAATACATGTAAATAGTTGAAAGTGATGAAATGATATTAAGATAGACAAGATAGTGAAAATATTTATATTATCACTCAACAACGGGTCCAAGTTGAAGGCATAAACATCAGTTTTACCGGTATTACCATCATTTATGGCTAATGAAACAAGTAGTAAAGTTTAGGACATAGCTCACATGTTAAATAATCCAATTTTTATACGCCCATATTTTCTTGTGGACGTATATTGTTGTTGCCCCTGTTAGTGGACACTCTACTGGTCACAATTTTTATTCGATTTTGACGGAACTTGAAATATAGGTCTGTCTCTCAAAGATCTTGGTATCTTCCGATATTTGCATGTAGTTTGAGGACACTCTAGAGGTCACAATTTTCATCTGATTTTGATGAAACTTGTAATGCATGTTTATAACCCAAAGATCTTGGTTGCTTTCGATATTTGCACATATCTGACCTTAACTTCCTGAATTATGGCCCCTGATTGTATGAAAAATTAAGTTTTTTGCCTGTGGTTCCTTTAGAAGTCACAGTTATTATCTGATTTAAAAAAAAACGTTCAAATATATCACTGTTAAACTGTAATGTTGGTTGAGTTTGAATTTCATGAAAATTGGACCAAAACTGCCGGACAAAATGAATGCCCCTCATACGCAAGTAGTGTAAACATATGGTATATCAATGTTGTGGACCCTCTAGAGGTCACAATTTTGATTCGATTTTGATGAAACTTGAAATACATGTTTATAACCCAAAGATCCTGGTTCCTGTCGATATTCGCGCATATCGGTTCATAACTTCTTGAATTATGGCTCTTGATTGTACGAAAAATCACATTTTTAGTTTGTGGTGCCTCTATACTAGAGGTTACAATTATTATCTGATTTAAAAAAAGGTTTGAATATATCACCGTTACACCGTAATGTTGGTTGAGTTCAAATGTCGTGAAAATCTGACCAAAACTGCCGGACAAAGTGGCCTCCCCTTGTATGCAAATAGTGTAAAAATATGGTTTATCAAGGTTGTGGACCCTCTAGAGGCCACATTTTCTCTCCGATTTTGATGAAACTTTAAATTTATGTATTCGATTTAAAAAAACGTTTAAATATATCACCGTTGCACATCAATGAAGGTCAAGTTAAAACTTCGTTAAAAACTGCCGGACAAAATGGCTGGTCCTTGTACACAAATAGTGTAAAAGTATGTAATACCAAGACCCTCTAGAAGTCACAATGTTTATTCGATTTTGATGAAACTTGAAATGTATGATTATGATCTAAAGATCATGGTTCCTGTCAATATTTGCGCATATCGGACCGTAACTTCCTGGAATATTGCCCCTGATTGTAGACTCACTAGAAGTCACTATTTTTATCAGGTTTTGATGAAACTTTAAATATATCTTTATGTCCCAAATATCTCAGTCCATTTCGATGTTTGCGCATTTCAGATCATAACTACCTGGATTATGGCCCCTGATTGTAAGAAAAATCGCATTTTTTTTTAGCTTGTTTTCTATCTATCTCTTGCGAAATGTGGGCGTATCCTGCTTGACAGCCGCTGGTTTTATGAATTTAAAAGTTCTTTCAAATATTTATGTAATAATTAATCTTATACGTAGGCAATAGGCAAAATTCATTAAAAATCGATTAGATTGGAAGGGTACATGACCAATCAAAAGACGTTAAGATGAAGAAATGAAAAGCCTGAGATTGAATGAATGGACGCTCATGTGCACGGTTTTAGAATTGATAAAACTAATAATTTAGACCTCTATCATAAAGCTTTCCTATCTGTGGGACTGCAGATATTAATATATATGTCTTGATTAAATGTGAATGAATTGGATTACTGGTCTTAGTTTTTTTTTTTTTGGGGGGGGGGGGTTTAGGGACCAAGTGAATGATTAAAAAAATTTAAAATCATAGCATCCTTAGAACTTTTGATTTTCATCTGTTGTTGTATTTTACATGAATCAAGAAAAATTTGTTTGTGGTCTAAGGGTAGATAATATAACTTTAAGGACTTTCAATCTCAGTTACCTCCCTTTATATACCCTTGAATCATCTTATTAGGATTTGTTTATCATGCATTAAGAGTATGCATATGCAATATAGTTAAAACATAAATTTGATTGTGAACATTTATTTATGTTAAAATGAGAAAAATAAGAAGAAAAGAATACAGCTCTTTAAATATACGAGATTGTACACATAGGTTTAAAATTATGTTATTTTAATTAGTGATTAGGCAAACTGTATAATTACTGGAAGTTAATTTGTTTACTAATTTTAGTTATAGTTATGTTATAAGCTGTCAACAGTGGAACACCAAATCGGCTTCTATCATCACTGACTCTTATCTGTCGACCTATAAATTTTAAATGTAGAAATATAACCACTTCACAAAGCATACTTAAACATCAACATTATATGATTTTGGAATAAATGTAGCCGACTCACCAGTTAATTTTATTGTGAAGTGAAGTGGTAATGGCATTAATTATTGTTGTACAATCAGCTGTTAATTTGATTCTATTTAATTCTTTTATGATCATAATTCTTATTTTTTTTAAATAACAGTATGGAAGGTGGCGAATTATTCACAAGAATACAAGAGAGAGCAGATTCAGCATTTACAGAAAGAGGTAGGTTTCGTTTTTATTTATTCATAATTTGTTGAATTATTTCCACAATAAATTACTTAATTTAACCCCATATAACAAATGTATTTTTGTATTTTTAGAGGCAGCTGGAATAATCAAAGATATAGCAAAAGCAATAGCTCATCTACATAACATGGATATAGCACATCGTGATTTAAAAGTATGTATTGATTCGGCCACAGATTTTAAAACCCAAAACATGCAAAAAGTAGCACTTTCTGGTACACGACTAGATGTGAGATTTAGACTTTGATTCTTGCGTTGGTTGCAAAAGTTAATCAGGATTTTGCGGCGTGGTTCCCCTTTATCAATGGTGTAGGACGGAGGGTTTGGCAAAGGACAAAATATAGTTGTTTGGATGGGATGGAAGAATGAAGTCCCATTTAAATATAGACGTGCACCTAAAAGAACACTTGACAGTTTGAATTCTAGATAAGTAGCGCCGCTCTCAGGGCAAAATTTCCCTCATAGCACACTGCATGTGTATGGCCGTCTCATTAGCCCAGTCGGAGTAGGACATTAAACTCCATTTCATTTCATTTCATTTCTTAAAGAGTTATTGATAAGATCATTTTATTATACGCCCACATAGAAATGTGTTCGTATATTGCCATCACCCCAGTCCGTCTGTCATCCACAATTTCTTGTGAACTCTCTACAGACAACATTTATCATTGATTGTTTTGAAATTGATATATGTTGTTTACATTAGTGAGATGAAGAAGCCTGTATAATTTCAATAATTTTCGTTAATGTGTTCTGGAGTTATGGCCCTTGTTTCACTTTGTTGTACCTTGTGAAAGCTCTAACCACAAAAGTTTTCATCTGATCTGTATGAAATTTATATGCATCATTCAGATTGGTGAACAAAGACACGGATTGAATTTCAGCAATTTCTGTTAATAACATCTAGAGTTTTGGCCCTTGTTTCACTTTGTTGAACCGTGTGAAAGTTTTAGCGACAAAAGTTATAATCCAATCTGTATGAAATTTATATGCATCATTTAAATTAGTGAAACGAAGAACCCTATTGAATTTCAACAATTTCTGTTAAATATTTCCAGAGTTAAAGCCCTTGTTTCATTTTGTAGAACCTTGTTAAACCCTCAAGCGATGAAAATTATAATCTGATCTGTATGAAATTGTCTTGTAAAAGCCCCAATTACCTACAAAAGAATAGATATGCACAACACTTGTCGACCGGACGATTTAGCTGCAGTGGGCGTATGTTTTGTTGCCTGGCAACCTATCTTATTAAACATACATTATGCAAGAGCAAAATCTGATTATTGCAAGTCTTAATTTAGGCATCAGATGTTATAGAAATTATAAATTAGATCTTTATTTAAACAACAAGCCCAAAATCAACTCTGTAGACCCACGGATGGCTTGGCTACAGCTCGGATTTAAATAGGATTTCACTCATTGATAAATTGAAATATGGCGCACCCTGATGAGAATACGTCAGTTAGATCGAGGCTAAATGATAGAGTGTACTTAGCGAGGCCGCTGTAGAGCGTTTCCGCATGCCATTGAAAACTTTACTTGATAATCGAGAGATGTAGGTGGAGTTAACGCCTGTCAATCTAACGATGATAACTATGTTCAGAATAAAGTAATTTGACTGAAATTTTCAATATATTCTTCTTTCATCATCTACTTTTGAACTGTTATAGCAAGAATGGCCAACTCTCTATAAAAATCTCCCATAATGTATCTTTAATTGTTAAAATATAGTTTAAAGTGAGTATGCTACAGTATACCTCATGTTTTGTTAAAAATTTACTGGTTTTCTGCAGATTACTGCTAATACCTCACCAGAGAACAATGATCATAAATATGAGAATTACATAACTATAAATAGAAACTTGTCTGTATGTGAAAGCTATCAGAACTGGTTACAATGTGTGGTGATCTATTTACATAGAAAGACTGTTTTAGATTGAGTTTAGTGTTGATGGGCAGATAATTTGGCAACAACCCATTAGCCATATTAACTGGGGCCCGTAGAATAAGAACTTACTCTATATACCTAATCAGTTATTTAGAAAATATTTACTAATTAGTGATATTGATGTCTGTGAAAAATTGTGAAGTGCTTTTTGAAAAGAAAAACTAATTATTCTCTATGTATACTAAATAATTTTTTTTTTTTACAGCCTGAGAATCTTTTATATAGTTCAAAGAAAGAAGAAGCAGCTGTTTTAAAATTAACCGATTTTGGTTTCGCAAAAGAAATTGCTGTTCAAAAATCATTACAGACACCTTGTTATACCCCATATTATGTTGGTACGTATTTTGAATACTCAGCTCAGTTCTATTAACAAGAAAAATTGTATTTTATATATTTCAATTTATTTGGACAAACGTTAAACTCCATTTCATTTCATTTCATTTATTTGGACAAAATCATTTGTAATGAAACAAAAAGAATGTGTTTTATTTCAAAATATTGTTTGATAATAAAATAAGAAAGTCAACAAAATACTAAATTTACTAGCATTATTTCTTATACATGTAGTTCCGTTTGATGTGCTTACAGTGGTTACAGATACCTTTACTTGTATCTAAAAGACTTGTGCAAGAATTTTATTTTTTTTTAGCTTTGATTATATTGTCCAAACAGGCAAGTATGATTTATGCTAATCGTTACATTTACAGTTATTTGATTAGTATTTTTAACGTTTTGATTTATTTTTCTTTCATATTTGTCTTTTTTAGCACCAGAAGTTTTAGGACCAGAAAAATATGACAAATCATGTGATATGTGGTCTTTAGGAGTTATTATGTATATTTTGTAAGTAATAATATGTCACCTCTATAGATACCAGCCAGCCATTCTTATGGTTTTAAACCAATGTTAGGCAAACATTTTGTTACCACCATCAATTTTATTAGTTTTATGCATGTATAACCAGAGCAAATTATAAAAACCTTTGCGTAGTCCCACTTGTTGTAAGCAACCACAACCTCCTCTAGCAATGTTGCTAATTGTTCTATCACTAAGCTTTAGTTGATTAGAATATTGAAACATAACATACCAGAAACAGTATATTAATGATTATTTGACTACGGCCAGTCTACAAAGGCATCTGTGTAATATAATTCAATCAGCAGATTTACTTTTCCTTTAACAGATTATGTGGATATCCACCATTTTACAGTAATCATGGAGCCCCTATATCTCCTGGAATGAAGAAACGAATCCGTAATGGCCAATATGAGTTTCCTAATCCAGAATGGAACAGAGTCTCACAAGATGGTAAAAATTAACAATATTTGTGTTAATTTAATCTGAAATAAGTAGAAATGCTCAAGTCCACTTATAAAAAGATCCATTGTAAAGTGTAAATAGAAAACAAAATTGCTAATAGATAATGCAGCAAAACTGCTTAACAAAACACCCCAAAAAACTGTATATAGGGCTGACCTTAAAAATATCTTTGTTTCACCAAACCCGACCCACAATCGAGGAGAAGGGTCGGTAGGTCGTTTTTTTTTTTCAGATTTTTTTTTAAAGTCAGAGAAATCAATACAGAAAACTTATTAGCTGTATACTACAGATTCATTAATTTTGTTTAATGAATTTGGGGTCTGACGTAAAAAGTAACGAACTGAAAGTTTTTATTAAACTTAAGAGCTAATTTGACAGCTTAATAATTTTCCGGGTGGAAACATTCGTCTTCTTTATTGGCAAACAAATCAATGACATCGGGATTTTTCGTGATGCCCGACTCGCACACGATTTGCCACGAACTTGAAGTGTGGAACTCCTTCAACACGTTTTTAACGATAGTGCGGGTTGTGCCTTCATTTTTCTCGAAAACGGATATTGAAAATATCGTCGTCATGTTTAAAACTACGCACCACAGACATAGAGGCAGAATCATTTCGTGGGAATGGACGTGTATTCGTCTGCAACCATTTTGTTGAGAAGCGACACCTATGACGCTTTCGTCTTGATCAACCAGTTTCAATAATGAATCAAACTATAGCGATAGTAAAGGGAAATAACTCTCATGATATATTTCAGGTTGACACACAAAATAAAATAAAAAGATCGTGGAAAAGTGCAATAAAATAATTTAAGTCGGGGGTGGTTTTAGTTAGTCGGTCGCGTTAGGCGAAACAAAGATATTTTTAAGGTCAGCCTGGCCAATAGAAAAAATTGAAATGTTAAAATTAAATTGTATGGCTGAAGTATAAAATAAATGTAAGTGCTAAAAATCAAGATTGTCTTTGAGTCATTGAAATAGTTTTGTGCATTAAATTGGTCTTGGAGAAGATATTCGTTTCTTGACCTATGACAAGATAAATCTGCACAACTCATTATATATTATGCAAAGTATTTTAGTGTATAACAGATTTCTTGTAATTATGTCACTGCAGAATAATTTCATGTTTTGTATCAATTTTGGGCCTGACAAGGACAGCTGTCTAGTCGTTCGGATGGATTGGAAAACCAAGGTCCCATGTACACATGAAAGATCCCTTGGCGGTTGGAATTTGATGTAAGAGTAGGCCTTAGCTCCGCCGACTGTGCAAAATTTCCCTGGTAGCACACTGCATGGCATATGCCCGTCTTCATTACCTCAGTCGGAACAGAACAGTAGGACGTTAAACCCCATTTCATTTCTGTAACAGTTTAAGTCATTTCTTTATCTTTGTTATAGCTAAAGATTTAATTCGTGGTTTATTGAAAACAGATCCCGATGAGAGAATGGATATAGATGCCGTTATTAAAACTAAATGGATATCTGTAAGTTATTCAAAGTATATTTTATTCATTTGTTCATTTCTGGCAGGCACAAAACAGACAAATAAATGAATTGTATTAAATGGTAGCTATAATCAATTTATGTGTTGTAGAATTTGTTAAATGTGAGAAATGGCGTATAGTCTTACATGTCAATATTATTTTTAAATGCCTACAATGCTGTGGGGGAGGTTTTGCCCGGCCAGCGGCACTACGGCCTACTCTTGTATCGAGTTCCAGCTGCCAAGGGATCTTTTACGTGCACGCCAATGTGTGCACGGGACCTCGGTTTTTCGTCCCATCCGAGCGACTAGACGGCTTTCCTTGTCAGCCCCTCCATCCTGCATCACTGACAAGGGAGAACCACGCCGGAAAATTTGGATGAACTTTCTCGGCCAATGCAGGGATCGAACACCCGACCTCCAGGCTAGCGAGCTAGCGTCTTACCCACTTAGCCACATGATCCCCAGGCTTTTAACTGACTCTGTATACAATCGTTAACATGTCCATAATCTTGTTGTTTATTTATGATTACATTGTCACTTTGTAAAGTGCCCCTGAACATGTTATATGAAAGGGCGGACTATAAATATGCTGTAATAATAATATTACACTCTACAGATTATTATATTTACCTTACAGTATTTTAAACATTTGTTATTTACATTAGTGAAATCACAATAGAGAATGGTTTTTTTAAGAGGCATTTAGTAACTGGGTAGAGCAATAAACTATAACACATACTTATGGAATAACAGCTGCTTATTTATTTGGGTGACATTCCGAAGAGTATTTATTTAACGTAATTGAGCTAATACAGTAAAACAGTGGTTGTTTAACGTTTTGCTTCCACTGTTTGTGAAATCGAAGACAATTCTTATTTTTTATTATCTGAACGCACACGCAGGAGTCTTTCCTGTGGCAGGAAACCAGGGTACCCGGAGTAGACCCACGAAAAACAGAAAATCTATAACAACAAATTATGAAACCATATTTGACAAGAAGAAGATCAAAGGACATGGACTCAGGGGGGTGATAAACCATTGAGAAATAGCGTAGAATAGTAACAAACTATTCTATATTGTTGATATTGTATCCATGTATTACCTTGATAACGTTGAGAGAATATTCTTTGAAACGTGGTCCAAATGAATAAGTAGCTGTTATTCAATAAGTGTGTGTTATTGTTTATTGCATTTGAGCAGCTGATCAAATTACAGCAATTTCTGATAATTTCATGGCCCTTAATCACTTTGTAGTAACAAACGTTATCATCTGATATGCTTGAAAGTTATATGCCGTGTTCAGATTAGAAACCTGTTGATTTTCAACAAATGTTTCTAATTACACGTTGATTTATTGCCCTTGAATGTGTTGTAAAATCTTATCACTATCCGACAACCTTTATGAATGGCTCCAAGCAATATGCTAATTTTAGTAAAACCCAATACATGCTGTGATGTTGTTAATAAAAAAAGGATTTGTTCTGTTTGGGTCTGAACTACGAATTATATATATATATTTTAAATGTATGTTTTATATTTGTACAGGATCTAACTTTAGTTCCACCCACTCCTTTAATGTCTGCTAGAGTATTGAGAGAAGAAGGTGATGTATGGATGGATGTACAGGTTAGTTATAATAATTATGTTTTTAGGAACAGAGTGTGGTGATTGTTCTCATTGACATTTTGAGACTAACTTGCTATAGTTTTACTTTTATACTCAAATTGGGGTGGAAAAGGAGAATGAGGTTTAATGTCTACTTGACACAGACTAGGTCATTTCAGGTGTAACCTGATTCAATTTTATTTTAATAATTCGCTGGTGCGTAGTGGTCTTTAGCAGTGGGAGGAAACCAGAGGACCTCAGAGAAAATCCACGAGATTAGACAGGCAACCCTACTGCTTGTCACGTACAAGCGGAGAATCGAAACCATGTCACTTCAGGCTTGAAAAATTCCAAATGTTCTTCATGTTTATGTCTTGATTCAGCTTAAAAGATGCGACAAAGTTATCAATTGGAAAAATTTAAACTGCAAGTAAAATAATTGTTTTATTTTTATACTCTATTAATAACGTGATTTACTATTTTTCAGGAGGAAATGACGAATGCTTTGGCTACAATGAGAGTTGATTATGATAAGTCAATAAATATCAAAAGTTTACAAGATTCTAATAATCCTATCCTAAACAAACGGCGTAAAAAAGAGACAGAAACACCAGTTTAATGGCTGCTCTTCCATTTTAAAATTTTTGTTGCCATATAGTTGTTGATTAATTGTTATTATTTTACATGATGTTGTGTTGGGCGATAAGTAGTTATAATATTTAACAACAACCATTGAATTTTCTTAAACCTCTTCAGACTAATAAAAAACCTATTGGATTTTTTGTGTATGAAGCAACAAAGCCATCACAAACTGAAAAGAAATATATCAACTTCAATCACGATATTGGAAATGAAATGAAATGGGGTTAAACGTCCTACTGTTCTGCACCAACTGGGCTAATGAAGACGTACGTAGGCTATACACTGTGCTATGACAGAAATTATGCTCGGACAGTGGCTTTACATCCTGTTAATTTCAAATTCAAAGGATCATGGGTTCTTAGTGTAGGCCAGTGTGTACACAGGACATCAGGGTTTTTTTTCTAGTTTCATTGAAATGACTAGACTTTATTCTGTAGAACAGACAAGTGAAAACCATGCCAGAAAATCCTTAGGAACTTTCTTTGCGAACACCGCGATTGAACCTGGGATTTCCTGGCTAGCAAGCCTGTGCCATTTCACTGAGTCACCGAGCCCCCCCCCCCCCTTACGACATTAAAGATATGTTTGGCATATTTGGTTACGTCAACAGAGAGGTTGAATGGGATTTTGTCGAAGTGAAAATTTCCAGATTCATGATTTACCCCTGAGGTACACATGTATACAAAGAGTCTTGTTTAATTTAGAGTCACTGTTTTTTTATATTGAGGACATCGACGTTTTGACAAAGTTCTTGCGATTTAATTAGTGAAATATTTTATATGCACTCTTTATTTGTCATGAAGTATTGCTGTTATAGCTCTTTACAAAAGACAAAATGTGACCATTTATTTGTTTTTTATCATTTCTACTTATGATATTGCCCAATGCTAACATTGTGTACCATATACAAGATTTGTTTTTTTTAACACCAACTTAGATATTAGTGATATATTTATACTGTTTTATCACTTTTAGTAGTTGAGATCAATTGATACTAAATAGTTGTTACATATTATAGAATTGATTTAATGTTAAGTTGGGAACAAAATTAATCGCTGAGTAAATGGTTATTCTAAAAGCCAGTAAATATGCCTACACGACCAACTGTGTACACTCAATGACACAGTAACAGTTTTCGATTTTTCATTCTATGCTGCTTCCATTTGAAACTGTACTATGTAGTTGCTAATTAAATTCTACTATCTATAGCATAAAAGTAAATCTAAGCTGACAAGTGTTTATAGGTGAATGAGCAGATAGGCGATGGAAAGACAATTTTTAAGTTTTCATTAAGAAGTGTTAATATTGTACTAAGGCATTAAGGTCTAAATTAAAACATTTGGCCTTTTTGTTTTGTAATTAAAGCATCATATAATTTATTCTTTCCTTCCAGTCAGTATCCAAATTAATTCCAGAAATGTTTATTTCTTAATGAGGCATTACCATCTAGGTTTTTTTTTTTGTACAAAAATGTTCGGTCATCTTCTTTTGACATTAGAGCAAGTTGCTTTTATTTTTTTTAATGAGCTATATTTTGCATTTTACAACCAATCTGCTTATGGTCCTGTGATGTACCACATTTCAGTTTCTTAAGACAGAGACTATGCTATTATGGTTATATATAGACTATATTAAAAAGGATCTGTTTAGCTAGTGCCTTTAACTATATCATATGTTAATGTAGCTGCTTTTTAATTTATATTTATTCTTTTGTTTAATTGTGTAGAAATAGAAGTCACTGACGGTTTAATTAGATAAAAGTATGTCTATTACAATCAATGTTTGTTGTTCAACACCAATTTATAGACCAAACTAGATCAAGATTGGAATAAAGTATTTATGACTGCTTGTACCAGCATTTATTGTAAAATGTATAGAATTATTAATGCATGAAGATATGCCAAAGTGGTATTAATAAGGGGTCATTAGTGTTGAATATGTGAAAAGTCTGCATTGATCTTTCAATAAGTTTTAATTTCCCTAGGTTGAAAGCAATATTTTCTAATATTTCTGGATATACTTAAACAAAAAACAAACAAAAAAACAAGCTAAAAAATGCTACTTTCTATGTTTGTCCATGAATACAAAGATGTGCTCAAAAAGGACAGATGCATAGTTTTGAATATACTAGTAATCTGTTCAACAGCATATTAAACATGTTTTTGAGATATGCAAGTAAGAATGTAAATATAAATAACATGTATATAGATATGATTTATAATGCATAATTTACTGTTAACATATAAATGATAAAAGAAATTTGATTTATTGAAGTTGAAGTTGTTTGTTTCTGGATATTTATACCTCAATGTATGAACAACATTTTGGGTGATTCAAATATTCTTAACCCTGAAGGTAATGAACATTATCAGCACTTTAACCATTGCTACATCAGACAGAAATGATGGCCAATTGATTTCATTGGTCAAGGAATTTCACTTGCCGACTAAGAAAAGTGGTAGTACGTCCAATCATTGTTATAACACACTCCTTAATATTATACATGTACCTCGTTGAACGGGCATCAAGTAAGCATTTTGGAAATGAAATCTCTAAATGACTTTGTTGAATCATCACAACATATGCAGCAGTTTCCATGCTTACCTTTAAGTTAAATTGGAATACAGACCCGGGGGAAGATAACTAAGAAACATCACTTGATCATAGTATGTGTAGCAATGGATAATGAGCTGATAATGCTCATAACCATTGCTTCAGGAATATGGTTGGTTATTGACTGCCATGGTGGATTTTTTTTATATTTTATATAGAAATTGAAATTTTATATAGAAATTGAAATTTATGTTTTATAATAAAAATTACATTATATTTGAAATGATTGTATCATGATGTATAATGAAGGTATATATACTTGGTAATGTATATCATACAAGATGAAAATAGTTGTAGTTCCTGTTATTACAACAATATTATGCCATTGTTTTTATACACCCATATTTGATGAGAAATTTTTTACATTGCCCAAAAGCCGATGTCAAACATGATAAATTCCCCTATCACAGATAGCCGGTGATTTTGTATTCCAACATCTTTTTTTACACATTTGTAAAAAATATTTTTATACACATTTAGAGATCCTAATAATTAAAAGCATCCTTCCAAAATAATTAAATATCAACAGTTTATTTGTTTATTAAATTATAAATGAGTTGTTGCAATGAAAAAAGGATGTTTTATTAAAAAATATCAAATACTATAAAATAAGAAATTAATTTCTATGTGACCATAAGTTTGTTTGATACATGTAACCCCTCTTTTTAAAATATGTGTAGAACTCCTTGTGATTAATTACAATCAAATACAATGTCATCGATATTGAAGTAATTTCAATAATATTTATGTCGCTTTTGTTTGGTCACTTTAATTTCACCCCTAGTAAAATTCTTGTTTTACATAGACTTTGATATCAAGTTATGAAAATTTTCCTGTTAAGTTTATGTCCTTTAATGATGTAATTTCAAGAAAATTCCAATATATTATCTTCTTAAATTGAGAATACAGATAGACTAATAATGTCTGTGTTATGTTATTAGAAAGATTAAAACTAATGATTTTCATCATTAATGTAATAGATGAATGAATGTTTTAAAATTCAACACTATACCAAATGTTGTACATATTTTAGCACCGTAGTTGTGTAGTTGTACACATCCTTGTATATACAATGAATAATTAAGTATAGTTTTTGTAGTTATGAACTATTGGGTAATACTAGATTGTGCTCAGACCATTATACCAATGTATAACAGTTAACTGAAAGAAAACTTTTAAAATCAGTTCTGGTAAAGTAAATTATTGTAAAACATTATCCATCGATAAATTCAATGTGAATCAGTATGGTTAATACAAAGATATCAGTAAAGCACTCCTTAATGAGAACACATTCTTGCTTTAATCATTTAATCATCACTTTACATCACATTTTATCAGAAATTATAAAAAAAGAATAGACATTGTTATTCATTGACTCAGTATTTAAACTACTGTTTTATTGGTAATGGTTTGAGCTGTAAGTACTTGTATATATTACAGAGATGCAATGAAAACTCACCACTTTTCTAAATGAATAATTGTAATTCTTCAATTAGGAATGTAACAACCATGGTTCACGATGCTAACATGTGAGAAGGATGTTTTCATGATCGAGTTATCGTAGCACAGATCATTTCTCTTAAACACAATAGGAATGTTGAAATTCACTATTTTGTGGTGCAGACATGAGGTCAGCACAACTCCACTGTTCTGTGGAAGATGCAATGTTATGCCAAGGGTGACACCAGCTATGAGAATGTGCCATTGTGTAAATTCAAGAGGGCATGAAGCAGCATTACAAGGAGAGTTGAGAAAGCTCCCACAAGCAGCCATTCAGAGGCTTATCTCCTTCATGCGGCTTTTGTGACTGCACATACATGTAGATGTTACCAACATTTGATTTTTACCCCTTGCCCCAATGTTTGATTGTAAAGTTGTTATGGCCTCCATGGGTTGTTGTGTTGGAAAATTTCCAGCCTATAATCACAATTCTACTGCATTATGTCTCGACAACACTTTTTCAGATCAGCGGTGCATTTTCATTTTGTCTATATTTAGTTGGCATTCTTCACTGTTTATTTCACTTTTAATACAATTCATATATTTCTTCTTTTACTTCAAATCCGTTTTACAAAAAAGTGTTAGTTTTTTTCCAGTTTAATGATTATTACTAATCTGGAATTAGTACTTTAATATGTTGGATCATTTTAGCTCAATAATTAACAAATGCAGTCTTATGTTAAGCATTTAGAATTTTTAGTTATTTAAAGACTCAACTGTTTCATTTTTTTACCAATTATAATATAGAAGCTCAGTATTGGATATAAATAATAATACAAAAAATATAAAATAATAACCCAATAAACAAAGTTTGTGTATATAGTTGCAATTATTTGTACCATATTTATATATCTAGTACTTATATCACTTTTTTTTGTGTATTAATGAAAAACAAATATATAGTAACATTTATATACTCCATCTTTCTTGTGTTGTTCTTACAAACATTTGGAGAACAAGAACCGGCCCCAAGTGTTCCTTATTTTGTTCTTCTTCATTGAGGGCGACGCTGGTAAAAGCCCAAGACTCGGCCAGTTAAAGTACGATTGATATGATACTTGCATGCATGTTCCTTGGACAAATGTGCACCAATTCTCAACAGACTTCAATTTTTTATATGATCTCACAATTCCAAGATGGCTGCGATGATGTCATACTCAGTACCTGGTCCATAGTATGATGGTACTTCCTTAAAGATACATTAGTTAAGAGTTTTATAAGAGTTGGCCATTCTTGCTATAATAATTCAAAAATAGATGATAAGAAAGAAAATGTTGAAAATTTCAGTCAAATTACTTTATTCTGAACAGAATTGTCACTGTTAGAAGTTTGGACTAGAAATAGGCATCAATTCTGTCTTCACCGTTTATAAGAATTGGCGATCTTTTGATTCACAAACGATAACTCCACCCACATGTTCTTGATTATCAAGTAACATGCTCAATGGCTATGGTAGTCTGGCTTGGCAGGCTTTTCATTACCAGTTTCCGGTTGTGACATCAGCTTGGTCCGCCATTTATTGATTTAATTTAAAATGGACGAGGCTGTTTAAATCCAAACCGTATCCAAGCCATCCGTGCGTCTACAGAGTTGATTTTAATCTTGTTGTGTAAATAAAGGTCTAATTAATAATTTCTATAACATCTGAAGCCTAATTAAAGATTTGCAATAGGCAGATTTATCTCTTGCATAATGTATGTTTAATGATCATAAAGTTTCAAAAATTTTTTCAGGAATTTTGATGAACGGAGGAATGGGCCCAGATTATGACAATACTCAACCACTTTGATGGTCTATAAATAGATAAGATAATAACATCATCTGAAAATAACATGAACTATGTTTTCTGCATATATTTTATTAAAGGAATAAAATAAGAAGTTTACCGCCTGTACATGATTTATAAAATAATGTTTATCATATATACAATATATATACATTTACAATATATACACAACCCTCAAAATATTATTCACTAGTGTAAGCTGATATGGATCAAATTGAAAAAAAAGATGTTCACATTTGTTTGAATGAGATGACCTTAAATTACATCAGAATGATAGATATAGACAACTGAAGGATCATTTTTGATATATTCATTTATAATCCAAATCATTAATTCAAAAACATGCCATAGACAAAAAAAAAAGCAACATGTACATGCATGATAGAACATTGGTACATGTATACAAGTACAATATCAATACATATATCAGTGTATTGGAAACCTCATTCAATAACAGTAAAATAATTTATAGTGTAAACTGCAACAGGTAACTAACTATTAAATAGTATAAGCTCAACCTCTGCATGAGGCACAGAGAAGATTTATTGTTTTCTATGTGAACCCATACACATCTGAGTAAGTTATTATTAGCCCTGTCGATGATTATATCAACAGTTATTACACACTTTATTGTATTTTGCCAGTGCATGTTCACATATCCAAACAAACAGTGTATAAAAACCCTTAAGTGGCTGGAGTTATTCCAAAACAACATCTATACAAAATAAGCTTTGTACATGTAACATGAAATATATACATAGGGATGATGTTGAAATGTGACTCCTGATCGATAGATTCTTCAAATTGTTTCTAGTCATTCCTTTGGTTGACCAACTAGTTGTCTCTTGTATTCACAAAATAATAACTCCTGAATCATTTTCATTTTAGAAGAAGGACATAAATTCCCATCAAAACACATGTTAAAGCCACTGGTATGTGAAGTCGAGTTCCTATCACAGAAGCTACAAAGAAATACACAGAATCAAATAGAAAAATGCAATTGAATTATTAAAATATATATTTGCACATTAATCAATAATAATAATAATAATAAGTAAGACTTCACTGTAAATTATTTACCCCCATCAAGAGAAAATTTATCTGGTTCTCAATAATAGATATACCGTAAGACATGTTCATAAATAATATTACCTTTATAAAACACACCAAGAAAACCTTTTTTCTCAGACAAAAACCACTGTTTGAGTCGTGGTATTCTGCTCATATATGCACATGTGCAAATAACTAACAAGCTAAACACCATTAAGCCATCAAATGAGTATGCTAGAAAAATAAAAATATAGATTGATATTTAAACACATTAGAATTGAAGAAATTGGCAGTCAATGATGCATTTAATTTATACCAGATTTAGTCAGCTTGTTCATATACTGAACACTTTCTACTGCCGACCTAGTCCAAAATGTATTACATTATAAAACAGAGTGGTTGTAAACCTGTGGCACGAGCCGCATTGAACCATTGCATGTGGCACAATGCACCTCATGATAATAATGATCTAATATAAAAATAAGTGTTACTTTCTTTAATCATCGATAACTAATATGACTCCAAACATCGACAGCTTGGTGAAAGCACAACCGAATCAGAAGTCCCAGTACAGTAAATAATGTTTCTATCTCTGTTAACATTTTTTCTTAATTTAATTTTTTGAAATCATAATTATGGGCCCATCTTAAAGTGGTATGGATAATATTTAACACACTGAAAGTAAACAATTGGCCACAGCTGCTATAGTATGTGTAAACACAAGTGTATGACCCGTATGTTAATTCTTTAAATGACATCTAGAAGTACTGCTAACTATTCAGAACAAAACAAACACAAGGTATAAAATATATACATGTATATGGACATAACTTCTCTGGGGTTTTTTATTAATGATGTACTCTGTTGAAAAATTTGACATCCATTAGCATGACAGTTCAACAATCAAACATTCCTTTGTATTCGATAGACACTGATAACTCAAATCTGTCAACTTTTTATTTTTATTCTGATTGTCCGTTATTGGTACACATGATGTATGACAGTCCATTATTCTGATGTTCTGTTAGATCATGAGTTTCATATACTATTACTAGTAAACAGAATGTAAATTAGACAGTCTGTTCTTACAATCTTCCCTTAGTATGACAGTTTGTTAGATGAGAATTGGTGATCTACTTATTTTATAGAGCGATGCTCTAAAGCATCACGGGAAGCGCGGTGCTTGAGAAAAGCTGGTTTCCGGCATCATTTTTATTATACTGCCATAAGTATCTGGGACAATTTACCGAATGATATTAAGTCTTTAGATTCACTATACAGCTTTAAAGCTGCAGCCAAGAAGTATTTATTGTCAACACAATATTAATCTGTGATAGTCCTACATGCTTGTTAATCTACTATTAATAAAATTGGTTGATGTATAGGTATATTTAAATATTTGTGATACACTGCAATGATTGGCATACTTATTATGTTTTGTCTCCTAATGATGACCTGACGTGACTATGACAACTTTGGACCCCATTGGAAATAAGCAATGGACGTTATATAACACAAGGTACAATTTTATGGATACACAATTACTGAGTTTAGTAATATGTCCAATTTAAATGCCAATCAAATTTATTATGGGCTATCCTAAGTAAAGGTCTCCTCATGACACCATACCTATCTATCATACTTCTCTATTCTCGTCTCATTTCACATCCCAAACAATCATACAATGCAGATCATAGTTTTTATAGGCAGATTTAGCTTTCGCATTATGTATGTTTAAAGGACCTAAGTCCGTAACTCAAAATCCTCCAAAATCTTCGACATCAAAAACACGAATTATTGGTCAATTTAAATCAACATTGATGATGTAAACTTACCGGGAAAAGATGAGCTTCTGATATCCGATATTTAAGATAAAATAATTTTTTTAACATTGGTACACGAATCGTGTACCATAATGCGCTTCAGCCCCAGTTGTATTGAGAGACTCGGGGGACGAGGCTAGACACTTGCACCAAATCAAATGGAGTTATGTAGACTAGAATAACTAGACGCTAGAAATTTGCACTCGATTGAGATTGCTGACTTATTTCGCCGAACATAACTGATTTGAAATTGAAGTAAAAACGGAAACCATTAAATGTAAATCAGTTTATATACATTCATAATATGTAACAGGCATTGCCTGAGTAGAGCGAAACTGATTATTGTCAAATACAAAACCTTAATAATTAATTTTCTCAAGTGATACAAAAAATGTTAAATAATTTAGTTTTTCAAAATTGATTTTTATTTAGATCTAAAGTTTATACATTAATTTTGTTTTAAAAAAAAGAACAAAAAAGTGTGAGAATTATTTTCATTGACGTAAAAAATATGTGACGTCATTGATTAGACGCATCATAGAAATAGTTCTATGAGGCGCGTAATCTCGCTTGGACGAGATTTGGTAAGTTGACATGCATATTGCCTATTTTCTCCAGTGTATCCGGTTCCGGTCTGAATTTTTTCTTAATCAACAGTCTGTGGGTGACATTTTCAATTACGCTCCTGTGTTACCGGAGCGCGGCGCTTTAGAGCTTCGCTCTATATTACAGTATTATATGCGTTGCGACCCACTTTTGTGAATTTCTAGGTCCCAAATGTTAGCGATTTAGCTCCTTTAATGTACATCTAGCATAAAAAAAAATGACATAAACTTCAAGAAGCAAAAGTAAGAACGATCTAATTTTCATTAGACACTTGCATTCCTGATTCCCTGTCCAAATCATTTTTTTTATTATGCATTTAACAAAGAAACAGAGAGAAAAGCAGATTGAACAATCATACCATTCGTCATCTTGCTGCAGAAATGTTGCACCTATTCTGTCAAAAACGAATAAATATATTTCAGAACGAAGGAACTTCTGTGTTGTTGACAAACCGGAAGTAAACATGTGGCCGGTAATTACAAAATTATGATTCCACAAATTATACGTAAAAGAAATTACAATAATATTTTCCTCTAATTTTCTTCGATAACAAATATTGAAAGATTTCTTTTGACTTAATAGTATTTGTGTAACAAATATTTTTGTTTTAAATAATATGTAATTTACTTATAATTCTCTTGGTTTTGTGATTGATTTATTTTGTACGTTGACAAATTTTAGTAACATTTACTATGACCCGGAAGTCAATAGTAAGTGACCTTAGCCGGGCACATGTGAAACTAAAATATGGTGATGCAATTTACATGCAAAAGGAATTAAGTTTTATTTCCTTATCATTTCATAATATATTCCACCACGCTTTGTCCGATCACTAAGGAAGTAATAGCGATCATACATTGAACTATTTTACTAAGAACCTATAACAGGTATGGTACATCGAAAAGTTAATTATATTATGCCATTTAATTAGCCCATTTTTATCGTTGCCTTGCCCTTATCCTTATCATTATTATTGTTGATCTAGCTACACAGAGACAGCTGCAATTTGTAAACTGAAGACCATAAAATGGAGTGTTCAATTATATTCTTTGAAGAGGTGCCGCACTGATTTAGTGGGTTAGACTTTGTCTTGCTAACCAAGAGGCCTCGTATTTGTTCCCGGTTTTAGCAGAGAAAGTTCCCCAGGATTCTCAGGTGTGGTTTACCTGGATTCTCAGGCGTGGTTTCCCATATATCATTATCTGGAAGGAATGTCTTACGCAGTAGTTAAGGAACAGGTTGTAGCGTCATTGTCTGTGCAAATTTCTCCCTTAGTACAATGTATGGCACATGCCTGTCTTCATTAGCCTTGTGACTGCACTTTGATATCTGGACTCTTCACTTATAATTCTTCAAATGGTGTATCAAGTGGTCTTCATTTATTCTAGATTGTATTTAGATGTGTTTTTATATAATGCTTTTTTGGATAATGCTTCAGATGTTTTATTTTCAGAATGACGCAACCTGTCCCAGAAAACATAAACTTCCCAGCTGAAGAAGAAAAGATTCTGAAGCTGTGGAAAGAGCTTGATGCCTTCAAGACATGCATAGCTCAATCTAAAGGAAAACCTAGGTAATAGCCAGCTGTTAATTAATAATATAATGCAATTAGTGGCAAATGCAGGATATTTGGAATACTCTTCGAGAACATTTTGAAAAATTATGGAGATTTGGTCATTTATGGTGTACATTTGTAACCGAATATACATCCAATTTCATCAGCGACAACCCCACTATACTGCAACTAACAAAATACTCAAATTTACACATTTCAGAGAATTAGAATAACAAGCGATTTTCATATACTGTTAATTAGTTTGGTGGGGAGCGGTGCCCTGTACCTGCATCCGCTACTAAGTGCTGTAAAATTAATTCTTGATTGTATTCTTGCTGTTTTCTGGATTCATTTTATTTGTCATTGTATTATTGTTGTGCAGTTATATATAATTGTCTATACATTAATAGTAAGTGCAAGGGGACTGCACCACACAAAATTTACACAAAAACAAATACACAGACAAGCCATCATACTCAGGAAAACACAAACAGACAGACAATTCAAAAAATGTGAATGGATCCGGGGGCTAGCCGTAAGTGACCACTGCGCTGTACAGTCCTGGGTCTGTAGTGACACAGACTTCACTCAAATTTGAAAACAATCAGGAATACAACCCAAAGAAACCATTGTGCAATGCTAGCATGCGTCATGATCTGCTATATGCTACACGAAATACGAATGTAAGCATATCTAGTAAAATTCAGCTATACAAGTAACCACATTGGTGAAATGTATAAAAATTAGTCTAAACATATAGGGCACATGTTCCATCCGTCACAAAAACAAAAACAAAACGGAATACAAAGAAGCAAATAGGAAATGTAGACTGTCTCGAGAGACAGCCGTCTGCTATTTTGGGAATGACGTCATATCTTAGAAGGTGATAAAAAAAATCACAATAATAAGGGTGATATAGCTTGATTATATCAATTCTCTGACTAAGTTCGATAATGAACAAATTGATTGCTGGATGCATTATCAAAAGATAAATGTGTGAATTGCAAGTAATTAATGATTATCTATTTTTTTTTCGGATTGAGGTGGGGAACATCAGCCAAACTGTTGGCTTGTTTAAATTTTGATTTAAGTTAACAGAATCTAGACTTTTTGTGTACGACATCACCCGACAGGCTCTAGACTGGAACCCCCAAGGCACGAGAAAGAGGGGAGCTCAACCACCACAAGGCGATGAACTATAGATGCTGAACTGAAGGCTTGTCATATATCATGGGGAGAAGCAAAAAAATCAGCCAAAGATTGAGACAAATGGAGAACTGTTGCTGAGGCTCTATGCCCCTTCAGGGGATAACAGGAATAATGAAATAATAATGAGACTTTTTGTGTCAAATGTTGTGAATTAGTATTAGGAAGGTTTTCCTTCCAGATATGTTTATGCCAGTTTCATTTTATTTTCAGATATTCTTTTTATGATGGTCCACCATTTGCTACAGGCTTACCACATTATGGTCATATCTTAGCTGGTACTATCAAAGATACTGTAACTAGATGGGCACATCAGAATGGCTTCCATGTTGAAAGAAGATTTGGCTGGGATTGTCATGGACTTCCTGTTGTGAGTTGATTTTGTGTGTGTTCTTCTATGCAGTGATTATTTCAATTCAATTTGAAATGAATATTTGAAACACAATATTTATGATATATTGTATAATTCATGGGCTAACAGTAGTAATATCACTTATACCAATTATTATTTTTATTATGGATAAGCAATTGAATTGATCAACAGAAAACATTTGTCTATCAATGTAGAGCTCAATCATTTTGTTTGTTTCTCAACACAATGTAAATACAAGTTAATTTGTCTTTTCTAGGAGTTTGAAATTGATAAAACCTTGGGTGTAAAAGGACCAGAAGATGTTGCAAAAATGGGAATCCGGAAATATAATGAAGAATGTCGAAAAATTGTGTCCCGATATTCTACTGAATGGGAGGTTTGTAATTGTTTTTTTGTCAGATGTTAAGCATATAGCTAAAGGTTTGTGTGTCTTTACATAATTATTTGGACATAATGCTAGCCATTTATTTGCATCATAATTCTAGAAATAACTTTCAGAAGGAAGACAAACAACATTTTCTTTATTATGAATGTCCTTTATGTATTGGCATTATCAAATGTAAAATTTACAATAACCAAAGACACCATGCATAATGCATGTATATGCTTTATATTTGTCATATGTTTCAGAAGATAACATAGCTTAGAAAGCTAGGAATTGTCTTGAATTATCAATGATTTCAGTTTGCTTTCTATTACAGGAAATTGTAACAAGAATGGGAAGATGGATAGATTTTAAAAATGATTATAAAACAATGTATCCCTGGTTTATGGAATCTGTCTGGTGGGTTTTTAAAGAGTTGTATACAAATGGTCTTGTTTATAAAGGTTATAAGGTATGATTGTGTAATTAAAGTCAGCTAATACAATTAAATAATACAATATTTCTCTCACCTATTTATATTATTCCTGGATTGGTAATTATGGCAATTATTGATATATCATATTTAATAAATTGAAAGCAATAAATTTAAAATAAAAGTATAGCGCACCATACAATTGTACCTAAATGACCTAGTTAGTGTTAAGTAGATGTTAAAACCTAGTTCTCTCGACCTTCTGTATTATTTCTGTATCATTATTTGACTAGAAATTAGAACCCTGCTTATCGATCTGAGTCTCATATTCTGATTCTTTAGATTGAAGACTTTGCTTTCCTTGACAAAGAATATTCCCTCGGAACTAGTGATATGCACTATATACCATGATGCATATTTTATCTGGATTTATTTATTTCAGGTTATGCCCTATTCTACAGCCTGTAACACACCATTATCAAACTTTGAATCAGGACAGAATTATAAAGATGTTGTTGATCCAGCTGGTGAATATACCTTTTGTTTTAATTTGAACTATTTTCACAAAAAGAATAAGACTTTTATTAATAATAATAAATTATTTCAATGCTTATATTAGGTCAGAAGATTATTATTATATAGTTGATAAATGCATCATATAAACTCTGGTTTTAGAATCACTTTTGGGGGATAAAAGGAGTAAGTGGTTCTACCCCTTTTTTATTTGAAGACACAATGTAACAAAATCTAACAGACATTTTCCTTGACAAAATAAGGGTCCAATAGTATTCTTTATGTTGTATCTTCGGCGATAAAATTCTTGACCTCAATTTTTGTGATTAGAAATATGTTATTATTATGCATTGATAGACAATTACCAAGAAAAAAGATGACAGAGTGAAAATATATGAATAGAAATCAATGTGTATGATCGAAAAGTCTATATTTGTCTTTTATCCTGCAATATTGGGCCTTTAATTCCATGGTAGGATGTTGGCTCACTAACCTGGATAACCCGTGTTCGATCCCTGCTTTTCTGAAGTGTTTAACTCTTGTCAGTGGTGTAGGACAGAGGGCCTGACAAAGGACAGTGTATAATCGTTTGGACGGGACGAAAAACCGAGGTCCCATGTACACATTGGCGTGCATGTAAAGAACCCTTGACAGATTGAATTCGATATAAGAGTAGGCCACAGTGCCGCTGTCGGGGCAAACTTTCACTCATAGCACACTGCATGGTGTATGCCCGTCTTCATTAACATAGTAAGAGCAGAACAGTAGGAAGTTAACCCAATTTCATTTCATTTATTTGTCTATGGCAGTATATTTCACATCTAGACAAAATTTATTGTATTGCAGTATATGTGAGTCTACCACTTGATGAAGATCCTAATACATCAATGATAGCATGGACCACAACACCCTGGACATTACCCAGTAATCTCTCACTCTGTGTTAATCCAGATATGGATTATGTCAAGGTTAAAGGTAAGTTAAATCATTTCAAGATAATATGATTTATGTGTTTTGTGCATGGGTTGGCCTGTGTTTCTATTGTGACAAGCGCTGACAGATTTGGCTCACTTATATACTCGATTTGTCACAAACATTTAGAAACCTACCACTGGACTGATAAACACAAGCCTATTTGCTGAAATTGATATGACTGAATTTGTATGGGCTTTACCCTATTTCAGCTACAATTAACATCACCAGGAAGTTAGAGATTCCAAATTATCACAATTTGCCATGAAGCTTTGGTATACCATTTTGATAACTTGGGAAAGGGCAATATTTAAAAAAATAAATATTTATTGATACCGGTATTCATTTACTAACATAAAAATAAACATCAATAATTAATGAACTATTATCAATTATCGATAATTTTTCAAATTGGTGCCATCAACTATATCAGTATACAAATTTAATATGGATAGCCCACATTATAGATAACTTTATTTTGTTTTTATATTTTTCTATAGATAATAATACAAATAAACAATATATCATGATGGAAGCTAGATTATCAGCTTTATTTAAACAACCAGATGAATATACAGTACTGTCTAAGTAAGTATTGTCGTAGATACAAATGATTGATATAATCTCTCGAACTTGTCGTTTTACTCTGAAAGACACCATTGCCTCTCTGTTTTAAATTAGAAATCTACATACACATAGATTGGCACTTTATAGTGGACGATATTGTAAAGTTTTCTGCTGTAATTAAAATTTCAGATAATATCTTATCTTAAAGGAGCTAAATCGCTAACATTTGGGACCTAGAAATTGACAAAAGAAGGTCGCAACGCATATAATACTGTAATATGAATGTATATAAACTGATTTACATTCAGTGGTTTCCGTTTTTACTCCCATTTCAAATCAGTTATGTTCGACGAAATAAGCCAGCAGTCTCAAGTGAGTGCAAATTTCTAGCATCTGGTTATTCCAGTCTACATACGCCGTTTCATTTCGTGCGATGTGTCTAGCCTCGTCCCTCGAGTCTCTTGATACAACTGGGTCTGAAGTGCATTATGGTACACGATTCGTGTACCAATGGTAAAATGTTTATTGTGTCTTAAATATTGGATATCAAAAGCCCATCTTTTTCTGGTAAGATCACAACATGAATGTTGATTTAATTTGACAAATAAATCGTGTTTTCAATGTTGAAGAGTTTGGATGATATTGAGTTAGAGACTTAGCAACTTTAAATTAGAAATCTACATACACATAAATTGGCACTTTATAGTGGACCACATTGTAAAGTTTTCTGCTGTAATTAAAATTTTAGATAGTATCTTAGTTTTGAGTCTGCCACTTCAGCTTGTATCTCCCAATGATTCAGATTTTTAAGAGCTTCAAAGTTTTCGAAATTATTGAGATGTGAATTATTTCAGATATATTGAAAATTAGATATTGTATTAAAACTGTTAATTGTATAATTTTATTTAATAATAGATTTAAAGGTAAAACATTAGAAGGTAAAACATATGAACCACTCTTTACATACTTTCAAGAGGTAAGATTTCTTAATTCACAATATATCAATTTAAAGATGCATTATGTAAGAGTTAAATCTGCCTATTGCAGGTCTATGGCTTTAATAATTTGGCTTCTAATTTTATAGAAACTATATTTTTTTGATTTAACAACACAACAAGGCTATAATCAACAATGCTCTAGAATAAAACAATCTTCTCTACAACTTCAAACACACATAACTTTGCTCAGAATAAAGTAATTTGAGTGTAATTTTTAATATATTCATTATCTATTTTAAAACTATTATAGCAAGGACGGTCAGCTCTTTATCTAAATCTTACATAATGCATCTTTAATACTACATTTTTCAACAGTAAAATGTACACATAGAATACGCTTTTTTACAGGACCAATATCAATAAAAATGTTTTCCATCTCTTTCAATGTCAAAATGTTTGATGTCCTTGTTGAAACAGATACTGTAAATAGCCGATTTTGGATGACATGTTGCTAACTGTCTGACATCCATACATCTCATTTACTGACCCCAGATCCTGTCTTTTCAATTTGGAAAACCCCAAAAATAAATGAAAATTTGAAAAATGGGATAGGGCTACTCAAATTTGTTGTTCGTGAAATTACCCAGCATTTGATTTTATGATTATGATTTTATGAATTGCAAAACAGACGTTAAAAATGTAATTAAAACTAATTTCAGATGAAGAAGACAAATAGTGCGTTTCGTATTTTAACTGATAATTATGTAACAGCAGATAGTGGTACTGGTGTTGTACATCAAGCTCCTTATTTTGGAGAGGTAAATATTTAATTCATGAAATACGGATACAGATAAAAGTTATTGTAGTAAGGAATTATCAAGACACTTATTGAACACTGAAATTCCTTTAATGGGTTACATAATTATTACCCCATTCAGCAAATCTTGCAATCATTCCCAAAAAACTGAATGTATTTAATTAAAAATTTCAGACAAGGTAATTAGGCTATTTCTTCATATTTTTTCATTCCATTTGCTTAATTAACCCTTTAGCTCTTGGTACATATAATATTGACTACATCAGTTCCTTGAAGAATATTAAAGAAAAGTGATATATTTCATATCGGTATATCCATGGACAGCCTGAAACCACCCAAAACTACTGTTTCTTAGACCTGGTTTGGAGAGGGTTAAGTGCTTAAGAGCCATTCCACGAGAAAACCATGCAGAAGGTTCGAAGGTGGGGGTCGGCCGATTGAGTTCATATTTACAGGGTTTGGTCGACCCATCGAGCCTACTCCCCAGCCAAAATCGTCGATTTTAGAAATCAACCGTTTCTGAGATACAGCCCGATTATGTTTTTCGGCTAATTTTCGTCATTTTCCGGTTAAATTTCGACCATTTTTGTAGCATTGCGGTTGCCATGCAAGATACGCCCACATTTTGCAAGAGATGGACAGAGAACAATCAAAATAAAAAGCGATTTTTCGTACAACCAGGGGCCATCATCCAGTATGTTACAGACCGACATGCGACAATATCAAAAGGAACCAAGGTCTTTGGGATATAAAAGTATATATGAAAGTTTGATCAAGTTGAATAAAATTGTGACATTAAGAGGGACTACAGGCTAAAAAAATGTGATTTTTCATATATTCAGGGGTCATAACTCAGGAAGTTACGGTGTGTTATGAGCAAATATAGAATGGAACCGAGATCATTGCAATGTAAACATACATTTTAAGTTTTATCAAAATCGGATAACAAATTGTGTTCTCTAGAGTGTCCACAATCTTGGAATTACATATTTTTACACTATTTGCATATGAGGAGCGGCCATTTTGTCCGACAGTTTCGGTCCGATTTTCAAGAAATTCGAACTACTTAGTCGTCATTCAGGCGTAACGGTGATATATTGAAACGGTTTTTATAATCGGATAAAAATTATGACATCTAGAAGAACTTCAAGCTAAAAACATGATTTTTCGTAAAAATCAGGGGTCATATTGCACGAAGTTACGGTGAGATATGCGCCAATATCGACAGGGACCGAGATCTTTGGGATCTAAACATATATTTCAAATCATACAAAAATTGTGACCTCAGAAAGGAACTGAGATCTTTGGGTTATAAACATAGTTACCTTTTAAGTTTCATCAAAATCGGATAAAAATTGTGACATACACTGCCCACAGGCTAAAAACATGATTTTTCGTCAACTCAGGGGCCATAGTCCACGAAGTTACGATCCGATGCATGCCAATATCGAAAGTAAGCGAGATCTTAGGGACATAAACCTATATTTCAAGTTTTGTTGAAAGTGGATAAAAATTGTGAGCTGTAGAGTGTCCATAAACAAATTGTGGACGGACGGGCGGACAGGGGCGACGACAACATACGTCCACATGAAAATATGGACGGACAGGGACGACGAAAATATATGCCCACACGAAAATGTAGGCGTACACAAGTAGCGAGGTGTTCATATTTTTATTACGTGCGGATTTGAATATTTTGTCAACATTTTATAAAGAAGAAAACGTTGTTCTGACATCACAAACTATTCTTATTTCGGAAGTTCTTCATTCATTTGCTGTCGTATAAACGAAGACACGTTATTTTGAAGGAATATTACTGCTGTAAATTTGAAGCCGAAGCAGGATCGACAAGCTTTCATTCAATCAATGTATTACGAAAACACGTAATATAAATAACATAAATTTGAATACCATACGGGAATTAAATAGAATGAATGGAATGAAATGGGCTAATGAAGACGGGAGAATTAAATATAAATAATATCGAGGCGCACCTATTGTTATTACGTACGGGATTTGAATATTTTGTTGACACGTGATTTTTAATTGTGGTATGAATCCGTCTGCTTAAATAACGATAAGAGTTATGCCCCTTTACTTTCGGTAAAATGTCCGACAAGAAAATTTTTGAAATCCCAACTCTAAACTCATTTGTTTTTCGATACTTTCGAATGAGATATGGTTTGTTGATAGAGCAACGTGTGAACTTCAAATTGTATCCCTGTTGACCTCGCGATTGAAGGTCACGGCCAAGGTCAAATAGGCGATTTTCATGGAAATTGGGTCTGTTTTGCATAATTGTCGACTTTCATCATTTGAATTGAAATTTCTCATTTTTCATAGAAAAATAAATGTTTCAATAATCACGATCAACATTTTAGATCGAGAATTTGCGAAAATCTATATTCACTGGGAGGCGCCATCTTGGATTTATAGACTGGATACCAAACCGCATCGAGACTGAATATTTTGGCAAAGCGGGTTGAAGGGGAGCTGAAGTTGATATATTGACCCTTTGAATAACAACATAGGCGATTGGTTACCTGAATAATCAGCCGATGTATCCCAATAAAAACTGAAATTTTTGCTAACTTTCGACACGAATTTTCATACTGTTGCAAGTTAGCTGACAAAGATTTTATTTCTTATGTTGTTAGAACTGGCCAAGCTGCAAATAAATTGATTTTAATTTTTATCGCAAACCCTGCTCCAGTGGAGTTATCGAGATCTGAAGATAGGGTACATTTCAGGTATCTCGAGACATGTGTCTTGTGTTGTCTCCTGACACCTATGGAAAATAAACTTGAACCGGGTTACCATGATAATGTGATCGGGTAAGACCCCGACTATCACGAACAACCAAAACCTAGTTCGCCAGGGTCTTGTAACAGCCGTAGTAGTGCGACAAAAATAGCTAAAATTTCGCCTAAAAATGGCAAAAATCAGCCGAAAAACGTAATCGGCCAGTATCTCGGAAACGGTTGATTTCTGAAATCGGCGATTTTGGCTGGGGAGTAGGCTCGATGGGTCTACCAAACCCTATGAATATGAACTAAAACGGCCGACCCCCACCTTCGAACATCTGCATGATATTGCATGGTTTTCTCGTGGAATGACTCTTAAGCCTTAAACTCTCATTTATCAACAAATATGTAGAGCAATATGGAACTGCTCCTTTTAAATGTGAATTTATGTACCATTTTGAGTTAATATTAATTAACTGCTTTAATATTAGAGAACTGCTTTTGGGAAGATTTGAAAAAAAAAAACCCAATATGCTAATTTAGTTTAATTTATTTGATGTATATAGGATGATCAACGTGTGTGTTTAAAGTATGGAATTATAACAAAAGCTATGAAGATAGTTTGTCCTGTAGATGCTAGTGGTAGATTTACTGAAGAAGTTACACATTTTAAAGGCTTACATGTGAAGGTAAGAGTACATGAATTAAACTTTTCTGAAAATCTCAAAAGTAGGAGGATTCAGTGAATTGAACTAGTGGTCTAAATCAGTTTGGTGTAGTTTCCAGGTATTTTATCGTTATATTGGTGAATTTGATCCCATTCTATGTGACATGTTGTAGATCTCCTTTCCAAACATATGGATTTAGCTTTATACACAGTATTTATCTTCATGAAAAAAAGCATTCTTATTATTGTTGTCAGTGTTATTGATCTTTTAAGATGACTTAACTTGTGCACCTATAATTATTGACATTAAATTTATAAGTGTTTTTGATGTAATTGTCAGGAAGAAGCCTATTAAGCTTTCTGATAATTCATGCGTAATTGCCTGCTGTCACTTAATAGTATCGTGTAAATGCTCTATAAAACAATCAGACAGAACGATCTTTCCCCCAAGAATTAGGAAATATTTCTGTAATAGTCTACAACATAAAAGTTCATTTAATGGCTAACAGATATTATAATGGTAGACTATGTTTTGTTTGTTTTTGTCTAGGATGCTGATAAACATATAATAAAACATCTAAAAGAAACTGGACGAATGGTACACGCTTCAACTATAAATCATAATTATCCATTCTGTTGGAGGTAAATTAAATATTATATTCTGTACAATTATAATAGTGAATTGATTATTGTAATATTAGCCTTTATTACACTTCGTTTTATCATAAGCCCTCTTAATTTATACATATAATGTCGTCATCTTCATCTGATATAAACAGAACTATTCCGTGCAGAATGTTGTGAAGATAGAATTTTTTTCTTTTACAATGTACTGTAAAAAATCAGAAAAAAATAAAGAAAATTATTTATCATCTGATTTGATTTACAGAGAAAAAGTAATCAGTGGTAGACTGTATTTTATACACATAAAAAAAGCAACAATTGGTTCTTAGTTTGTTTTGTATGATGATAACCAGGAGAAAAGCTATTTTAATGTTGTGTATTTATGTTTATATTTATGTATAATTATTAGATCTGAAACACCATTAATCTATAAAGCTGTACCCAGTTGGTTTATACGAGTAGAACAAGCTGTAGATAAATTATTAGATAATAATGACAAGTCTTACTGGTTAGTATTCATCACTTTTTTTTTAAAATTTTCATCTCCTGCCTTTCAGCAAATTTGTCTCTTAAATTGGGTCTTTATGCCCTTTCATCCTTCTGTCAAACTCTCTGAAACACTGTAATTTTACTTTGCTTGACTGGATTTTGATAAAACTTTGAATATACCTAACTGTGAACATTTGTGTAATCCATTCATTTTTAATTAGCCTACTGTAATTTAATTGGTTCATCCATAGAACTGCGATAATTTGACTTCTAACAAGTAGATTTTAATAGATTTTTGTACATGTATGTACAATTTGATTCATTATATTTTGGCATTCATTTATAACTGAATGTCAAGTGAAAAGACATAAAATAGAATTAATTTATTGTGTTTTAAATAAATTTTATTATGCTTTATAAAAGACTAGATGACTACTAACTTCCCTTCTAAATTCAAAGTTTAAGTTGTTAATGTTTGATACATTGACCGATTGATTTATATTTTTGCAGGGTTCCAGATTTTGTGAAAGAAAAGAGGTTTGCGAATTGGTTAAAAAATGCCCGTGATTGGGCTGTCTCTAGAAATAGATATTGGGGAACTCCCATTCCATTATGGGTCAGTGATGATGGGGAAGAGGTGAGAGCAATATTAAGTATTTTTAGGGGTATTTAAGTCGATTCTTTCTCTGCAGAAGTCAGGACTTTGTTTCATACTACGCATCAAATTATGGATGAAGCTAATTCTTTAAGGATTTTTTAGTTGAGTCCTTTCAAATTAACTTACGTTTTATGTGCCTAATATCTGTTAAGTTCAACAAACTGCCAGATTAAAAGTCATCTCATGTATGCTAGAAAAATTGTTAAATGTGCTTTAAAATACGTATTTGACGTCATCGTTTGATGTTGGTGTACTATTATTTCAAATAGATATTGGACTCGTCTGAAAATTTCATTGAAATACACATGCGGGATAGTGTCTGTATTTCAAGTTGTATAATGGTCTTGTGCAAGACATTGAGTAATATATAGATACAGCCCTTGGACTGTCGTCCTCTTGCAATATCAATATATTACTTAAACATGCATTATACAAGAGCTAAATCTGTCTATTGAAGGTCTTTCTTTAGACCAAATTGTTATCTAAATTATTAATTAGACATTAATTAACTTATCCAGATCATAATCAACTCTTGATGCCATCGTTAGCCTGCGATATTTAGTGGATTTGAATCCATTTTGTGATGGATAATTTAAGGTAAAAATAGATAATCGAGACTTTGTTTATTATCGTACCAGCGTTATTAATGACGATCGCAGCTAGCCTAATATTGAATCACTAATATCTCGATTCAGAGTGAAGCAATTTAAAATTTTCAGCATATTCTGTTTTCATTATCTATTTTTTATATGCCCACATTTTCATGTGAACGTATATTGCCGTCGCCCCTGCCCCTGATTGTACGAAAAATCACGTTTTGAGCTTGAGGTCCCTCTACAGGTCACAATTATTATCAGATTTAATAAAAACGTTTGAATATATCACCTTTACATCCTAAGAATGGTTGAGACAAAATGGCCGCCCCTCGTGCTCAAATAGCGTAAAAATATGGTATATCAAGGTTGTGGACCCTCTAGAGGTAACAATTTTCTTCTGATTTTGATGAAACTTGAAATGTAAGTTTATAACCCAAAGGTCTTGGTTCCTTTCGATATTTGCGCATATCAGATCGTAACTTCCTGAATTATGGGCCCTTATTGTACGAAAAATCGCTTTTTGTTTAGCATGTTCTCTATCCATCTCTTGCAAAATGTGGGCGTATCTTGCCTGGCAGCTGCTGGTTAACTATTATAGCGAGAACTATCAGCTCTTTATCTAATTTTACCTGATGCCCCTTTAATTTCTTTCCCTTGACCATTAAACCAGACTTAATGTTATAATTGTAGTTGGTGTGTATTGGTTCAATAGAAGAATTAAACAAATTAACTGGTGCTGACATTAAAGATCTACATAGAGAGAAGTAAGTTGTCTTAGGTTAAGGTAGTATGTATGTTTAAAGCCTTAACATGCCAGAAGGCTTATACTGATTTTCTGAATTGAAAATAAGGGCTAAACCGTGTTTTTAAGAAAGTAATTTAGTTTATTAAATAAAAAAACCAAAACAGCTTAGATGCCAACTTGACCTTGATGTTCATGGATTGAAACATGATATTCTGTCCTAGCTTACTGACATTCTAAGATAGAAGACGTTGAGGTCATGAAATATTGGTAATTTTTTTTGATCATTATGCTTTTTGAGAAAGACTACCTTTTAATCTGAATCGACTGAAGTCTGTATTTGCGATGGAGTCTAGAATATTGTTCCTTCAATGGAAGTTTAAGAGATTGCCCACCTTATGTTTGTTCCTTAACTTAAGCTAATCAAGGAAATAATGTTTCTTAAGATATTAATATTATGAATTTGTATCGATATATTATTTCAGCATAGATCACCTGACTATTCCATCTAAAATGGGTAAAGGAGTTTTACGAAGAGTCCCAGAAGTATTTGACTGCTGGTTTGAATCTGGTAGTATGCCGTATGCACAAGCTCACTATCCTTTTGAACATAAGAAAGAGTTTGAAGACACTTTTCCCGCTGATTTTATAGCAGAAGGCATAGATCAAACTAGAGGATGGTAGGTCATATTTTGCTTTGGGTTAAACAAAAAAAAATACTGATTGATTTCATTAAATTTTGTATGTTGATGTGTTTTGTGGGCTTACAATATGTCATCGTTAAAAATATTAAGTCTACAGATAAAGTCAGTGTTGAGACACAGATTTTGTGTTCCACTGTCGAAACAGTAAGCCAAAAAGGAAACTAAAAACAACTAGTCGTATAGAGCTTGCTACATGACTAATTGAAATAACACATTAGATTAACCCAATTTAATACTCTATTTTCCCCTGAATCCAAGAGGTTTATCTTTGAAGCAAAGAAACTTTGTGAAGGTCCATTTCTGTCATTTCACATAATCTGTACTAGATTGTCTAGGCTACACAGTCATAACAGCAATTGGTTGTACTAGAAGTAAACCTTAAACTAACAGAACCGCTCACAGGAGAAATTATATTTAAGGTGTATTCATGTCAACATGGCATTCACACCAACATGGCATTCATAGTGATTTTCAGTGAAATAGCTAGAAATGTTAGATTTACTTGGGCTACATATATATATGAATATTGACTTTGATCTATCAAATGTTATGACTGATGTTATTATTTGTTTAAATGTAGTCATTTTGTTTTTACAGGTTTTATACATTGTTAGTTTTATCAACACTGTTGTTTGGTAAACCTCCATTTAAAAATCTTATTGTCAACGGTCTTATACTTGCCAAGTAAGTCTCGTTAATGTAGTATCTTCACTGAAGACATAAGTTAGTCACAGGCTATCTCTAATAGGGTATAAATATGAAGAATGTGGCGATCCTTTGTGACTAAATCTTATGAAATTGTATAGCCAATCGTTGTGAAAGTTCTTAAGTGTGAATCCATTTCGATTTTACATGGTTCAAATATTAACCAACGTGACATTGTCTCAGTGAAAAGCCCAATTATTTGTATCGTATCATTTCTACTTGCATATCAGTCTTCTAAATGATGTGATTGGCTTTTTATACAATCGCATCCGCACAATCTCACGTCAACCTGATGAGTTGGAACTGAACGAAACTAGTCGCTTTATGAGAGAAATCTGGGACGGCTACTCGCCACTCAAAGATTTTTAATTTTAGCTCAAAAGATGGGTCAAGGCACTTCTGAACTATTGGTGGAAATGCTCTGACCAGGGTTTTATCTAGATTAGCATTAATTTCATTTAATGGTATATCTTGCTGATTGTGTAGTCTCCATTAGTTAATGTCTTATATTGAGACTGGAATGAGAGATTTCAGTGGAAACAACATTTATTGGTTCTTGTAGCCAGGGAATCGCCTTGTAATAACTGGATGCAACCTATTAGTTTCAGTTATTTTGATATGATATAATAGTTAGATTAAATGCCATACTTGCAGAGTTAGTTTGTAATAATTTGATTACGATATATAAATGATTTACTTGTAATTATAAACATTAAAGCATATATCTTTTTATTCAGAGATGGGAATAAAATGAGTAAAAGTAAGAAGAATTTTCCTCCTGTAACCGATATTGTCTCTCAATTTGGAGCCGATGCTTTAAGGTAAAATATATAACATACAATATTAAAAGTATTGTTCATGGATTTAAAGATACATTCCCGCGTACAAACTGGGTGATTTGATGATATATTTGGACTAAAAACATATTCAAACTAATTAATTTATCATAATTTTGCTTGAAATCCTTCTCAAACATTGTAATTGTTAGGGAATAAAAAAATCGATCAAAAGAGGTCACATTTGTGTCACGTGACTTACCTCTCTCTGTACCTAGCAACGGGTGCAAAGCCGGAGGAGAATTCATTGCATATACAAGATGATGTTGTCTTTAATCGCTGACTATTTACTACAAATAGCGAAGTCAAATGAATTCTCAGATTATCCACTGCTCAAGTTTTTTCCAGTGGTTTTTAACTCAGAAACTGTTGCACCATCAAGTTTATCAACATATACATCAAGTGCTCACTAACACTGGGAGATTAGGTAAACCCTTACATTTTTGCCCTGTATGCACTCCATGGGTGTTTTTCATGGAATCCAGTACTTTTCTAGTACGATTGGATGTTTCTATTTTCCATATGTACCAAAATTTCCATACATTTATTGGAAATAAACACCTGATAAATACTTTTGTGGGAAATTATCTTTAATGCAAGTTAAAGAAAGGTGTAATGTGGATGGTACATTTGATTAATTAGGGATCTTTATCAGTTGTAGACAGTGGTTGTTATGACATTAGACTCATAACCAGAATGTTCCAGATTTGAATCTTAGCGGGGAACCGTTGGTGGCTCAGCGAGTAAGATGGTAGCTTGATAACCTGGAGGTGTTGACTGAGAAGGTTCATCAAAATTTTCCAGCGTGGTTCTTCCTTGTCAGTGGGCCTGGCAAGGAACAATGTATAAATGTTTTAATGTGACGAATAACTGTATTCAGAGCAGAACAGTAGGACGTAAAACCACATTTCATTTCTTCAAATCTCGGGATAGAGTGAGAAGAATCTTCTGGATTTTTCAAACCCATACCCACTCGGCAGGGTTTGCGTCTGTAGGCTCACAAAGAAGATGTGTCTAGTTCTTCGGATAGGATGGACAACTGAGGTCCTGCATATGGTGATTGTGTTTTATTTGATGCTGGTGTTGTTTTAGATTATATTTGATATTGTCTCAGGTTATATTGTTTTAGATTATATTTGATGCTGATATTGTTTTAGATTATATTTGATGCTGATATTGTTTTAGGTTGTATTTGATCAATTCACCTGCTGTTCGAGCTGATTCATTAAGATTTAAAGAAGAAGGTGTTAGAGATGTATTAAAGGAAGTGTTTTTACCATGGTATAATGCCTACAGGTTTTTAATGCAGAATGTGGACAAGTTAAATAGAGTAAGTACAATAGTTATTCAGTTTCTTTACACTGCTATTGTAGGATGTGATTAGATTTTTTGTTTATTGTCACTTGAAGTTGCTGATCTTCAATTTAGAGATTTTAAATCCCATGTAAACTACAATATTGTGAAAATTGATTCTCTAAGATGAATATCAGTCCAAAAATGGTTCAATTACGTTCAGTATTTACAAAGATACGAGAGACATGGAGGGGGAATGGCATCACTGATCACTCCCTTAAAAAATATCAGTGGTTAGACAGATGGTTAGATCTGTGTATCTGCTAGATCAAAAGCTGATGCAGGTAGAGAGAACAATAGATAATTCAACAATTTCTGCACAACAGACGTGTTGCATGAACTTAGTTACTAGAGTACTACTGTTGAACAAGGATATTTGATTATCTATTTACAAAAATATGATCAATCGAAAATGTTAAAATATTTGGAATCTTCTGCAGAGAATATAAACGAGCCAGCAAACTGTATTCGGTAAAATTTTAAGCCAATATGATATTATATGAGAGTAAGCCAGTAATTATTGATATATTTTAAACAGGAAGAAGGTATAAAGATATGTTATAATGAGAATACTGTACAAATATCTACTAATTATATGGATAGATGGATTTTATCTTTTACACAATCACTGGTTAAATTTGTTAAAGTAGAAATGGCCGGTAAGTAACCTATGTTTCTGTATATTTTTTTTTTATATGTTATACTCTTTTATATACTTATGGCTTTTTTCACCCCTAAAATATAATAGATAAAAAGCTTATAATTTCTAATAAAGCAAAATAAAGTCTGGACATTTTAATTAAGTTTTGATATTGTTTTAAAACTGTTTGTTGTTAGCATATTTCAAACAATGACATGCAGTCGAATTCATGTTGGTGTTATTTGAAAAAAGGGACATAAAAAAATAATACAGTTGTTCTGCTGGACAAAGGTACCAACAAAATTTGACAGCATCATTGTTAAATTAGATGCAGGAAATGATGGCATTATGATGTATTATTTATTACAGCATATCGACTGTATACTGTAACTCCACGATTAGTAAGATTTGTTGAACAGCTCACTAACTGGTATGTTAGAATGAACAGAAAAAGATTAAAGGTACTTATCGTTTAATTAATATTTTTGGTGTATTAAAATTGACTCATGGTGTCTAGTTTTAACTTACTGTTGCCTTTATAAGCTTTTGGTATCCAGATCTCTCCTTGAAAAAGTAAAAGTTAAGAAGCTACAGTCGCAATGATATAACTTGTATAGCCAGTAAAATCACCCATAAAATCAAATTTACGTGTATATCAATTTTTTTGGTCTTGTTTACTCGATTGACAACTTTGAGAGATTGAGATAATTCAATTCCATAAATATCTCCATATTTTATTTGATATACTTGTGTTTTTGTAGGGAGATGGTGGTGTTGAAGATTGTCAGAATGCTTTGGAAACTTTTTACAGTGTATTGATGACTATGACTAAAGTTATGGTAAATATAATATAATAATTAATATGCTTCAGATAAAACAGTCAATTTACTAGTATTAATTTTATGAATTGTTTATATCAGCTTTATAAATTACTACTATCAGTTTTATGAATTATTTGTATTAGTTTTGTGAATTATTGGTATTAGTTTTATGGATTACTAGTATTAGATTTATGAAATACTAGTATTAGTTCAGGCATTACTATTGGTTTTATGAATTACTAGTATTAGTCTATGAATTACCAGTATTAGTTTTATGAATAATTGATTTATTATAGCCATATGGTTATGGTTAGATTTGTGTTCATTTATTATATATTTATCTAAATATCATTAGATATAATTGTTATGAATGAATATAAATTATAATATTTGTTTGAAAACGTATTTCTGTAGGCACCATTCACACCATTCCTGACAGAACATATGTACCAGAACTTAAGAACGTTATTAGAAACAGTTCCTAATGATAAAAAAACTGATAACAGAAGTGTTCACTTTCTGATGATCCCCCAACCCAGGTAAATCGTAAATACTTCTTGTGAACAAGACAAACCTAACATATTTTTTTATATAAAATAAGCTTCTCGGAAATAAAAGTAATAAATTTGGCAGTGTTAGATCTAAGAGATGAAATAAACTTTTTTTTCTTTTTTAGAGAATCATTGATTGATGAAAAGATAGAGGGAGCTGTATCTAAGATGCAGACTGTTATAGAATTAGGTCGTGTTGTAAGAGACAGAAAAACATTACCAGTCAAGGTACATTCTTGTTTTGACTTCCAAGAAAAATGTTTAGACTGCTTAAATTTGGGTCAAAAATGAAATTTTCTATTTCATTGGATTTTGGTATGTTGATTTGTTTTATCGAATGACAGATGGAAAAAAAGATTTGAAATCCCAAGACAATAAGATAAACCTGTATTCCATTTCTAAAAACTGTGGGCCATGGCCGATCAAATTTGAATCCTGGTATTGGCCAGAAAGAGCCTACAGGATTTTTCAGTCTTGGCCTTCACTAGTCCAGGGGCGGTGCTTGCAAGGCTGTCAAATTCTTGACAGAATTGACAAAGGGTAACTATTATGTTTCTATTTTTTTTTAGATCTTAAATCTTTCTTCTAATGTTACTGAAACATGAATGTTTTTATATTGATAGTACCCGTTGAAAGAAATTGTTGCCATTCATCAAGATCCTAAAGCAGTTGAAGATATTAAATCATTGGAATCGTATATTATAGAGGTAAGATTGGGTCCAAATTCTGCTTTTTCTATTGACAAATATTGGAATTCTCCTCATTAACTTACCTTAAAGGGGCTAAGTCTCTAACTCAATATCATCCAAAATCTTCAACATTGAAAACACGATTTATTTGTCAAATTAAATCAACATTCATGTTGTGATCTTGCCGGAAAAAGATGGGCTTTTGATATCCAATATTTAAGACAAAATAAACATTTTACCATTGGTACACGAATCGTGTACCATAATGCGCTTCAGCCCCAGTTGTATCAAGAGACTCGAGGGACGAGGCTAGACACATTGCACCAAATCAAACGGCGTATGTAGACTGGAATAACCAGACGCTAGAAATTTGCACTCGCTTGAAACTGATTTGAAATTGGACTAAAAACGGAAACCATTGAATGTAAATCAGTTTATATACATTCATATTACAGTATTATATGCGTTGCGACCCACTTTTGTCAATTTCTAGGTCCAAAATGTTAGCGATTTAGCTCCTTTAACAGTAAATTAATAAAATTCCTAAAGAATCTTAGATATAGTTTTGAGGTAGATATGTAAATCATAAATTTTAAAAATTGTTATAATTGCTATCTTTTATTACATTCAAATCACTTTTTGAAAACTCATTCAGTCACACAGGCTTTTTACTGTTTTTATATGTAGTTACTATTTATGTCATTTTACATCTTCCTTTTACTGCTTTTAGGGAAATGTTTTTATTTTTACTCTGTTATTGTTAAGTGCATCTGAACATTTCTGTGAAAGATGTGCTATATGAATGTATTAAATAATAATAATAATAATAAATAGGTAGAATAATAGTTATTTCTATTTCATAATTTTCAGGAACTGAATGTACGTACTCTCACAACAACAACTGATAAAGAAAAATATGGTGTAAGTTTACGAGCTGAACCCGACCATAAAACACTGGGGTTAAAACTTAAAGGAGAATTTAAAGCAGTGATGGCTGAAATCAAGAAATTGACGGATAAACAATTGGTGGAATTTAAAAAAACAGGGGAGATAACTGTCCTAGGTCATAAACTGGTGGAAGAAGATTTACGTTTAATGTATGATGTTAATACAGCTAAAGAAGGTTCGCAATATGAAGCACATTCAGAGGGGGAAGTAAGTCTAGTATTATTATTGTATCACTTCTGAAGCGCATTGTTACATATCAATAGAGTCTAGGACAATATTGTCCTCATAGGCAGTTGTCCTCACTGGTGAATGTCTGCTATCAGTTTTCCTTTTAGATGAAGCACATTCAAAGGAATAAGTTCTTATAGTAGGTTATTACTGTCTATTATCATTGTATGGATGAACGATACTTGATTTCTGTTTTTGTGAAAGGCCAACAGAAACTTTGCTAAACTTTATGACGTCATGTCTCTTAAATAGTGATTGGTCAGTGGAATCTTATGCGGTCAGTTAAATAGTCTGTAACAGATCAGCTATAGATATGGTTACATAAAAGCGTATGAGTGACAATCACAGCTAACATTTTGCTGCATGCTATATCTGTAACACACTTTAAAGCAAAGACAAAAAAGAAAAACTAGGGGGAAAAAACCTCCATGAAGCAAATTATTACTTGGTGAAAGGAAACATTTAGAAATTATGATTTATGCAACAACACAGTGAATGGAGTATTAGAAATTTCCAGATTTACTCCGAGGGGAGGGGGGATCACGGTGGCTAAGTGGGTAAGACGCTGGCTTACTAACCTAGAGGTTGGGTGTTCGATCCCTTCATTGGCCGAGAAAGTCCATCCAGATTTTCCGGCGTGGTTCCCCCTTGTCAGTGATGCAGGACGGAGGGCCTGACAAGGACAGCTGTCTAGTTGTTCGGATGGGACGGAAAACCGAGTTCCGTGTACACATTTGCGTGCACTTAAAAGATTCCTTGACAGTTGGATATCGATATAAGAGTAGGCCGTAGTGCCGCTCTCTGGGCAAAATTTCCCTCATAGCAGACTGTATGGCATATGCCCGTCTTAATTAGCCTAGTTCGGAGCAGAACAGTAGAACGTTAAATCCCATTTCATTTTATTTCGTTTCCAGATTTACTCTCTTGACTTAGTAGTAGAGAAAGTTTTGTTCTTGTAGTAGATGGTAATCATTATTCATTTAACTTGGATAGAAATTCATCTGTTTCAGTTCCAAAATTTGGACTATGATACAAGAATAACAATTGTGTTTTATAATTAATTGTTATTATAGATTTTAGTATTGTTGGATGTAGCACCAGATCAAGCTATGATAGATGAAGGTATTGCTAGAGAAGTTATCAACAGAATACAAAAACTTAGGAAAAAGGTGAAAAAAATAATATTCAGTCCTTGTAATATTAAATAACTTTAGTCAGTTTCAATAACTTATATATTAGTATAGGCTTGTGTAATTAATGTTGCCAACTGAGTCCAAATATGTGCTGCTTCATCTTACTCTGTCCTTGAAAAAAAATCATGAAATTTTGTGTAATCTTTTATTCAACAATTTATTTGAAATTGTCTGTACAGAAAGAATGTTTGTGATCTTTGACATAGTGCAAGATTCTTTCATGGATGAACAATAATGAGCCATAGCCTAATTTCTCTGTAAAGCTTAGGTATCCTGTATCTAAAATAAAACAATGGTTTGAACTTTGGAAGTGCTCCCTTATTTTATATTTGTAATGTCTTTTGGGTTGTCTTTTTTTATTTGAAAAGAAGCCTGTACTATCACTGCAGGCCACGGACAGTGGACCGTTATTGCAGGTTTGGGATGTGGACCCTTATTTTCATCCCTGGACCCACTTTATTTGAAAATGACTTTATTATTTTTACTTACAATGTCCATGGGTTTGTCTTCTGTATTTCCGTTTTGTTTTTATGTGTTGTATGGTTCTCCTGCTATAGCAATTATTGTCCCCCGCCTTTCGAAGAAAGCAGGGGACTATTAAAATGGGTTCGTCCGTCTGTCTGTCCGTCTGTCTGTCCGTCTGTCTGTCCGTCACACTTTTTGGGACACAATAACTCTCTTCCTAATTGAGCTAGAATGTTCAAACTTGGTGTATGTGTTTAGTAGGTCAATGCCTTGATGGAGTTCGAAGATGAGCATTTTCCGCTTAGGGTAAGCAGAGATAAGCAATTTGATTGGTTGATGCTTTGGGACACGATAACTCTCTTCCTAATTGGGCTAGAATGTTCAAACTTGGTGTATGTGTTGATTAGGTCAATGCCTTGATGGAGTTCGAAGATGAGCATTTTCCGCTTAGGGTAAGCAGAGATAAGCAATTTGATTGGTTGATGCTTTGGGACACGATAACTTTTAATTGAGCTAGAATGTTCAAACTTGGTGTATGTGTTTATTAGGTCAATGCCTTGATGGAGTTCGAAGATGAGCATTTTCCGCTTAGGGTAAGCAGAGATAAGCAATTTGATTGGTTGATACTTTGGGGCACGATAACTCTCTTCCTAATTGAGCTAGAATGTTCAAACTTGGTGTATGTGTTGATTAGGTCAATGCCTTGATGGAATTCGAAGATGAGCATTTTCCGCTTAGGGTAAGCAGAGATAAGCAATTTGATTGGTTGATGCTTTGCGACACGATAACTTTAGTTGTCCCCCGCCTTTTGAAGAAAGCAGGGGACTATTAAAATGGGTTCGTCCGTCTGTCTGTCTGTCCGCCTGCCTGTCCGTCCGTCTGTCTGTCCGTCACACTTTTTGGGACACAATAACTCTCCTTCTAATTGACCTAGAATGTTCAAACTTGGTGTGGGTGTATATTAGGTCAATGCTTTGATGGAGTTCGAAGATGAGCATTTTCTGCTTAGTGTAAGCAGAGATAAGCAATTTGATTGGTTGATGCTTTGGGACACGATAACTTTAGTTCTAATTAAGTGAGAGTGATGAAACTTGGTTTATAGTTTTATTACATCAGTACCTTGACTAAGTTCGATGATGAGCATTTTCTGCTCAGGGTAAGCAGAGCGATAAGCAATTTGATTGGCCGAGACTTCGGAACACAATAACTCTCCTTCTAATTGAGCTAAAATGTTCACACTGCTTCTAATTGAGGTAGAATGTTTAAACTTGATGTAGATGTTCGTCTTGACTGAGTTCAATGATTAACATATCGATCTCAAGCTAAGCAGAGATAAGCAATTTCCTTGGTCGATGCTTTGGGACAATATAACTTTGATTCTGTCTGATAGAGAGTGATGAAATTTAGTGTATAGTTGATAAACAGTTTGATTGCTCGATACTTTTGAAAAAAATAGATGTGCGATTAATTAATATGTGGCATCTATTTATTTGCGGATTTCGGCGGGGGACATCAGCCTCACTGTTGGCTTGTTGTTTATAATAATAATGAATTGATATAACACCCATCCCTCCAACATGGTATACTGCATATCAATACTGTTTATGATTTTGTATTTTATATGATAGGCTAAGCTACAACCATCAGATGATATAACAGTCTACTATAAAACTAGTGGTAAATTATCTGAGATTATAACAGAATATAGAGATTTTATATACAGTACAATAAAACAACCATTACAAGTTTATCCACCAGCTTCTAATGTTATAATACAAGATAGTATGAAGGTAATATTATACATTATTTAATAACTATTAAACTATATCCCCATACAATCTTTGTTTAACTCATCATCTTTTTATACCTGATCTTTGTTTTTAATATCATCTTTCTTTTAACCTATCATCTTTGTTTTAATCTAATCTTTGTTTTAACCTATCATATTTGTTTTAATCTAATCTTTGTTTTAACCTATCATATTTGTTTTACCGCCACATTATTTTTAATTTCTTGAACCTCTGCTTTGTTTTATTAATTCATTTTGTTTTAATATCCATTTCTTTTTTTGTTTTAACCTCTGCTTTCTTAATTTGTTCATCTTTGTTTTAACCTCTGCTTTATTTTCCATTTCTAGCCTCCGTTTTGAATTACGTCATTGTTTGATCTGATGTAAAATTCATCCTTGGTTTAGCTATTTATGATCATGTTTTGAACTTTACTTTCTTTTTAACCCCAGTTATGTATTAGATGTGAATTTGGTTTTAATTTGTATTTTTAATACTAGAAATATTTGACATTGAGGAATCATTGACAATTTTTCTTTTGTTTTTATTCTTTCAGCTTAAGGAATATAACTTAGATATTACTATAACTGGTGATGTGGTTCCGACATCAAGTCCTGCAGCTGCTTCAAATACATCATCTACTTCTGTTAATCTGTCACCAGCTCCAGTTGTTAATAACATCAAACCAGTAGCTCCATTTGTTAATGTGGTATTGGGTGGTAATCTCAAGGCTCATGAAGGACTGAGTGGTTCTCAAGCTACTATATTGTTAGAAAATCCTGTTGGTCAGAATAAACTATCAGCTGAAAACTTATTACATCAGGTAAATGATTGGATAATTTGTGGTGCTGTGAGCAGGGCAGGGTGTGCTTTTTGGTTTAGAACACCTGATTTTTCTTCTTATTTTGATGGGAAATTCACATGGCCTACATTACATGTTTTAGTAATTTTTTTTTTTTGGGGGGGGGGGGGGAACCACGGTGGCTAGGTGGGTTAGACGCTGGCTCTCTAGCCAGGAGGTCGGGTGTTCGATCCCTGCATTGGCCCGGAAAGTTCATTCAGATTTTCCGGCGTGGTTCCCACTGGTCTGTGATGCAGTATGGAGGGCCTGACAAGGACAGCTGTCTAGTCCTTCAGATGAGACGAAAAACCGAGGTCCCATGTATACATTGGAATGCACGTAAAAGATCCCTTGGCAGTTGGAATTTGATATAAGAGTAGGCGATAGTGCCGCTGCCCGGGTAAAATTTCCCTCATAGCACACTGTATGGCATATGCCCTTCTAAATTAGCCCAGTATAGGAGCAAAACAGTAGGACATTAAACCCCATTTCATTTCATTTAGTATTTTTTTTCTAAAATAGTAATTATTTCTAGATCAGAAAAAAACATTTGTGATTTGATTCAATAGAGGTTTAACCTCAATATTCACATCATGATATTTTATGATTTGTGGTAATTCTCCAATAGAAATGTTAAAAAGCTTGAAATCTTTATAAAAAAAAGTGGGTGGTAATTTTAGTGCTAATTGTATTAGGTATAGTTTCAGATTTCTTAATAGATTTTGTATAATTTAAAGTTGAATACAAAATAAATTTAACTTTTTAAATTTCAGGTTCAAGGTGTATTTGGTTTAAGAGGAATTAAAGTTCGTGTTTTCTCTGACTTGAATTTGAAACAAGAACTAACCAAAACATCCAATTTACAATCACTTGCTAGTAAAACACTTTATGTAACACCTGCTAGAGATTGTTCATCTGTTGCTAATAACAACCTCACCTCTCCAGTCTGCCATTTTGCTAATGTAGATATATTAGTTAAAGGTGCTGTTCCTGCTAAAGGAGTACTACTTTTAGAAAACCCAAGAGGAGATGTTTCATCTTTTCAACAACTTAAAAATCAAGTAAGTATCTCTGATCATATCCCTGAATATAAAACCAAACCTTTAAAATAATATCTCAAGTGTATAAAAATACAGATCTTCATTTGCAACTTTGTTGAATTATTCAATGAACATAAATGGAAGTGCATCAGAAGAAGTAAAATATAACAGTTATTTAGAAAGTAACATTTTACTGGGCTGTTAATTGCTTCTAAAAATACAGTTTTATACCTACATAGATAACAAGGATAGTAGATTTATATTTATGAAAGGCAACTAGGGAAAATCAAATTAGCATTACAAATATTCTATTTGATTATTGATAATGTTTTAGCAAATAATGGTATTCATATAGCTAGTAATTACTAGTAGGATTTAAAAGCTGCATTGTGTGTGACTGTTTTCTAACTATCTTGGTAAATGTATATCTCTAATAGAAACCACAAGTTTTTTATATGCTGTATATTCTTTTCTTTACTGTGTTCTTTATTGACAATTGTATTTGATCGGTAAAATAGACCCATTGAATGATAATATTATCGCATATTATTATCTTAGACTTTTTGTGTATTATTAATTAAATTTACATCCTCAGTGATCCGTCTCTTATTTCAGGTTAGTGCTATATTTAATCTGGATGGTAAATCTGTGATGTTAAGTCGAAGCAAAGATAAATCTGGTGCCTTAACACAAGAGAATTTAAAGGATGTATTAAGTCTACACTCTCTACAACTTTATGTTTTATAATATTCTTCATCATAGAAACAATATCATTCACATAGTGAAAATTGTTCACAGCGAAAATGGACCTCAGTCTTAATTAATTTATTTTTCTTTATGGAATCCTTTATTAATTGCAAAGATATTCACCTTGAATTAAAAAACGTATATCTTCAGTTCAAAGTCAAAAATATGTACAAATTTTAATGTCAGTGCTGTTGTAATTATGTAATTAAACATATCTGGATATATATAAAACAGCTGCATGAAGAAAGAGCTGACTTGTATAAAAAAGGTAGCTGTATTTTTATTACTTTATTTTTGTAAGGTACATAAAGATGGCAGTATGGAATCAGTAGAACCCAATGTAAACTTTAAATGGCAATAACTTCGTCAGAATTGATTGATTTGAATATTGTTTGCTTGTGTGTCATCTTAAACTGAATATTTAACCGTTATTCTGGCATTCTACAACTTTAAGAATTTAGTAGGAAACTCCTCATCTATTTGAGGCGTTTGCATAATTTTTTTTGTGCTATCTCATATGCATGTACCTGATTTTGATTTAGATTTTTCTGAAATGACTAATTAATAGATTTGTAATATTAATTAAACTAGATAATTTTAAAAGATTGTAGGATTAATTTTGAAAATAATATTGCCAAAATAATGGAGGGAAATTGTACATTTTGATCCATTCTAATAGATTCACTTATTCTATCAATACTTGCTTTATCACACTAGATACTACATGCTTTCACATGATATCATAACTTAAAACTATATTAAAATTGTTAATATTACAAAAAAATAGAATGTAAAAACTTCCACTGAAATAGATACTGTACTAATTAATACAATCAATTATTAAATTAAATAAATACAACAATTGACATGTATGTTTTATAATGGTGTGTGAGTTGTTTGTGATCAGGTATAACTGTCTAATAACTAATTTCATCATGCTCCCATATCTCAATCTGTTTCACAAAGTATTACGAAAGTCTTCAAATAACTCTGTAAAAGATGACTGCTTTCATCTTTCACAGTAGTCATCTTTGTCTGCTTTCATTAGACGGGCTCGGCATCTAAACCCTAAACTACACTGGGGAGATAAACCAAATGAGCAGGATAGTGGAGTAAGGGAGGGTTATGGTCAGACGGGCTCGGTCGGCATCTAAACACTAATCCGCTAAAATGACACAAAAACCTGCAGAGTGGGATAGTGGAGTAAGGGGAGGCCACGATAAGACAGGTCTGGCACCTATACACTAAACCCACAAAGATGACATCTACCAATCCAGAAACGAGACGCATATATGTCCGCACATATGCTCTCTCCACAGATCAACAACCAAACTATATGTTTTTTGTTAAATAAAGGGAAGAACTTCCCACTAAACCTACTCCATGGCCTAAGGCCGCAAATGGAAAGATTGTAAAATCAAATTCTAGAAACAGGAAGAAGCCTCGGCTCTCCCATGTCTTGTCTGCGATATCACCACTTCTGTGGAAGCGTAAGTTAAAGCACCAGGTAGTAGTAGTAGTATGAATCCTTTCAACATATGACGTTACATCACTCGGCGTCAATTATGGGCTCAATTGGGCGTGCATTGTTTACGTAAGACTATACTGGTCCGGGCAGAATGCTGCCTTTTACTCATTTTACATACCTATTTACACTAAAATAGGAAATATTGTTTACCTACATATACTTCAAACACCTTTATTTATTTTTTTAATGTTTAAAAAAATGTTCTAAAATTTAATTTGCAGAAGGAAAAAAAGTTAATATTGGGGGCTCATTAAGGCGCGCCGGTGTCATCCCTATTCGTCATTATAGCGACCGAGCGAATATTCATTGCTGATCAGTGTGCATTCTATGACTTACTATAAGGTAATAAACTAGAGTTAACTCCCTTGCAATTCACAGTCACTTTCCGTCGGTGTCGTCAACAACTTTGGACAATTGAATAATGGGATGGATTTAATGCCGTAATGTTCTCCACCAACCGATCTAATGAAGACGGACATGTCATGTAGTGGGTTATGAAGGAAATTTTGCCCGGACATCGACGTTAGTCCTACTCTTTATTTCGAATTCCAACTGTAGACGGTTCTTTAACGTGCTTTTATGAATCTTGAATACGATTTCAATATTGCATATCCATACACCGATTATATAGCAAAAATTCGGGATTTTGATAGAATTGGAATTTGATTTAATTTGGGGAGGAGGTGGCGGGATTTGAACTCACTTTCCCTGAAGAGTATACTAAGAGTACATTAAGTTTTAGGAGCCATCGTGGGTAAGACCCTGGCTCCCTAGCCTGGAGGTCGCGTGTTCGATCCCTGCATTGGCCAAGAAAGTTCATCTGGATTTTCCGACGTCGTTTCCCCTTGTCAGTGGTGCAGGACAGACAGCCTGTCCTTGTCGTTCGGGTGGGACGAAAAACCGAGGTCCCGTGTATACATACATTGGCGTGTACGTAAAAGATCCCTTGGCAGTTGGAATTCGATATAAGAGTAGGCCATATTGCCGCTGCCCGGGCAAAATTTCCCTTATAGCACACTGTATGGCGTATGCCCGTCTTCATTAGCCCAGTATAGGAGCAGAACAGTAGGACGTTAAACCCCATTTCATTTCACATTGAGTTTTTTTTAAAACTTCATCAGATGATCATCGACATTTATGAGATTTTGGACAGAGGATTTTTAAATATCGTCCAGTGTGGTAAGTCAATCGTCTATTTGACTTCGGTTCTTATTGACTATACGGGACTATTTCTCTTAAAAATAAAAGTGTTTTAGGAATCTTGCAGTTAATTATTAGAAGATCACCTAAATATTGTAAACTGTTGTGGGACCAATGGCACTTTGTTTTAGCCCCTGCAACCACTCACCGCCTTAACCGTGATACATCGATTTTTTTTCCCCTGTCGAAATTCAGTGTTGCGTATCAGTGTTTATTTTATGGAGAAGTTAAGTGTCGTCACCACCGTCTGTACATCGACAATTATTGCAAACGCTCTACGAGTTAACGTTATTCGGAATATTTTGCTCAAGCTTGCAGCAGTTGGATGGATTGTTACAAGACTCCCTCGAAATTCAGAGTAGCGCATCAAATTTGTTATTATCCCTGTCGCCGCAGCTTCATGAATGCTGAAGTTTTCTACCTTTTGTTAAAAACAAATCCTGCCGGAATCGCTCTTCAGTTTCAAACAGAATACCGCCCCCGTTACCGAAACGTTTTGCGTGCTGAACAGGTCAAGTGGTAGCTGGGGTTCCCGTTGGTAATCAGGATAATACCAATCGTATTACTTTCAACCGTGTTATTGAAACCTTTTAAAATTCAGTTATTGTTCCTGAGACATCACAAACTGTGACGACCTTACTTCTCTTCAGAAGGCTGCTAGTGGGCGGATATTCCTTGCCTGACAATGCTATGGTTAATGCATTATTACTGTGCACTTTACTTCTGTACACTGCCTCTTGTTCACTAATCTTCAATAAACCATTCGGGAGTCTTTAGAAATACATTTTATTGTTTACTGGAATAATTATTGAATTATTTATAATTATGTAAACAATGTCACCTTTATGTGGAATGCTTTACATTATTATGAATGTGCTCCTGGTGATCATTTAATTAATATAGCTCTCTCTCCAAATGTACATTTTCAATTAAATAAATGCAATAGTAAATGAATAATGCATGTGTATGACATGTATCGTGATTTTTATACGCCCTGTCGATCTGTTAATATTCCCTTCCAAACATTTTAGAAAAATCTAAAAAACAAAACATTACAAAACAAAACAATTCCACAACAAATGGGATTGATTGGATAGGCATATAGTAGACACATCCTACACAAACTGACTAGATTCCAGTAAAGTAGCAGACTAAGCCTCGTGGGTATGGTTTTAAGACTTGTACACGTAAAGCTTATCGAAATTCGGGGCCACATAGAAACATAAGAGAAATATATATTTTTTTGAACTTGCTAGGATTATTTGGCAAGTCAAAATGATCTTCTATCCCTGATATACGGTATAACCAACGTTTGGTCTTAATGAACAAATGTCGATACAAAAAATGAAATGCAATGGTGTGTAACGTTTGATTTTTCTGCACCGACCAGATTATTGAATACGGGTATACGCCATGTATTTTTCCCGGATCGCACTCTGATTAAAATACAGATCTATATTTCGTTTCGTTGTTTTATAATTTCGATGGCCTCTACCACTGGAAGATATGACCGGTTATATTTGAAGGTCGCGTCAGAGTTCATACGGGTGGCTTTTATCAATATGACTACAGACATTTGCTTAACCAATCAGCGTTGATGTTTCTAGTGGGTTACTCTAAACTCGCCGTAACAGACCGTTTCATTGGCTAATCCCTCACATAATTCAGAACGCTGATTATATAACAACTCTTCCAGATCCTAGTGTATTGAAGACTGTAATTTAATCAGATTACCTGGACAGTTGTATCGCTACCAGCTCTTCCTCGAATTTCAACTATCAAGAGTTATTTTACGTGTATGCCAACGTATACAAAGTGCATCTTGTCCATCTAGTACCACAATGAAAAACCTCTAGGAACTTTTTCGGCCAACGCTGGGATCAAACCCGAGACCTACTTGTTAAGCAAGCATCATGCACTGGGCAATAATTTCAAACTGCTAAAGCCCACTCTTCCTTTAATAGGTCTAGTTTCTCGCTAGGATTGGAAGTCTGCTTTCCTGATGCCACTCCTTGTAGTTGCAGTTTTGCATCTGCATCTCTTCTAACACCCCAGGCTATGATTAGTCCGAAATATTTGACCTCCTCCCGGGCTGCTGGTTTCTTTCTATTACTGAATCAGTAAACCACTCCTCGTGTGATGAGTTTCCATACTTAGAAAATTGGTCTTGTAGTTTTGCATTCAAATCCCGGAATAATATAACCCACACAATATATCAAGAAATATCCACTTAAACTGTCGAATTGCTAATTGCTTTTATTTAGTAAGCTTTCTAGTTTGATATGTTAATTAAAAGAATTTTGAAACTATTTACGAGGGCTGGCAGAAAAGTTCTAAGCCCATCTGTGAAAGACATGTACAAAGCCAATGTTTTCCATTCATTTTTATGCATAGTCCTCTTCGAGTTGTACACACTTTTGCCATCGATGTTGCAAGGCCTGAATATCGACCAGGAAGAAATTTTGTTCAGCCACCTTAAAAAATACGTTCACAGCTGACATAACGTCATCATTACTAGGAAAATGACGAGCGGTTAGATCCTTTTTTCATTTTCGGAAACAGGTCTCCATTATCAGGATCTGCTTCAAAACGGCACAGATTGTCACGGGACGCCAGGAATCTCGTACGTTGCTGATCCACATTCAAGAACTTTGGCACCCATCTTGCAGAAACTTTTGTCATTCCTAACTCGTCCTCAACTCCCCGCACGAGAAATGCCCACAACACTGGCAATAGGTCGAGTAATCAATCGTCGATCAACTATTACCATGTTATGCACTTGGGAGATGTTTTCTGGAGGGGGTCACGGTGGCTAGGTGGGTAAGACGCTGGCTCGCTAGCCTGGAGGTCGGGTGTTCGATCCTTGCATTGGCCGAGAAAGTTCATCCAGATTTTCCGGCGTGGTTCCCCCTTGTCAGTGATGCATGACGGAGGGCCTGACGGAGGTCCCGTGTACACATTGGCGTGCAGGTAAAAGATCCCTTGACAGTTGGAATTCGATATAAGAGTAGACCGTAGTACCGCTGTCCGGTCAAAATTTCCCTCACAACACACTGTATGGCGTATGCCCATCTTCATTAGCCCTGTTCGGAGCAGTAGGACGTTAAACCCCATTTCATTTCATGTTGTCTTGAATGG